AGTTCTTTTTTATAAATAGCTTCTTAAAGGCTTATTAAATATTATACTTTTTATTCGAGTTACTATATAGCTTCTCTAGGTAAATATATAGTTCTCTAATAATCTTATATATATATTAATTATCCTAATTTAGGTAAAAAGAAATTAATATAAGAATATAACTACTTATATAACCGAAAATATAGATAATCTTAAAGTTCTTTATCTAATAAGTATTAAAATTACTATAGAACTTATTCTTAATCTAAACTAACTAATTATTAAAAATAATACTATCCTTAATTATATTCTCGAAAATAAAAGAATTAGAAAGTTTAACTAAATATTTATTTTCTAAAATAGGGAAACTAATTATTTCTATAGGCTATATAATAAGCTTTTTAATAATAGCTTTATTTTTTTATAGGGCTTACTTGATTTCTCTTAGCTAATTATAATAATTCTTACTATAAGTAAGAATATTATATATTTTTAGAATTAGCTTAATAATCTTTTTATATAAAGCCTTTAGGCTTTAAAGTAATTCTTGGAAGTTTGCCTTTAATAGAACAGGTTCCTCTTTTTCCTTAGCTTTCTAAAAGAAAGTATTTCTCTTATTATAAGTATTAATAAAATATTTGGATTTTTTAGGAAACTTAATAAGAGACTCTAGTTTACTTTCTAGTAATATACTAGTAATATCTCGTACTATAGCTTCTTCTAACTTGCCTAGTTATTCTAAAACTTGCTTTCTTATAGGTCTTTAGTTAGTAATAAGGTTACTAGTCTATTTGCTTACTTAGCTAGTCCAGGGCTTTCTTACCTAGTTATTCTAGAACTTTCTTTTATTCTATTATTAGTTAACCGGTATAGAAGTAGCTATAGTATATTATATTTATACTTATTAAAAACTAATTAGATAAATATTATTTAAATCTTTTATAGAATTAAAAAATAAGTAAGCTTTAAATTATATTATAAATATAAGATCTAGAGTCTAAAAAATATAATTAGACTATTTCTATTTTAATAATTCAAAGCTAAAGAGAAAAGAGGATCTTAAAAGAGCCTCGGATCTAAATAATTATAAGCTATATACGGGTCTATATACTAGCTTAAGCTCGGGATTATATATAATAATTAGATAATTATAGATATCTTATTTAGATATTAGATATTTCTCTTAAATAATAGATATTTTATTAGCTCTAGTCTAACCCTTACTAGTATTATATATTATAATAACTATAATACTAGTTTACTAACTTACTAATATTACTAATTTTAATATTCTAATAATTCTGATATTAATTTTTTAGTTTATATATTAGATTAAAAAATAATTATATATCTAATAAAAATATTTTTTTTATATAAATATATTATAAATTATAATAAATTTTATAATTATATAATATTATATTATAAATTAAAACGTAATTTTAATAATTTATTTTAAAGAAAACTTATTTAATACTAAAATACTAAAAATTATAAGATATTAATTTAACTTTTAATTACTAATTTAATTACTAATATAAAAATAAAGCTATTAATATTTAAATAATATAAGGAAATATATAGACTCTTAAATAATAATATATAATTTAATATTAATAAATATAATAATTAGTTAATATACTATAAACTAATTTCTTTAGAAAATATAATTAATATTATTACTTTAAACTTTATTATTAATAATTTATACTATAACTTTCTTATATTATAAAGAGTTCTATTAAGTAATTATAAACTTAATTAAGAGCTATAATAATCTAATTTTATTATTATAATACCTTATATAGTTATTTTAATAATTAATATTTTATTATAAATATTAAAGTTAATAATATATCCGAATTACTAAATCCGACTTATTAGTATAAGTCGGCTCTAGTAAAGCAAGAAATTACTAACAAGTATGCTTTTATTAAGAGTACTTTAAATTTCTTTAGTTTTTATATTTAATTCTTAATTACTTCCAAGTTTATAAACTTATAGTATTATATTAAAACTTTAAATTATATCTTAAATAAATATATATAATTATTCTTATTAGTTAAACTAAGTAATAAAGATCCTTAGATAAGATAAGCAGAAATAAACCAAGTACTAGGTTACTAAATTACTAGATTAAATTCATATTATATATAAATATAAGAAATTTCAGAAAAGAAATATAAAGCTTATAGAAGCTTAGGAGCAAGGCTATAGTAGAACCTTATTTTAATAATTCCTGATATAGTAATATCCTTAGTAATATAATATAGCTATAGGATTCTATACTTTTTTAGTCTTAGGCTTATAATATTCTTGGTATTATAATTATTATAAGGTTTTTTAGTTCTAATTCTTAATTTTTAGTAATATATTATTTTATATTAGCCTGAAAATAAATTAATTTATTAATATTTTAGGGTTCTCTAATATCTCTCAGGCTCTTAATCTTATTTCTAGTTCTCTAGCCCCTAAATAGCCCAAAAAGAAATAAAGAGATATAATAGAAGCTAATTACCGAGTATTATAAAAATATAAGTAATTTTATTCTAAAGCTATATATACTAATTTTATTAAGTATTTCAGAACGAGTTTTATTATAAAATTAATTAATTAATTATTTCTTTTAGCCTTAATACTTAATTCGATTATCTTAATACTAATATATAAAAAGATATAAGCCTTATAAGTTAATATTCGAGCTAATCTAATTAGCCTAATCTTGAATTAGTATTCTTTAAATAGTAATAGAAAATATAACAGTAAAAAGTAATAATTACAGGTAATATTCTTAAGTAAAAGATATATAAAATCTGGTATTTTCTCTTCTAATATTATAAATAACTAGAGCCTAAATAGTCTAATAAGTAATTAACTAACTTTAAAAATTACTTTTATATTAAGAAATATATTTACTATAATAAAGATAATATAGCAGATATTAAAAGCCCTGAAAATATTAAGTAAATACAGGAAAATCGAGACCTAATAGCTATATATTCTTCTAAGAATATTTTAAATATAAATAAAACTAGTTTATACTAGAAAATATTACTAAATTATATACTAGTAACTAAAGCTAGTAATAGAAATAAAAGAAGTAAAGAGCGAATTACTTTTATTCTTATAGTTAATATTATAGATACTAATAAGTAAGAGCCTTATTTAATTAAAAAGAGTAAGAACCCTTAATACTTTAAGTATATTAATTATTAATTTTTGAATATATAATACTAGTATAATAATTCCAAATAAATAACTAGTATTATCTATATAAAATACCTCTATTAGCTTAATTACAAGTATTTTACTTAAGGCTAGTATATCTTTCTCTTTATAAATAACTTTTTAGGATATAAATATAATATTAATCTTATTAATAAAAAACAAGCTTTCTCTTATATATAAATAAAATAGTTATTTCCTAATATAATATTATATTAGTAACTAGCAAATCAGGGCATTATTAATATCTTTAAGCTTTATTATTACAAGTAATAGGTTAGCTATATAATTAAATAATTTGAGGCAAATAAGAACCCTAATAAAATAGTTACTTTATTCTATATAATTAACTAGATAGTATATACTTGAAATAACTATATTAAAGCTTCTATAATTACTAATTACTAGTATAAATCAAGTCTTATTATAAAACCTCTTCTTAGTAGAGATCTCAATACCTATAGTAAACTAGATAAGAAATAGGCTACTTAATAAATAAAAAATAAAGAAACTATTTAAAGTATTACCTAATTTAATAATTCTCTTCCTATTAGCTAATTTATTATACTAATTAATAAGGCAATTATAGAAGAAGAGAGTATAATACTAGAGGTAATTATAAATTACTATACTTATAAAGGTTTAGGAGATACTTAGTTTAATATAGAAAAAAAGAAAGAGAAATAAGAAAAAGAGATTAGGAAAATAAAGCTAGCTAAAGTAATAGCTATACTTAATTTAGTAAATCTTTATAAGAAGTAATAGGAAAATAGATAAAGTAAGGTTATATATAAGCTTAATATTTTAAAAGCTATATTTATCTAAAGAAATATAGAAAAAGCAAAGCAGGCTTATTTAGAGCTTTTAGAAAATACTTTATAAATAATAAGGCATTAGAATTGAGAGGTTCTTTATATATCTTTAGTTTTTCCTTATTTTTTATATATATACGTAATCCTTGATTTAATAATGCCTCGGTATATCGTTAGAAAAAGGCGCTAAAATTGATATCGTTATATCGAGGTTCTGCTGTAAATACTCCTTAGCGCCATAATTAAGCGAAATGTATGCCTAAGGCTCAAGCGAATTTTCCCCCTTACAGCGAGCCGCGATTTTAGCGTGTTTTGGGACCGTATTCTTTCAGGAAGATTTGAGATTTGCTATATCGCGAAATCTCGAGGTGACTACGAGATCTCGGATGGGGGAGAGATAGTCTTGATCAATGGCCACGCTCAGTAGTTCGATGTCAAGATCCTCCAGCTCCTCGCAAAGACGTGGTTTAAGAACAATTTGCTTGTACCAGTATGGAAACGAAACCTGGTAGAGGGGTTTGGATACTTCGCATATGTCCTTCAAGTCACTGTAAGAGCCCAAGTCTGACAACTGAAAGGTCAACACCAGCGATATGTCTTTGGAGTGACTTTGGCATACCTGCTTTGCAATCAGCTCGAGGATCTCCTTTGGAAATTTTTGCAACATTGTCAGGCTTGTAGCAGCACTCGGGAGTAAAACATCATGAACTGAGGAATATTGGGTAGGTCGATGTCCTGTGTCGAAATCGGGGACAGGGAGAACCTGCAGCGGTCTTGCCGAAACCTCATTCGCCAAGCGAGTGTCGAATGGCAAAGTTCCCTTGTCGAAACTGAAAAGGGAACGGTCGCAATAGAAAGAGACAGCGACACCAGCTAGATCTTGGTTCAAAAGGATTTCGAAAGGGGGCCGCTTCTAGCTCCCAACAGAGCGCAAGATCTCTCAAGGCACTTTACCAAGTATTCTAGGAGACTTAACCATTAAAAGGGAAATGGGTCTTCGCGCATTTAGTGTCAAAGCTGCGTGTTAAGCTTCGAACGCCTTACAGTAGCTCTTTTCTTACACTTCTATATGATACCAACCCTGTGCTCACTTAAGAAGCCTCTTGCCGCCGGTCTTTGTCGCAAATCGCTCTACTCCGCTATGAGTCTGTGCTTGCCAGAGGCCCAGTTCCCCTACCAAACCACCATTACCCTCCAACATATGTCTTCTGAGCGCCTCTCGCAAGTGATCCGGGTGCAGAGGTCCCCGTCTCGTCTCCCTCGGACTCGGTCCACCACCTTCAGCAGGAGGACTCGGCAGACCCGTCTGCGACTCTCCGGTTGCCTCCAACCATTGTGATTGAACCCTTCTCGCACCCTCAATCATATCCCCAGCAAATAACTTGGCCACGGCTGAAACTGCTACAATGACTGGCTGGGGTACTGATTGTGAAAGGGTCTGATTGACAATCTTCCCTTATCAGCTCAGCAAATTAGAGGAAAAGGAACAACTTACTCTCCTTACAGTAGCAGGGGGAAGCTTGGTTGCTCTCCAGGCCTCATATCTCCGAAATTGATCCTCGTCAAAGAAGTTGGCGATCACCCTCTGGCGTTTCTTTTGGCGTTCTCTCTCCGCTTTTCGTTCTGCACTTGCTTCAACAGTCGGTTCATCTCCGCCATCTTCAGATACATCTGCTGTATGATCTCTGCTTCCCCTTCTCTTGGGAGCTACTGATGCACTGGGCCCGCGTCCACCTACAACGGATTCTTCGTCGTTGTCCTTTCCCTTTGACCTGCGAGGCTTCTTCCTCTTGACGCTGGAGGGAGCCATGCCTGAAACCATAGACATTGTGTCCATACTAGGAGAGCGCGAGAAGGCAGTTGAATTGCCGGCGTTTTCGGGTGGGAAGGAGGTTTGTCGAAGAGGATGAGCGGAGCTGGCAGAGGTGGAGAGCATAGAAGCTTTGCGGCGTTTGATGGTCGGAGCGGAGGAGGGCATATCGGATTGTCTTCGCTTCAGCGGTTGAGGGAGTTGCGCATTCGATGGGTAGGGAGGGGAGATGGCAGAGCCGTAGTTGAGGCCGTGAGGGGGAGAAGCCATGATGACAGATTGGAGAGTTTACCTCAGAGAGGTGGCGCAAATGTATCGTCGCCGGTGTCTGCGCTTCGCAGATGATGCGAGAATAGATGACTTGGCACGAAATCGGTTTGTTGTGAGCACGGAAGGGCGACAGCCAAGGGTGAATGCGTGAAGAAGTTGTCAGGTCGTGTTCAGCGTTGGTTATTAGCGCGGCAAGGCTGAAGCTGTCCCTGAAGACACGCGATTTTTACCAAAGCTAACTTTACAAGGGTCTTTTAACGTCATCTGCCTTGGCTAAAATTTCTGGGAATAATTTTTTTGAGAAGACTCGCACCCCTACGTTCGCATGTAAAGTCACCCCAGGATGGTTCAATTCGCCAGTCTGCCTAGAAATGAGAGTGGGGGAGAGGGAGAGAACATGGTTCGGCCACCTGAAAGCGATTCCTCTGAGGTAAAAGCTCCCAGTGGGGCTGTAAAACGGAAGTCCGAATCGAACGGCCAGGGCAGCAAGAAGAAGAAGAAGAAATCGAAATCAGAACACGGGGCAAAGGTCCATGGCATGCCACACTCGAAAAGGAGGCAGAGTGTTAGTAAACCGGCTAGAGATCCGAGAGATGAGGCCTCTCCTCTTCGACTTTCGCAAGAACTGGGTGAGACGAGGTCGCCAAGCCCGGTCATTGACTTCGATGGCTTGAGCAGGCCGAGTAAGTACGGATACTCTTAGGCAGAGGCAATGTCTGATATCTGGCAGGTCGAGGGACTCGTGAGCGGAAAGAGGAAACTCCAGAGCAAGCAACGGAACGACTACAGAAGATCTCCGGAGCGGTACGAACAATCCTCGAATGCCTCGGCGAAGACCCGGAACGCGAGGGACTTCTTGGGACACCGGAAAGATATGCGAAGGCTATGTTATTCTTTACAAAGGGGTACCAGGAGAATGTGCGTGATATTGTGAATGGTGCTATATTCCACGAGGGGCACAACGAACTAGTTATTGTGAAAGATATCGAGGTATTCAGTCTTTGTGAACACCATATGGTGCCGTTTACTGGAAAAGTAGGTTCCGCAAGACTGCTCCCAAGAATGAGTATACTTATTGCTTGCAGATGCACATTGGATATATTCCGGACAGAGACGTTATTGGGATCTCGAAGCTTCCCCGCATAGCAGACATGTTCTCTCGAAGACTACAAATCCAAGAACGTTTGACAAAGGATGTGGCCCACGCCGTAATGGAAGTCCTCAAACCACAAGGAGTTGCAGTAGTGATGGAATCCAGCCATCTTTGCATGGTTATGAGAGGGGTGGAGAAGACCAGTGCCACAACAATTACGAGTTGCGTGTTGGGCTGCATAGAAAAGAGAGAGAAAACCAGAAACGAGTTCTTCAGTCTTGTGGGACTCAATAGACGGTGATCCAGATGGGTTGGGATTTTGCTGCATTTCAAGGCATTAGCTACATGGGGTATGAACAATCACGGTCTTCAACACCAGGCTCAGGTAGGCGTTTCTCTTGATCTCAACGCCTTTCAAATCAAATATGAATATCAGGGTATCAACACTCTATTCAATAAATTCCCATCAAGCCTCAAACTTGCCAACCCGCGATCTCCCCTCCAAAACGTCCTTCAACGTCTCCTCAATCTTCTCCAAAATATGGTCCCCAACAATCTCGAGAGACTCGCCAGCATTAACGACCTTCATATCCGATTCAAAGGTATAAAATAATTCCCTTACGCGTTGTTGCATTTCCTTCTTCTCGTACTTCTCATCCCCATACCCACCCCTCTTCTCTGCCTCTTCGGGCTCCAAATCCAAGAATATTACCGCATCCGGTTTTGGTAAACCAACATCAGGAGCCCTTGCCCAATCTAATGAAAGATTTGGGTTGTGTTTTGCGGCGCTGTACACCATGCCGGAGTGGTAGTAACGGTCACAGACTATTGTGCAACCTTTTTTGAGAGTTTCTTCCATCCATTTCCTGGGTATTGTGAATAAGAATTGGATTTGGGAGGGGAGGTTTGGTGAAGGGCTTACGCTTTCTCCCATCTGTTGGCGGAGAAGAGTAGGTGAATTACGTGGTCATCCATTTCCGTTTGGCTTTGGAGATAGCTGTCTATCATTTTTCCAATTGGAGATGTTCGGTCTATATGAAAGATCAGGACTTGCTTCTAGAGTGAGGGAGCATGAGAGTAGGAAAAGGAAAGATTATGAGTAGTTAAAACTTCATATTCCTCAACAATGGAAAGATAGATATTACCTGGAAAGCGTAAAGTCTTGATATTATGGCCCTGAGAATAGAGTTTATCACACAATCTTTTGACTTGTGTCGTCTTTCCAGCCCTGTCTAGGCCCTCAATGACAATGAAAGCCCCTCTCTGGCCGATGGTTTTGGGTTCTTTCCATGGCCAAGGATCCTCGGATAAAGTCGACATGGTGGAGGGCAACAGAAAATTTCTTGAAGGAATAGTAAGTGAATTTGTCTTTCTGAAAATTGAGGTGAGGAAAGTCAAGGGACATCGAGTGGTCGCGTCAGGGGAGACGCGACGGGCGCTAGCGCGAAATTTCGAATCTCAGCCTTGCCACTTTGATTCAACCTCCATCATCAAGCGCGGCACAGAAGATCTTTGTCTATCGACGTCGACCTCGAAGACAAGTGCGAGATAGACGGATATATCTCAGAGAAGTTATGGGTATCTGACCGGGCCATTCTTGGAGAGACGTCCCCACTACGAGCAACGGCGCAATTGACCAAATAGTGAATTCGTCACGTCAGTATCAGTCGCAGGCGAAATTCCACGAGCTAGCCTCCGAGGACCTCTCATCTCTGGCATGACGATATTATCCTTCCTTGCCATCAGCCAATTTAGTCCTTGTTATTGCAGTGCCGACAACACAAGCTCTCGGTAGTCACCATGGCTGGAGACCCAAAGCTCGTCTGGAATCCAGACAACGTCCGCGATGTTGCAGAGTCGGTCGGCATATCATCTCTGAACGAAGAGGCGGTCCGAGCTTTATCGCAAGAAGTCGAATACCGAGTCGGCCAGGTCATTGTGGAAGCAATGCGATTCATGTATGCGGGAAAGAGGACAGTGCTAGGAACGCAAGACATTTCACAAGCTTTGAAAGTCCTCGATGTTGAGCCCCTCTATGGCTACGAATCAACCCGGCCGCTGAGATTTGGAGAGGCTTCATTGGGACCTGGGCAACCATTATTCTATATTGAAGATGAGGAGGTCGATTTTGAGAAGCTCATCAACGCGCCATTGCCAAAAGTCCCTCGGGATATGTCATTCACAGGTAAGAAATGCTGGCAATCAACGAGGAGCTCTATCTGACTTGTTGCAGCACACTGGCTTGCCGTCGAAGGCGTTCAGCCATCGATACCGCAAAACCCCACCACAGCAGAAGCTCGAGCAAATGAGCTGGTACCCAAAGGCCCAGGAGCAAATCCAGCTCTCGCAGCCCTCGCGGGCAACGACAATGTGTCTATCAAGCCCACAGTCAAACAAATTGTCTCCCAGGAGCTTATATTATTCTTTGACAAGATACGAAAAGCTATTCTTGACGACAATTTAGACCCAGAGGCTGTCCTTTATCGAAAGTCGGCCTTCGAAAGCGTTCGGTCTGATCCGGGCCTCCAACAATTGGTGCCATATTTTATACAGTTCGTCGCCGAAAAGGTCACTCACTGTCTTGATAATCTCTTCGTTCTCCAGCAAATGATGGAACTAGACCTAGCCCTCATAGAGAACCCAACCCTCTTCGTTGATCCATACGTTGCCAACATCGTTCCTCCCATCATCACATGTCTCCTAGGACGAAAGATTGGCCGTGATGGAGCCGACAACATGAAGGAGCAATACCAGCTACGTGATTTCGCGGCCTCTCTCATTGAGAAAATAACCAAGAAATACCACAAGTCGAATCAAGAATTGCAAGCTCGCATCACCCGAACTTGTCTAAAATACTTCCTTGACCCTGGAAGAACCCTCAGCGAGCACTATGGCGCAATTCGAGGCATTCGAAGCAGCGGCGGTGTACCTGCGATCGTGACACTCGTCTTACCCAACCTCAAAGCCTACGAAGTCATCCTCGTCAAAGCACAGAACGACCGTCAAAACGACGAACCTTTCAGAATGTTGCTCGGAACCATCATCCACGCCATTACAAGCATCACCACCGAAGCAAAAGATACTGAAATGACGAATGGCACGAATGGAAACGCTGCGGAGGCATCTCAGGTGGAGGAGTATTTGGGTACTGTTATTGGGAGCCGGATTGTGGCGTTGGGAAATCATAAGTTGAATATGGCGATTTTGGAATCGAGGGAAAAGCAATAGTGGTCTGGTTTGCATTGGGCAGCGTATGGGCGTTCAAGGGTGGAAGGCGAAGCATCGAATGGGTCTCTACACTTAGCAGAAACCGTAACAAACTGATAGGGTATGTATGAATATGAAACTTACAGTTGGAGCTTCTGTGCAACTCGACTGACAAGGTTTACTCGCACCTAATTAGATTCTCTAGTTCTTAACGCGAAAGGCTTGCAGCCTACACACTGAATCAATGCTGCCTGTGCCGATGCTGAGGCTCTTCGAGCGTGGTTGAATTGAATGAAGACTTTAAATTTTGGCAGCGAAGGTGATTGTGTTAACAGTCTGAGTCAGTGGGTCACAGCTTGGGCTCTCCACTTCAGCAAACAATCTCATTATACCAGGACTTCTAGGAACATTGAACGCGATGTCCAACAAAATCTCGGGCGGAAGAAGAGAAGTGAATATATGGTGATAGAAAACAGAAAAGGTGCGGGGAGTTCTTGGCGAGAACTCAAAGTGAATCGCTGGAAACGAAGGTTTCTAAGTTATGAAGGTGTGGAGCAATGTAAACAGAGGTGCGATGTGCAACAAAGATTATGATGGCAAAGTAAGTGATGTGACTTTGTGTTGTTCTCGGCCTTCTTAATTGACTCGGCTGGGGCTGGGGGGAGGAAGGAGAGACTTCATGATCAACGAGGACGCCGAAGCTGATGCGAAAGCGACGTAAGGAAGAGCAAAGTAAATAAACGTACGATTTGCAACAAAACTCCTCTGTCACCTTCTGTGAAAACAACTCGGCACCTCCTCCTTGACAAAAGCCCTCTCTTGCCGTCCAAACCCTCGATTATTCAACATCAACACAACAACGCAACCACCACGAAGCACTACAACCCCAAACACCTTCGCGACACCTCCCGCACTCAGGAATAGAGACAAATCAGGTCTTGTTCCCAACAAAGACTTTGAGCAAAAGCCGAAGCAGCCTCCAAAGCCAATTCCTCGCATCCACGAAAACCATAGGCCCCTTTCCCCTCTCCCCAATTCATTCAAAGCTGAACCCCTCCTCCCATATAGTCAAGAACTCCAAGCTCCTGTCACTCCCACCTGAGATCCACCTCATTATCAAATATCTTGACCGCTGCTCCTCGACATGCCTAGGATGAACAAGCAAGGTCATGTGCCCGCTTCATTTCAGTTTGCGATGGAAGGGGCCTCTTCACTCTATCTGCGATGTCTCCCCCACGTGGCGAAGTTGCGACCAAGAGATTCTTGATGAACTCGTTCGGTAAGTGGGTGGAGAGCAGGAAGTTGGAGAACTATTTTGTGCCGAGCGACGAAGGCCGGAAAGCAGGCTTGAAAATGGTAACGAGTGCTAGGAAGGGAGAGTTGGAAAAGGAGAAAATGAAAAGTGCATTATACACTCTGCACATTTATCGGGCCGTGGAAATGGGGCGTGACAAGTGGCTGAGAAGAGGGGAGCGAGGTCGCTGTGGAAACGTTGGGCGGGTATGAGGGGAGGGGGGTCTGGTTTTATGCATAAGAACGGGATCAGTGTTCGTGTGGCGATCGATGGGAGGTGAGAAGTTGACGTTTGCTGCTGCGGCGGGAGAGGCTTTAGGGGCTGGTATTGACATAGCCGGACATTTGCATTTCACTTTATTGGAGAAAAGGGGACAGGAAACGGAGTTCGGCGCTGGAGGGGAAGAGACCGAGCTTTGTGAATGCCTAAACATCCACGAGACGGAGTCTCGCACAGTACTTCATATTTTCACACATCAACTCGTCAAATCAAATCATTTCAGCAGGTAAAGGAGACGAAAAGGGCAACCTCTGATTACACAAATCGCTCAATGCCTTCCCCAGCATAACTTTATCCACCTCACCCATCACTCATCTCAATATCCCTCTCCTCCGCTAACCACCCCTTAACCCCAACCCTCGGACTCAACTCCCCCACCACGTGCTTCGCAACTCTAACATTCCACCCCATCTCCGTCAAAATCCCCACAAAGCTCGCCCTCGGCCCCGCATACTCCCTAACAACCCTATACATCTCCCGCACCATCCTCTCTTCCTCCGCCGTTGGCTCCTTCAGAAAAACCGTAATATCCTTTAACTCATCCCTATCTACATCGATATCATCCGGCTTAGCGTCGAGCCCACGTGAGGTATTTGCCTTTTGTAGTTTCAGAGATAGATTGGGGAGGGAAGAAAGGGATTATATGACAGAGATGCTGGGATGCAGCCAGCGGGATGGACCGAAGCCTTTGAATTCGTAGTCTTGGAATACTAAGCGCAAATTCCGGAGGTTAGGCAGTTCGAGTATGGCGCTTAATTCTTCATTCCCAACCCCGGGGTTTGTGCGGGGTCCGTATAGGACTGCGAGACGTGTGATGAGAAGACTGGGTTTGAGAACGTTGTTTATGGTCCAAGATATGAAGTGAGGGAGAGTGGTGATAGAGATAGCGAATTCGTTGAGGGAGTAGAAGGTTTGAGCTGCTTCGAAGGCGGAGGTGTCTTTTTGAGAGTTTGGGTTGGTGAGATGGATTGAGGAGGCTACCCAGTCTTGGAGCTTGGAGAATGAGCCGTTTGGAAGGATATAGATGGTGGTTGTCTGCACTAAAATGTTATGAAAGAAGGCGGAACGTGAGGCTGGTGGGAGGTTTTTGAGGTGTTGACGGTCGACGGTCGGTGGGCTACGGGACTGGGTTTGTTGTTGTTAGGTGAACGCTTGCTAGACTAGAACTGTTATCGCTGACTGAATCCTTGTTGAGATTGGCTGAAATTCATATCTGTGAATCAAGATTAAGTATTTTGAGATGGCCAGGAGAGAGATGTTGAAATAAGGTTAGTTTTGCCGCCTCGAGAGATGATCGAGTTGAGGAGCTGCAATGCGTCGGGCTTAATTGTCACCAATCAGGGTCCAGGATATGCGTTGAAGGTACTCACTGGTCACTCGCATTGGACCTCTCACGCAGTTTCGATCTTGTGAATATTGTGTCACTAAACAATCTGGAGGAGAACCTTGTGCGCGTTCTTTTTGAGTAAAGTGGAAGCTCGGTGAGCACTGATTATCACTTGAATTTCCCCCCCCCCCCAAAAAAAAAAAAATTTGGTACTTACGAGAGCCTAAAGTATGGAAAGAAGTAAGCATGTTTGCAACTGCGGTACTAAAGCGGCAGGCAATCAAGAAGGAAGTTCGAGTCTCCTTACATTTACACCGAAAAGGAATTTGGTTACCATGAACAAGCCGAACACTTGGCTTTGATTCGTGACTGTAAACTGCGCTTAAAGACCAAAGAAGTGTAGCTGTATGAAACAACTTACTCAAGCACGACATTGAAATTCATTTCTATTCATATACACAAGAACCCTAGATGTCATCAAACCTAATCCAGCACCAGAACCTATCATTATTGCAGCTCGTGCCTCATCGCGCCATCCAGTTCTTGCACTCCAGGACGTTCACTAGCCTGCAACTCATGTACCTGATCCACACCAGTATTACCCTTCTCCCCTCCCTTCTTACCCTTGAATCCGAAGAAACTTGACTTTTCCGCCAGCCTTGCATCGCTCGCTCCATCGGTTCCTTCCACCCCATCACCGTTAATTTCTGCGCTGCGCTTCTTCCTTGATGCGTGGATACGCCTAGCAGCAAAGCCAATAAACAAACCCCCAGCCACTAAGAATGCTACAGCACAACCAATACCAATTCCGACCTTCGCTCCCGTTGAAAGCTTTCCTTTATCCTGGTCTGAGCCTGCTGGAGACGAGGTGGAAGATGGAGGTTGCGTGCTCGAGGTAGTGGCTAATGTTTTCGAAGAAGTTGATTTTGGTTTCACGGTCGAGGAAGGTGAGGCAGAGGCCGTGGTCGAGGAGGCGGTTGCAGCAACAACAAACACATCCCCGTATGCGTTCGCCCCCGTCGAATCCGTGAGTCCAATGAAAAACTTCTTGCCCGGCACTGCAAACACTCCTGGAGTCCAAGAGTAGGAATTCGAAAGAATGTTGGCTGGATTTTGGTCAGTCTTGTTGTGCATCTACTGTGAAGTTGGGGCGGGGTGTCTTACTGGCAATTGGATTAACAACGTTGGGGTTCGTCGTAGTCCCGTTGTTCAGTGTGATGTTGACTGCGCCGGTGTTGCCTTTCCATGTCAATTGGAAGGGTACGCCTGTGACAATCCCCGACCAGGAATCGTCTGTGAAGCTCAGGCTGCTGGCTGCGTTGACGATGGCGCCGCAAAGTAATGAGATGTATAAGAGAATCATGGCCAGACTTGCCTAGAGGCCGTTCGAAGATTTACGGACACGCTGATGGATGAATGATCATGCTCATGACTGTCTGAAGAAGTAAGATGAGTTGAGGACTGAATCCTAAGCGCCACAGTGGAGATCTTCAGACTAGCTTCCACCGGAAGGAGCGGCCACCGGGGGCTAAGGGCCACCAGCCAATGGACATGTTCTATTGGCACATTGTATTCATAGATCATCAGCACTAGGAGAGGGAAAAGCTGCGAGGACCGCAGTGCTTACGTGAAACGTTTTGGGAGGGTGAGGGAGTTGCCAAGGAAAGAACCAAGACGTCTCGCGCGAGCTCGTAAAAATCGACCCATCAAAAGCAGACTTCTGCTCAGAGCATAAAAATCCATACCAAACTTGTGGATGAAAAGGGCACGTCTAGGCAGATCTCTCAGCAGCTGGTACTTGAGATAAAAAAAGTACTGTACGCGTTCGTTCCTTCCACAAGTTACCACTGGTGGTTCGTAAAAGCGACTGGGCCAAACTACTAGAAGTAGCGACTAGGCCACCCCCAATATTTGGTGATCTTCGCTAAATTTGTGGCAATGACTAGCCAGGACCAGGATCAGTCAGCTCGAAGTACCTCCTATACAAATTTACTATGTGAAATACTTGGCCCAGTCGCGAGTACGGCCCAGTCGCTTTCAACTAATCGTTCGGCGCTTCCCACCCAGTTTCTCGCTTAGCACGCTTAATGGGTGAGGGTCAGCAATACGCAAAGCACAGCAATGCGCAAATCCAAATTTTAGTGGGGACACACCAAAATCGTCCGCCTCGCCCTTTAAAACCTAACACAATTAATAATTACTTAAGTTGTGGCAATTAATAATAAGATATGGGCCTTTCCGTAAGTCAAATTTGAAAGGCAAAAAATAAAGGCGTTATCGTTGCGTAGTCTGTACAAGTTCCCCATACAAATTTTGGTCTGATTTTGGTGTGTTTTGCGCATTGCTGTGCTTTGCGTATTGCTGACCCTCACCCATTAAGCGTGCTAAGCGAGAAACTGGGTGGGAAGCGCCGAACGATTAGTGGAAGGAAGGAACGAACGCGTAACACTTGCAGGTTCTTGCTCGGAATCCTCATAGAATGGCTGCATATACCAATCTTCACGGCTCCAAGCGGACTCCCGACGTCGAACAATTGTTCGTTTCCAGAAGTCTGTCTTTCTAGGATGCTCCCTTCAGTTCTGTCAAGCATTTTAAGCCATCTCGAAGAAGTCTTATCAAATCGATAGGAGACACCGCTTCCTTTTGTGAGAGTCCAGGCCATATTTTGGTCCCGTCATCACTGCAAGCCAGCATTTCCCCTGCGCTTACTATCTAGCATCGATAAGGAGTGTTTCATCGCGTTTTCATTGTTCACGAGTCTGAACGCTTTATCTTTGCAGATTGAGGATCGCAAAAAGGACGGGGGAGTGTGTAAACAAATCTGGCAGGAAAAATGCCGGAATAGCTGCTCAAGATGACTGCTTGAATGCTGGCTGCCTAACAGCGCGGGCGGTGCAAGGCAGAAGCCACTGCAGGCAAGTGCAGTCTCGGCTTAGCGGCTTTTCCTCGATGTCACCCTCTTTTCCACAGCCTCGTTCTTCCAAACAATAACCTTCCTCTTGAAATGCCCCGGTATGGACCTCTGGCCTTCCTGAAATATGGATCCACTATCTGTGGTTTCACTCGTCGGTACAATTGTTCAATTTGTCGATTTCGGGGGCAAGATCTTGTCCAATGCGGTTGAGCTGTATAGATCTCCAATTGGCACGTTGACCGCCCACCACGAGCTTGAGCTTGTGACGACCGACCTGCGGGCTCTGATCTCCAAGCTACAACAATCATTGTACTCCAGGGATGGACCTCCGAACCAAGACACTGCATCTCTACGGCAATCTTTTGAGGCGTTGTGCGACGAGGCTGTGAAAGTCGCAGAAGAGCTTCTCAACCGATTGGAGAAATTGAAGGTGAAAGATGGCAAGCCTCGGAAATGGGAGAGCATTCAACACGCCATCGCTGCGGCATGGTCTAAAAAGGAAATGGTCGATCTCAAGAACCAACTTCTCGGACTCAAGGAAGCTCTCGAAACAAGAGTACTCTTTTCAATCAGGTTGGCAGACGCTCTCAAAGAAAAGTGAATTCTGATCTGACTTTGGCAAGGGAAACTCTCGATACCCATTCCATGCGGGCATCCACTCGATTTGACAATCTCGATCGACACACGCAAGCGATTCTCCAACTCATGCTTCGCAGTCCTGCCGACATAACAGCTGAAGTCTCAGAAGAAGTTCGTAGCCAAATAATAGCTCAGACCACAACAGTGGGCCAGATTCTCAGTCGCGTCGAGTCTTCGGTTGAGGACAGCCACCGTCAAACTCGGCAAACAGTTCTTGAATGCATAAAGGAGGAAATACAAAAATCGGGTGAAAAGAGTCGGTGGAAGAAAAATGGACGGGAGCCGGAAGACATCGATGTAGCTCAATGTAGCTGCGCGCAACGCTCGAGACACGAAGTGCGCCGGGAACTATTGTCTTCGGAACCCTGTGAAATTACCGCCGGTATTGAAATGTTGAATGTTTCAAAGCCTGCCGAGTTCAAGCTGCGGAGGGATGTATTTTTCGAGATTTGCCAAAGCCTTCGATACTCAGCCATGACGCACAGGTATGAAGATGTGCTTGAGGCGTATCCTGAGACCTTTGAATGGGCTTTCCATGATCCCTCAGAAGAGCAACTTCCATGGGACAATCTTACTCATTGGCTGGAACAAAGCCACGGCATCTACTGGGTCAACGGAAAAGCGGGCTCTGGCAAGTCGACTTTCATGAAGCACTTGTATGATGACACGCGCACCCGCAAATGCTTGAAAACATAGGCTGGGAATGCTCCACTATGTGTCGCCACTTTCTTTTTCTGGAACAGCGGGAGTCGAGAACAGAAGTCCCAAATTGGCTTGCTTCGCTCGCTGCTCTTCCAATTATTCTCTCAGCGCCCCAATCTCATCCCGATAGTTCTTCCCGAACTTTGGGCCAAGACATATTCCAATGCGGTCAACGAAATGTACCCAGGAGAAGATTTTGCTCGATTCTGGTCCCTCCAACAACTCATGGTGACGTTGAGGACATTGATCCACCAAGAGGGAATTCCTCTAAAGTTTTTTTTTATGATTGACGGACTTGACGAGTTTGATGGTGATCACGAAGAGCTGGCAAATTTGTTTAGAGAGATCACAAAAGCCCCACATATAAAGATGTGTCTATCAAGCCGGCCTTGGGTAGTCTTCGAGGGCTTTTTCGGACAATGCCCAAACCTGCGGCTGCAGAACCTGACTTTTAAAGATATTGAGCGGTATGTCATGGGCAAGTTAAGCCACAATGATGCATTTCTGAAACTTTCAACTGAAGAGCCAGAAGCTGCACCTGCGCTTACTCAAGAAATTGTAGAGAAAGCAGATGGTGTATTTCTGTGGGTCAACATCGTTGTACGGTCTCTCCTGGGTGGTATTAGGAACAGGGACGAATTGTCAGACCTTTGGGCCCGATTGCGGTCCATGCCCAGAGAGCTTGAGCCTCTATACAGTCACCTGCTGGGGCTCATTGAACCATTATACTTGCCATGGGTCTCAAAGACTTTACAGATCCTTCAGAACAATCACAATCTAGGTCATCAGCCATTCGGGAAGTCGTCCTGGGCGAGGCAAGGTGTCGTCCCTCTAACTCTTCGGGCTTTCTTTCTAGCAATCAAAGAGGATTTAGACGCGATTACTATGCAACAATGCACTTGGAAATGGCTCAATTCTAGGTGCGAAGACATAAGGATCCGGCTGACTGCACGATGTGCTGGTCTCCTGGAAGTGTCGAACATCATGCCTAGCACAGAAGAAATTTCCAAGGGGCCCGAGCCCAACATTCTTTACTTCCACAGAACAGCGAGGGACTTTCTCGAAATGGACACGCAGTGGCGTGAGATCTTGATGCAGACAGCCGATACCGATTTCAACCCGAATGTTTCCATGATGAAATCTTGTCTTCTCTCCCTCGAGTACGCCATCGCCCACGATTACCGGTATGTCTCTGCTTTACACAGGGATTTCATGATATACTCATATCATGCCGACTCACATTACAGGTCTCACGGGACTCAGGCTATCATGCTGGATTGGGTGGCCGGTATAATGAATATTGGAGGCTGCAGTTGGGGGAGAGCCGACTTCCTGCCCGACCTCGAGGGACCTCCTGATTTCTTAAAACTCGCCACAATATATGGCCTGCGCGGATACATCAGCATAAAACTCGACCGGTCTGGCCAATCACGAGACAAAGCGCGCGCAACAATATTACTTCACTATCTCCTACCAGGTGATACCTCCCACGCAATTCTTGCAATACCACCTCCGAGAATCGATATGGTATCTCTCCTGCTCGACTTTGGTGCAGATCCAAATGGACATGGAGATTATGGCCTCGGAAGCCCTTGGGAGAATACGCTCACGTTTCTTCACAAAGTAGCGAGCTGCGATTTTGAGTCTTATCAACTGATGTACGCGGCAACCGTGGAGAAGCTGATCTTAGCCGGGGCAGATCCAGAGACAATGATCGTTGACCGGTATTATGGCCAAAGCCATAGTGCAGTGAACATCATCAAGACGTGTCTGCTCCCGAAATACCGTTTGGAATCAGCTTCACTCTTACAGGCGCTCCAACGCACCATGCAGAAATCAAATCCCAACGGAAAAAGGCAAAGAGATGAAGCAGAAATGGATCATGCAGATAGTCTAGCGAAAAGGGTTCAGGTACACTCCACAGCAAGTTGAGGTGGGAAATCTCACAGGAAATGTAAAGATGGTGCTCTATACGACATAAAGTCCGAGAGAAACTATTCCCCGTTAATCCGAGGGGATGCTTCTTTAGTCTTCGAGACGTCTACGTCTATATACAAAATTTGCTCCTCCCGACACTGCCCCTACTTCGGCCGCCGAAGCGGATGAGCTTCCGTATTTCTGTTTCTTGTCAGCAAAACATCATCTTACCAAAGGTACTCGAGGAACTCACAATACATATTCATCCAAATTCACCACACTCGTCTCACTAAATAACAAATAGAAGTACTTCAATGTCTCCGCCAACCAGAACGACTCCATCTCATCAACCTGGTTCGGGGCTCCACTCAGCACGTTATCAATCGCGGAGTGAGCGAGCTTCGTTTCGGTTTGTGCTTGGATGGCTTTGAACATGTTCCAGCCGCTGTCGGCCCAATAGCGATCACCTGTTGTCCGGTACAGGATGAAAACTGACTCAATTGCTTCTGGTCTGGTTTTTGTCAGCATCTACTTCCGGGAAATGGAGGCAGATTTTACCTCAAGAGATATCTTCCATCCCGGATATTGGCGAAGCCTGGTGAGAGCTTTTTCATCGCTATGCTCTCTCGGATTTCGGACTCGCCAGCCATTGCATCTATGCCCTTGTACCACTTTTGCCTGTCCCATGTACAGCTCGTCCGGTTCTCACACGGGATTGCTGTAAATGTTTCAGGCATGATTCCAGTCACCGTGTTTCGATATGCCCAGACACACCCATGGGCTAGCTTGGCACCATCTTCTACATCCTCAGGTCGGTTGAAGATCCTGCCTGCGATGGCGAGCATACCGCCAGTGAAACAAGCGAGATGTTGGAGCTCAGGGGTGAGTCGAGGCTCCCCGCCCAGTTGGAGATTAATGGTTCCGAAAATGAGGATGTCCTCGTCGGTAACGGTCATGGGACGGAACATTAAATGCTTCTTTGCTACCGGGATGAATTTCTCATACATGTTTCGGTATGATTTCATCTGGCCGCCAAGTAGCATGTGTTGCTTTTCTAGTTAGCGAGAAGCGGTGGCAGAGGAGGCAGAACTGACCTTTGGCAGATACTCGTAGGTAGAGTCTGCCAAAGCACCGAGAGTGAACATCTCGTCGCTTCCCTCGTACGGTGAGCCGATGAGAATGCTCTGATTATACTTCGTAGCATCTACCATAGCCGGCCACATGCCCGGTAGGGCCGTCTTGTCTTGCCATTTCTCCAGCTCGTTCATAACCCTTTGGACAGCGTCAAAATATTTATCATTCCCAGTGATCTGTGCCAGGCGCGTGAACTCAAGCTGTAAGGAGCCTAGCACGGCAAGCACAACGGCTTGGCTGGGCACATGGTCATGCGCGAATTCGTCAGTTCTGTATATATCAGCCAACGCCACTACAAAAAGAGGGAGATGCCATACGCAGACCACAAATAATGCGGCGAAGGCATTCGATTTGGTGTATCAAACGCAGTATACAGCACCTCCGCAAGCTCCACCGCCTTCTCCGCCAAAACGTAATACCTCCCGCCACTGATATCAAACGCCGCCAGCAGTCCTCCCAGATGCCTTATCGTCGTCTCGAATAGGTTAATCATGCAACCTTCTGTATTCGTAAAATCCACATTACGCAGCTCTACCAGCGAGATCTCGAATTCTTCCTTGAGGCCCATGATCCATAGTGTATCGAGAGAATCGACCATTGTGGCAGCCCACCCGCAGAACGGCGTCTTGAAACCGCCTTGTATGGGCCGTAATTCGTCCTTCCCCCATGCTTCTTGCTTATATCCTCTCCAACTATGCAAGAACGCATCTTTCACCTCCTGCAGCCGCCCTTCTCGTACTTTTCGTGCCTTTGGAGTCTCAGGAGTCGGCGGATGTTGGATCTTGGGGAATTTCTTTGATCGATGACGGGGGAGACGAATTAGGGAGGATGGAGGTAATGGGTACCGCTCGGGATGGATGGGGAGCGGCACATAGTTGAATTGGTGTCGAGAGTGCGCGAAGCCGCTCTGTCGGAGGATGAAGAGGAGGCAGAGGAAGAGGATGCCGGTGATGAGGCCGCGGGTTAACTTGCGGGAGAGCGCTCTGGTTCTGAGCTTGGAGAGGGACGGGGAGGCTGGGCGGAATTTGGAATTGGATTTCGATTGAGGGGCCATGGTGCAGGAGAGAGCGAGGTGCTGAGGTGCAAGAGGAGAGTCATCTCTCGACGATGCGTTCCATCTGGCGTGTATGAGGATGTTGGTGGTTAGGAAGAGCAATCTTACTGGCCATCTGTCGTCTAGAGATGCCAAGAGCGCGTCGGCCCAAACGAAGGGGTGGTAAGGCAGCGCAGGAGCGGCCTGCCCAGAGGCGGCTGCGGTTGAATTGGATTCAACCCAATTGGGGAATGTGGCTGCCGTTTAGCCATTATTCCTCTTCATTGGTAATGGGCGCTATTGAGAAGAATGCGCTCTATGGCAGTTTCTAGCTGTATCTGACTCGAAAGGGAGGCGTTAGAAAGGAGTTGATCAGGTCGGAAAAGAAATGCCAGTTGCGGGGATATTCCCGCCCAAGGCCCCTGATCTGCAGCGAGCGGCTGCAAGGTCCTCTCCTCCCCCCTCTGTATCATACTTGAAACGTAGCGTGACAAGAATAGCACGGCTGTTCTGACATGTACGATGCCCCAGCGGCGCTACTCGAGCTCCCGCTTAAATGCACGCCCCGCTTAAATGCACGCTTCACCAATAAACCACCCCCTCTCTTTAAATACCCACAAAATGGTTAATGAAGACGATATGAAGAAGGCTCTGGCCGAAATCGAAAGCTCTAAAGCTCCTGATTATACTATAATAGCCAGAAAGTATGGGTTAATGCGATCTACGCTATCCAGATGTACTAGAGGACAAACCACCTCCCGAGCGGAATTCCAGTTTTAAATCCACTAATATCTTACTAATACTTAAGAGTATATTCTAATTAATTAAATTAATCGCCTTACTAAGTGCGGGATCCCTCTAACTAGTCAAATAGTCAAGAACTTTATAGAAGAGATAATTAGATATACTATAGGGAAGAACTAGATTTCTTAATTTTGCTAGTGGTACTAAAGTGAGCTAAAAAGCTTATATTTATATAATATCGAGAATTAATATATTAAGGACAAATATAGCCCTATATATAAGTTATTTTTTAATCTAGTTAAGTATTCTTTTATATTACTTTATTATATTTTACGAGAATTACCTACTAATATATATCCTATCCTAGTTATTCTAAGCTATTAAATATAATTATATTACGGCTAATAATATATATAATTAGGACGAAAAGGGCTTCTTAATTAGAGTTATATAAGTAATAAAGCAAATTATATCTAAAGAGGTATATAAATTAGAGAGAGTTAAGTAAGCTGCTTATAATAAAAATCACGAATTTATTACTTGTTTAGTATATATTTTTATAATTAGAAAAAGGGTTCCTATAATCCTATTATATACTAGTAAATTATTTAATTTACGAAATACCTAGATATAAGATTTATAAGAGTAAAACAACTTCTTTTTTAGTATATTAAGTAATAGATAAAGTAATAATATATAAGGGCTTTAATAGCTTACTAAAGTCTTTAAACTAGCCATATAACCTTCTTCTCCTTATATAAAGCGCCTTTTAATTATTAATAGCTATTTAAGCTATATAAATATAATATTTATTAATAAATATTAGAACCTTTATATTATACTTCTTATTTTACTTCCTTACTTAATATATTGATTTTAACCTTTAGATATAATACTTTTTGGTCTTTTATTCTTTATATACTCAAAGAAACTTAATAAATAGCAAGAATAAAGCCTTGGCTACTCGTTAATAAAGAAGAAATAATTCCTAAAGCTATTTTATCTAGCCTGGAATAGTACCTTTACTATAGAGAATATTTAGAAGGTATTTGCAAAGCCTGGTATTTAGCCATATAATCCTATTCTTGTTTTAAAGATTATTTACTATCTAATTATTTTCCCAGAGGCCATTTAACCTATACCTTTATTAATTTAATAATTAAAGACTCTATAATCTGCGAAATCGATTCGATACTTCCAAGCTAACTTTCGCAAAAATCCGTCCCAAGCAAAGCTTGAGAAGCTCTTTAGAGCTAATAAAGAGCTAGCTATATAAGCCGTACTTGATAGATATATAAAAGAAGGGTTACTTGAGGTATTAAAGGACAAAAAAAAGAGTAAGGCTTATGGGAAGCAGCTAAATATCTTGGAAGAGAAGTATATGAAGCTAATACTCTTCTCTATAAATAATATTTGATGTATACAGGAGCTTTTTACTAAAAAAGAGGTATTTGCGAAATCTGAACGGATACGAATTAATACTAAAAAGGCTGCCAAAGCTCTTAAAAAGCAAAAGAACGAAGCTGAGAAGGCAGAGAAGGCTCTATAAGTAGTAGTAAGGGGGGAGAATATTAATAAAGTGAGAATTAAGGAGAAGGCTAAATTACAAGCTCAAAAAGAGAAGAAAGCTAAGCAAAAGAAGGTTCCAAAGGCTCTTCTAGTAAGAATTAAGACTCCTGCGAAACCTAGAAAAGTACTAGTTCTCAAAAAGAAGGTTATTTCCTTTATTAATAGTAATATTAATAGGGGGGTCCTAGAAACACCGGTAAAACAGAGCTCCTGGGGGCGTACGATAAAACTACGGGTGATTTTTGAGAAGGGGTCTAATTAATTTGGGATATTATTTATTAGCTATTAATCTATCTCTATTTTTGATTTCAAGCTAATTGGTCTTGTGGTTAATTAATAATTTAATTTAGAAGTAGGTGAGAGTGAGGAAAAAAGTTGGTGGGGGCGCGTGCATTTAAGCGGGGCGTGCATTTAAGCGGGAGCTCGAGTACGTTTTATTTAAAACAAACCTTCGGACTTCAACTGCAACCGATTCTAACACTCCTTGTAGGAAGATCATCCACAGAATCAACGGTCCGAAAGCTCGAGATGCTGCATGCAAAAGCAGACGAGTGGGCCAAGAAATACACTTCGGTCTTCGCCACCGCCAAATACGAAGTCATCTGCTTTATCTACAAAGGAGATAGGAGGCATATTAGAGCCAAGACGAGAGCAGTAGACCTGGGACCGACGAATGGCGTCGAGAGGGTTATTCAGCCCAAAACATACCCCAGATACCTCGGAATTATCCTAGATTTAGAATCCAACGATATAAAGTATACAGATATATAAAGGGGAGAGGTAGTAAGTAGATCTATGCCCAAGGCTTTATTACGAGCTTATTCTGTGATGAAAGACCATCTTGCGCTTGGGCGGTGAGTAGGAAGGATATAGATATATAATTAACATAGCTGTGGACCTGTGTTTATATATACCGCAGCAACACTTCTCTTCTGACCGCCCGTGCTTTATGCTCAATGATATGTGGAACTGATGTGAATATTAAGTGGTCCTCGATATTATTGTATCAAATTAACCTCGAGAATTTATGCAACAAAAGCTTAACACAGATTCACCCTTGACTTCCAAGAAGTCTCTCAATATACCAGAAACCTTGGAACATTGAAGCGATGTGCAACAAAACGCTCGAGTTCCATGATTCACCACCTCCTTGTTCGAAATGCTGCCGTCAAAACAGGCATGAGGCACTGGCCTCTCCTAACCATCGTTCTGGACAGCGGATCGATTTTTTTCTTTCTCATCTAGTTATCAGCCTTAACAGTAGAGAGAAAAGTGTAAAACTTAGACGTCCCTCCAATCTTCTTGCGAGGTACACTCCAATTCCTCCACTCCCTCGGCTGGATGCAGAAGCCTTCTTTTGATGAAGGATCTCGAGTCTCATCGCCGTCCCATCTGATTACTATATACCCTGACCTCATGTTGAACAAAGTTAGCTGACCAATGCGTATGTCCAAAAACACAAACATTCCCCATCCCGCGCCCGTTCATTCCCTCTCCCCATAAAATATCAACCTGCGCCTAAGACCAATATTGCCCAACACCATCCCGATCCGGCTTCGATGTAGGAATTATACACGGTACATAATGCGTTATGACGATAAGCACCCTCTCGGGATCTTTTTCCACTATACGAATTCTCCCAATCTCAAGTTTAAGCCAGTCCAAGTCCTTTCTATGACGAGCGTTGCGTTAAGTCGTCTCCGTGTTTTTCCCGACTATAGCACTATCAAAGCTCGCAACATTATGTTTAATATGATCCTCGCGGTGATGAGACCAGAGCGTACACCCCAAAATCGACGGCAACAACGACCTCAAAGGCTGTCTCGTGCCAGACCGCAACATTTCCACGAGAGATGGGGTAAAGCAGACTGGGACGTCGCGCGTCCATGAATAGACCACCCTGCTATAAATATGCGTCTTATTGTTCAGAATGCTGGCAAAGATAGCAGGGCATGATTTCATGGCTGATGGGTACAATGTTTGAGGACTGCTATTACGCGATTGAACTTCTGGCACATGCGCGCAGGAAGTCGAAGTAGCCCCGAAAGTTGGGGGCGAGCGGTACTAGGTGTCTTTCTGGCGGATTGTGGACCCTGTATCCGGCGAGGAGGGGGCAGCCGACGCCGAGGGAGCTTGGCGATGTCGGATATGTTGTAGGGGCCGTCGTGCTCGTAGAGGTCGGAGGCTACTTGGAAGCGGATCTTCCGCTTGATGGATGTCGTGGCAGACATGATTAATACTTATATTTTGCAGGTATAGCGGACAGCGATGAGTGATGTGAGAAGAAAATGAGATGTACTGTACTAATTTGAAGGATTTTCCCCGAGAGTGCTCTCAATTAACAAAAGTCTCGAAATTTCTTTGTCTCCATCACGAGGCCACCGCTGTGGCCCACCGATTACGAGCAATTGGGATAGGGTAGTTGGAACCAGACGAAAAATGTTGGGGAAGAAATGGTTATTGCAGAGCTCAGGAATGCCAGAGAGAGACAAAGTCTTCTGAACCCGGCTAAAGCAATCGTTTACTCGCAATAACGCTCGATGCATTCAAATATACAGATTGAATAAGAAAATAAGTCCAACGAGTATTGGAAATGTCAAATTCGGACAATTGAAAATGCAGTAGCGATTGACGGAAATTGTACCGGCTGAACTCAACTCGAGAAGGGATACTCCCTACTACTATATTCCTCTCCTGTCTCGCCTTGCCCATTTCTATAACATCTCTCCATCGCTCACGACCATGGCATCTTCTTCTGCTGGAACAAGAACTTAAAAATTTAGGTGTGGGTATTATTGCTTGCTGAGGAGGTAAAGTAGGGATGGACCCAAATGTCAATGTCGAGAGGACTGTTGGCCGGAATCATCCTCTTAAAACAGCGTAAGATCATATCCGTTACCTTTCTCCAACCCCCTCTTCCAAGCTGGCCGCTCCCAAACTCTCTGCCTCCAAGCCGAAATCTTAGGATGATCCTTCTCTAAGTCTGCCCACTTCCTCATATGTATGTAGTCGATTGGAAAACTCAACATGATATCCGCTCTCCCAAACTCCTTGCCATTGAACCACTCGTTATCGCTCAATTCGCCCTCCAAGAACGCCATGCTCTTCTTGAACTCACCTGTCGTGAAGTTCTTCTGTATGCCTTTGCGGAAAGCTCGTGCGATATACACGAGCGGCCATGGGGTGTGTTTCGCAGCCAGATCAAACATCAGCTCGACTGTTGTCAATGGGCCCAAACTGGCGCCCGCATAGGAGTTCAAGATTTCATCCTTGACCCAATCGCTTGGCGCGTGCTTGCCAGTCGTATCGTAGGTCTTGAGGATGTATGCGGAGATGGCGCTGCGTTCGATGATGGTTCGACCGTCTGCCGCGACGAAGACAGGAGACTTTCCAAGCTGTTGGACATCGAGAAGTTCAGGTGGCGCACGATGGCCTTGATCTCGTTTGTAGAGGACCAGATTGTATTCGACATCGACCTCTTCGAGGAGCCAGACAATGCTTTGTGATTGCGAGTCCTGTGAGAAGAATTAACTGCTGCGACGGGAACGGGTGGGGCAGCGAACAGAGAGGTGGTGAAGGGTTGGCAGTCCTGCCTTCGGAGCAGCTTCTGGAGTAGCTTCCTTGGCCGACATGGTGCTCGATTTGCGGAGTGAAGTGAAGTGCCGCAGAATGCGATTGAGGGTTGCGATGGTGAAGGCTGGAGGAAACGACGTCTCCTCATTCCTGCAGACCTCACATGCTGGTAACCTGGTATTCGCCCACCATTCGGTGGATGGTCGTTACGAACGTGCCTCCCCTTCCCCAGACACCACGCTACTGTGGGCTTAGCTCATGTAACATCATTTCTCCCATCCAAAATTTCCTCATTTCCTCTCTTCAAAGCCGTTTGAGAATGGGTTTCGTGATATTTCCAAAGTTGGACGGGGAAATTTCCCTTTTATGGAAGAACTTAAAAGGCAAGGATGGCTGCATATGCAAGATCGCTGGGCAAGCCGTTAGCCGGAGAGAACCTCAACCTCTCATCTCAGCCATTGAACGCCTCTCGTGGTCGCGTGAGAGGGACAGACAGCAAGTGAACTGCCTGTAGAAAAGCTCTTCGTTCCCCTTCTCGAGCACATTTGGTCTTGAGTACTCATCGTTTTCCACTTCAACTGAGCTCTTCTGCATCTCGAGATACTCACCGCTCCTGTACTTAAGTCACTTCGTACCACCATGGCATCCACTTCGGGCTCTAAACCGATCGTCCTCCACATTGGCGATCCTGTCAAGTGGAACACAGCATTCTACGACATATTCTCGAAAGATTTCACCGTCCTTCGTCCTTCGTTAGAAGAACGTCAACGAGATGCATTCATGAAAGGGCTGAAGGAAGGAAAGTGGGGCAACTTCTCTGCGATATTTCGTCCCTTTTGGAATACAGGGGGTGAGATGGGTCGTTGGGACAAAGAAATGATCCCATTGATCCCCAAATCGTGCAAGATCTTTGCCTCTGCTGGCGCTGGCTTCGATTGGGCTGATGTTGATATTTTGGCCGAGAGAGGTACCTTCTTGTCCCCAAATCTTCCAGATGCAAAGCTGACACAGATTTCGCTAGGGATTGTGTACTGCAACAGGTGCCACCTAACATCTTGGATTGGTTCTATCCATTTCTAACATCGTCCAGCGCATTAGCTTCCACCGAAGCCGTTGCGGACTTCGCAATCTTCCTCATCTTGGCGACATTCCGCAACCTCAATTGGTGCACGACCGCTGCTCGCTCATCAGCAACAGACTTCACGTATTGTCATCAGAACACCGCAGCCCTCTCTCACAATCCTCGTGGCAATAACCTCGGTGTTATCGGACTCGGCAACATCGGGTTTGAAATCGCGCGGAAAGCTTACCTGGCATTTGGAATGAAAATCAAGTACTTCGATGTTATTCGCAAATCCAAATCCAAAGAGGCTGAGATCGAAGCGGAATTCTTCACGGACGTTGACGCTATGCTTGCGATTAGCGATTGTGTGGTTCTTGCAACACCTGCTAGCCCAGATGGCAGGAAGCTCATAACCAAGGAACGACTCTCAAAGATGAAGAAGGGGAGTAGGTTTGTGAATATTGCTCGAGGTGTCCTCGTTGATGAGGAGGCTTTGGCTGATGCAGTTGAGGATGGGACTCTGGTTGGTGTGGGCTTAGATGTCCATGAGAACGAGCCGAAGGTCAGCGAAAGGTTGAAGAGGTTGAGGGAGGTTAACCTCACAGCACACAATGCTGGAGGTACTCTGGAAACGTAAGTACGTAAATCCCATACCAGGACTTGATTACTGATTGTCGCAGTCACATTGGATTCGAGGAGCTGGCAATGAGAAACATCGACGCCGTGCTCAAAGGCAAAGAACCGCTGACACCAGTCAACAAGCACTTGATCATCGTCCCTGCAAGCAAAATTGGCAAAGTCAAACTTTGAACCCGGAACCTTGACTTCAACTAATTGGCTTTGTAGAGTTAAAGTAGATATGATTCGTGCCTCAAAAGCTCATTTGAATGCATTCAGTTATTTCCATGCAACGATTTACGAATCAAGCATGAATTACGTAATGACCAGATATGGCCTCTCCTCCCTGATCCACGTGAAGGAGCTAACTTCAACAATTGACAAAATTGATCACGTATCAGTTCGCGTCTCACCCAACTAGCCAGATACATGTAAGACGGGGGAGGCGAATTTGGGATATTCCGCAGCCACAGCGAATCAAGCGTTTTTCAGCGGCCGACAGCAGTCTCTTTTCCAAACGAAAACAGCTCGTATTCAAATCCATCTCTCAATTTCGTCGGGTTTCATTCTTTTCATTCTTTTCATTCTTTTCATTTCATTCTCCTTCTCCTTCTTCCTTCTTTAGCAGATTTCCAATGGCGAAAATAGAATTAGACATCATCGTTGTCGGGGCTGGCATTGCTGGCCTGGCGGCCGCGGTTTCTCTTAGTCGTGCAGGGCACAATGTTACTGTGAACTTGTACATTCGAGTTCCGAAAGATCGAAATCCTGATCCGTTTCTAGGTATTGGAGAAGTCAAAATTCAAGCTCGAAGCTGGGTTTATGATTGCCATTGGCCCAACCGGCGTCAGTGTATTGAGTTCGTTAGGTGAGGACTGAGAATCTTGCATTGAGAGCAGAATATCATCATTAACCAATACTTTCTTGATAGGATTCGACTTTGCCAGAGGGAGGCCTTCGCATACTAATTTTGTGGGTGTTGCCTAGATGGCAATGGAGGTGTTGGGGTACTGATTGCGAGAGTAGGTTGCAACGTATGACGGCCAGACTTTGGAATGCAACCACCATGTCGATGTTCGGTCTCAATCAAAGGTATGACCTCGCATGACAGATATAATATCCAGACTGATTCAGTTACCTCACAGAATTCCAGTGGAGCAATGACATTCTATCGTCCAGATCTCCACAGCGAACTTTTGAGATTATGTATGTTACAATCTAGTGAATACAAGTCACCCAAACTTCTCCTTGGATCTGAGGTTGCGACTGTGGTAGGTCCTCCCTTCCGTACCAGGGACATACTTTAAAGTGTACAGGATATCAACAACGCGACCGTTGTTCTCACAAATGGATCGTCTATTTCTGGCGACTTAGTTATCGGAGCTGACGGAGAACGGGTAAGCACCCTCCTTCAGCCCGTCTTGGATCTTCCATTGAAAGCTAATCGTGAAAGCAGTCACTCGTGAAAGCAGCATTCAAAGAACTAGATACATTACGCCCAGCACCATATCGCATTTTCCGCGCCATCGTACCAACGGAAACTTTGGTCGATAATAAGAGGCAGTGGCCTGTGCTGTCTTTGACAACCTCGAAGTTTGCTATTTTCCGGAAAGGGACAAGGATTTTGAGCTGGTTTGAGGGAAGGGAGTAAGTTCTCGCTTCGAAGGAGCTTCAGAGGGGTCAGAGCTGATGGAAACAGTGGTTTCCTGCAAGACCTGGAAGCGGGTTATAATATCTCTCTTGATGAAGATCAGGGCCCAGGTGAGTTTACACTTCCTTCAGTCACATTTATATCCATTAACAAGAAGCAGAAACAGATCCAGTGAAAGTTAAGCAAAAGATGCTCCACACCTTCTCGGACTACCATCCCAGTATACTTGCTGCTCTGCGGTTTGTTGTTCTTCTCCTTCGATTTCCGCAACTGAATGCCATACTGACAAACTCAAACAGAAAAGCAGAGCGAGTCTCCGACTGGCCAGTCTACTACTCTACTCCCCTCGCACACCTACACAAAGGGCGCGCTGTCCTCATCGGCGACGCTGCGCACTCTATGCTGCCCACTACCGGCCAGGGCGGCACGCAATCTCTAGAAGACATATGCGCACTTGCGATTTTCCTGCATAGTGATAGTTTGAAAGGGAAAAGAGAGAGACAGGTGGAGGAGAGGTTGGCAATGTTTGAGGAATTGAGAAAGGAGAGGATGGCGATTGTGCAGGCGGGTAGTGGGATAATGTTTGGTGATGAGGAGAGGTTGGAGAAAACGAAATGGGGACAGGTGCTTAAAAGGGCGGGAATTAGAGATGGGGAAGGGCATTTGAGGTTTTTGTATCAGTGAGTGGATTTTGTTTTCCTTGAAAGGGGGAGGATGGAAGGCTAATTGGAGTAGGTATGATATTTTTGAAGAGAGTCGGAAGGCGTTGGAGGAAGGGATGCGGGCCAAGGCTCGTCTATAGTGTTACGTTGAGCTGGATCAAGGACAACAGCATCCAAATGATCAATCATTGATCTCGCGAGAATACATGGATCCAGTGATGGGGGTTCATCCAACCATTTTGCTAGCCCTGGAGCCAAGTCCCGTCGTCCGATGCTCCCCGGATTCTGTGCCACGTTAGGCTGCGGCTCTCACGAAGTAGCGCACGCTATGGAAAGCTTCGCCTCGGTCTACAATTTCTTGTCCCGAAGAAGCGCTTAAGTTTACGGAGTATTTATGCTTGTTGTTTCATTGGAGAAACTCTAAACTATTTCCAGCTGGCTACACCTCGGATCGCAAGGTCGCCACGCGTCTCGCTGGCGTGGGGTATCCACTGAAACGACGACCCGTCAAAGCGACGACGTACCTATAATAATCTACTTATTGTTCATAACCTTTTCAATTCTCTCTATTTGAGATCCCTCTCAAGCCAAACGATGGCAAAGCTGTAAAATTTCACTCAATTCTTTGAAAATGCAACTTCAATCTCATTTTGTCACGACCCAGCGCTCCCGAATCTATTTGCCCCTTTCAATTTTCGTTATATTTGGAATTACATTCAGTTATTACCATACATTTAATTCTATTCCAGGATTGATTCCCAAGTTCAAGGCCCTCTCCTTATGGTCTTCCAAACCTTCGAAGTTCTGGTCTTCATTCGCTCCACTGCTAGCAGCTGCTGCGCCAAAATGCTCTCCGCCAGAACGTCCTCCACGAAACGCAGTTGCACAAAATCGATTCTATGATAGTCACTGGAAACTTCGATCAGGGGAATCATGGTTGATAGATGAATTCTCGTTTCCGAACCTATTGAACATGAACGACTCGGACCTTGAGTCTATGCACGACTCTCATTCGCTGTTCGTAGACCTTCTGACCATCAAAGCGCCCAACCTCGAATATGAAAAGGGAACCAAAGGCATTGTGACCTCAGCAGGAGGCTCCTATTTCCCTGTCCTGATCATAAGCATCCTCATGCTCCGACGAAGCGGCTCCACCCTGCCGATCGAAGTCTTCCTCACCACACCCTCCGAATACGAGCCCCTCTGCGACTCCGCCCTGCCATCCCTAAATGCAAAATGCATCATTCTCTCAGACCTCCTCATCGACACTCCACATACTTTTACCATCAAAACCTACCAGCTGAAAATCTTCGCCATGCTCTTCTCCTCCTTCGAAGATCTCCTATTCCTCGACGCAGATAACTTCCCTATCTATCCACCTGAAGACCTATTCCTTACCGAACCATTTACAACACATCATCTGGTCCTCTGGCCCGATTACTGGACTTCCACTGCCTCCCCTTACTTCTCTACTATTACGGGCCTCGATCCCGCTATCATCCGCACACGGCCAACGATCGAAGCAGGGCAGATCCTCGTCTCGAAGAAACACCATACAAAGACACTCCTCCTCGCTGCGTATTATAACGTATATAGCGAGTATTTCTACCGCATAATCTCACAGGGTGGGCCGGGGGAAGGGGATAAAGATACGTTCGCCCCTGCCGCACTGGTGCTAAATAGCACATTCTACACGGTTGAGTCTCCACCTATGAACCTTGGTATCCGGGCGGCTGGCGGCTCGGCTGTGGTTCAATATGATCCCTCCAACGCAAGGCCATTCTTCATCCACGCCTCCTGGTGGCCGAAACTCAACGCCCTCAAAAAGATCGAGACAGCGAGAAAATGGGGCAGTGAAGAGAAGAGCAGGGAAATGTTCGGCATGGATGTCGAGAGGGTGGTTTGGGGACAGATGGTGCAGGTTGCTTGTAATAGCTGGGAGTTTGGGGATTGGGGAGGCGGGAATAAGAGTCTTACGGGGGTGTGTGAGCAGTCGAGGAAGTGTTTTAGGGATGTTTTTGGGGTGGGGTGGGAGGATGAGGGTGTCGGTGAAGAGAGGGAGGAGGGGTTTTACGGCGGTGGGGGGCTTACTTGAGCTGTGAACTCTGCCACTCGGCCGAATTCAGGGTATTGAAAATCCCAAGGATGCAAGGCCCCCTTTTCTTGGAACCCTCGCTTAACACCGAAATTCTCGATGAATGAGTGTGGCATTCAGCATCAATAAAAGGGTTCTCGGCAGTCTAGGATGCTTGAGCTGTGCGCCTAACCGATGGCGATCAGGCTCAAACAAAAATACTTGTGGTACCCAATCAAGCGACATGTAGAGGATCTATGGATCCAAGTTAAAGCGTGGACGCTGCGTGCTATGCCTCTAGTGTTAGAGGGTCAAAGGGATATTAGAGGGTTGTATCAGGGGCACTCTCGAGGAATAGTTAAAATAACGGCTTCTTTGTTATTGGATCCAACGTCGGACGGTGTTGTACTCCAGAATCAACTGAATGAAAGAGTCCACTCAAAGTCCGCATCGCTCTTTTCAGTCAATATTTTGAAGGAATAAAGCAAAGCCTCGAGTTATCTCAAACATCCCGACTCACGACAGAGGTTTGCTCTTGATTTGCAGAAGTCAGCTAATTCTGAAGTGACGTTTCCTGTCACTTCCCTTTTCCACGACGGATGCATTCGGAATCCCTGTGGTCTTCCAATTCATGGGAAAGGGCAAGGCTTCCAGATCGTCTACTTCACTAATCAGAATTTCCTCTGTGACCACCGCTGTGATTTGTAAAACAATTTTTTCCCTTCTGTATTTTGGATATGGACTTCGAACGAAACTCTAGAGCTTCCCGCCCAAATGGGATTCGATCCAATGCTCCTTCCCCTGAGTCGAAGAAGGAAGAGGAGGATACGCAGCACTACTTTCAAGCCTCTTCGGTTGGCTAAAATTGCAGTGCACTTCTTGTTGATTGGTCGCACGCATACGGAGCTTGATTGGATTGTTGGGCACCAAATGCACTGCAATTTTAGCGTAGAAGAGGAGGAGAAGTATGCACATCTCAGACGAAATGTGGGGGTGGAGAGCCAATATGAGGTTTGAGGTTGAACAGAAAGATATCGTTTTGATAACGAAGAGACTTGATATCTAAGAGTGTACAAGCATGAATATTGGGACACCTCACAGGATCCCGCAAAAAGATTATTTATCTATCTCCAGCAGGACTCTCTCCATCTACGTTAAAATTGCAGTGCATCTGGAATTCTTCAGATTCGTGGTGGCTTTTTTAGTCCCCTTCGTCTGCGCTTTACCCACTTTCCCCAACTTCCTCCTGAATTACGGAGAATGATCTGGGCAAACGCAGCAGGCTATATGGCGAACGGACCCCGCATAATCCAAGTCCAGCTCGAATTCGACGCAGCAATGGGTTCATTGCCCCACGATACCAAGTCACTTCACCCGACAGTCCATAATCGACTACCACCCGAGCATCCATGAATGCGAACCAATAATCTTGCAACCTAACCACCGTCGTTTCCCCAATACGCTTCGATTCGCCAACATGCAAACTCGATCCTCGGTGGACCATCGTCGTGTGCTTGAACTTCGCAATCCACAAATTGACGAGGGAATCATCGATTTTAACATAGATAGAGATATCATACTCATGGATATCAGCACGTTGCTGAATCTAAACTACGCCCATGTCGCCCGCGGACACTTGGCGACTGGCTCCGGCTTGGGTGGTTTTCATCGTTTCCGGCATTCGGCTACGATCCTCGAGAATAACAACATCCACGAAATACAGAATCTCTTGAGACGGAGTAATGGTGGCCTCCCGGGTACCGTCGATATACTTCAAGTGGCCGACCTGCCTAATTCGATTGCAAATCGCGAAGACGCTGAAAAATACCTCGAGCGCCAGAATTGGCGCGATCTTCTGCTAGGTTAGGGGGAGTAGTTCGATGCTTTCTTCCGAGGAAATCTGCAACAATATCCTAATTGCTGAGACTCAATCTCCACTTCCAAGACACCTTCAATGTGCCAGAGCATATGGGAGATTCAGGCGATATGCAACAAATCCCAATCGCTAGCCTGGCAGTCTCTACTTCAAGGTTCTACTAGAGCACCTGGGCACAACTGGCCAATCGCTGCTGTTCTCACCCACATTTCTTGGTTTCCCCATTCGATTCTTCACTCCGAACACCATTTGGAGCTGTTGAGAAATGGGTTTTCATCATCTCCATCTCACAAAAATGTCGACTATCTCATCTTCTCTCCCTACTTTACTTGAGTTTATCACGAAATACCACCCAAATTCCTGACTAGCTTTGGCAGCATCATTTGGGTATACCCGTAGTCTTTGGCCGGACTGAAGTTGTGGCACCAATTCTGGAGGGCCGTCCCACTTCAACACACTGCACTCTGGTGTTACGCGAGATAGGTGGAAGCTGCTGAAGCCGTCGATAAAGTCCCAAAGTTCAGGTGCCAAATTCCAGTGGCTCACGAGACCATATCCCACATACAGCCTGGAAGGTTCTGGTCCCAACGTGGAACTTCCGAGGGAAACAAGTGCCTCGCCTCTATCGTCTTCCTCTGTGACGAAACCACCTTCTTCACGTCTTGTATAGATGCAGCAAACTTCAGTGAGGATGGTCAGCGCAACAGATTGCAAATCTCGAGAACTTGCCTTTCCCAAGCCGAGAACTTCCTTTCTGGCTAGAGCGTTAAGATCCATCAGGGTATAATCGCCGTCGTGGACCTCGACAAAACTGTCTGCTTGAGAAATAGCAGTCAGTGTTGCTCGCAAGGCCTCTGTCGCTTCTCTTTTGTCGTCCTCTGGCTCGCCCGTTAACAGCTCGGAGATGTGTACGATGGCGGCAGTAGCATTGATCGAAAATCTAAGGTTTTGGACTGGCGAGCCCCCTAGCAAGCCGGACAGCTGCTTGTTGAGTGGCCTGAACAACTCCTTGGGATCTAAGACAAACTCCCCGTGTTCCTGGGGGCAGTAGAATCCCGGGCCCACGAATGAAATCGGTCCTTCCTGCAGCACGATCCGCTCTATCTGAGAGAAGAGATCCTGAAACGCTTGACTCCCTGGACGAACACCACAGGGTTCGTCATCAACATCCACATGGATGTAAACGTACACTGGATAGCCTGCAAGTCGGGATATCTGTTGCAAAAGTGGTATTTGCGATGCATGCTGGACCACCAGCCGGATAATACCTCCTCTTCTTCCGAGGATGCGAGCAATGTTCGCGGTCCGCTCGACTTGTGAAGGGGACACGGGTACACCATATATAACCTTTACAGCTGTCAGCAAATCTTCGGAATTCTCTCATTATTCATTCTTCTGGGGCATGTCCTCACATTTACTTGCTTTCCCTCCTTCTGATATTCCAAGAGAAGAGGCAAGAGATTTTCCGCTTCCGAGAGGTTGGTCACGAAGACCCGTGCTTGTTCTGGATCATCGCCAATCTGGAGACGGGCGATTTCTGCTGTCTGCTTGCCATCAGTATACCGCGAGCTTTGATATTCGCTTTCTCAAGCGTCCTAGATGGATTTGGAACGTCTTGTCCTACCTTGTGGACATTGACAAGTGGAACAAAATCGAATCCGAGATCTTTCACAGCATCGGACATGCGCTGGCAGTTCCGCCTTACGGCAGCGATATCGATCACAGCGGCAGGGAGTGGTATGTCTTTCAAGGTCTTCCCCATGAATTGTTGCACCAACGAGGCTTTGGATGGGAGTGGGTAGTTTGATGACATGGCTGCCTAGTGGGGATTGCTAGTGGATACTTTCCTTGCGTTCTCCTTTAGCCAGTTTTTGCTCATTCATGTCATCGATTTCTTGGCTGTAACACCGCACAAGCTTCCGTCACATTTGAAAAGTGGTCAAGAAGTGTTGGGAGGTCGCTTTGAGGAGGTTGGAAGCAGACCAGCTACGGGTTGATTTAGCGACGCTACGGCATCTATTATTTTTTTTGGAAAATCAAAATTGATGAATCGCGATTTTTTTTTTGGCCGCATTTATATGGAAAACACACCTAATTATGGCCAAATAAACAAATCCCATATATCATAGTCAAATGCCCTAATAATATTACTCTGTCCTCGCTAATTTGAACTGCCCCCGATTTCCCCTACGTTTTGATGGCCTATTCCCCGGCCTATAATCACCATCCCCTGGTAATTCCTTCTCTCCATTATCAAGATCTGAATTATCACCGTCATTACTTAATATAATCACCTCCCGCTTCCTCTTTAATATAGACTTCAGAGGACGTTAAGTGGGTAGAGCGGGAGCAGGAGCGAACACTGGTAAAAACGTCAGATCTACTAGTATATTTAAATCTATTAACTTACTAGGTATAGAAGCAGGATCAGGAGTAGGATCAGGAGCAGGAGAAACCGTAATTCTAGCTTCTAGCATAGGCATATCGTCGTCCGAATTAAGGTCGTCCGAATCAAGGTCGTCACCTGACCCATTCCCATTCTCTACAGGAGAAACCTTCTCCCATATAGCTTCGATTTATTAATTAGGAGTCGAAGCAGGTAAAGAAGATACCATAGATATAGCCGTAGATATAGATATCGCATTAGGGATAATATCAGGAGATCCCCCTAAAGAAGGGGTATAATTTAGTAAAGGCATCTCCCCATCCCTCCTTTTATACTCATCCTGAATCTCGTTATCTCTTTCCTAAATTTTATTAATATCTTAATCAAATACAAGATAAATATGCTTTGGTATACTCTTATTTAATTGGCTAAAATGAGATAATAAGCCGTTAATATCTTTTTCAGCTTTATATATAAGATTAGTTACATAATTAATTCTCTTGTTTTTGTCCTTTAGCCAAACCTAATTATATTAGTACTAATTTTATTAGGATACCAATAAATACTAGCTTACTTTACTTGCAAAAGAGACTCCATTTGCGTATTCTAAGATCGTAATCCATTAATTAAGCTCCCAGTCTTCAAGTAACGGAATTGACGATAAAAAAGCCTTGGCTAAATATATAGCGAATTCCTTATATGCCAGTTTTTGACTATAGTAAAAAACAATATTAGTAAAGTGGTATTTCTATAAGTAAGCTTTACGTACGTATTAAACTGTTCTATGCTCTATAGCTCAATTTGAATAATTTGAGCCTCCCGGTACTCTTCCAAACTAAGGAACTTCTTTATAGTTAAAGCAGGTATACTCCTCCCAGTAAAGCTACTCTCGATCTCTTCTATTTCATATATACGTAGTATAATAGAAACAAGGACCTTATATCATTTTTCGATAATAGGAATGGGAGAAATCGTCGATTTACCCTTACTAAAGGCCTTTATACGTGCCCCCTGGCCGAGAGTAAGAGATCCAAAGGCTTTACCCCTTTTCTGGGCCGAACCTAATAAAATTAGTAAATAATATATTAATATCAGGAGTTAAATAGACAGATACATACTTTCGCCCTAAGCTTCCTAATGGAAATTACTACGTAATCGCTCTAAACGTTCGAGCTTAGCCTGCTGCCTCCTCTTACGTGCTTCTGCCTCAAGGATCTCCTCTAAGAGATCTATACCCGGGGAATAGTAAAAAGGATAGGAATCAGCTAAGATATTAATCCCTTAATCTCTTAATAATTGGGCGGTAGTATTTTAAAGTTGGGTTTGACTAGAAAATGGTATACTATCTAATATAATAATCGGTATAGGAGTAATAGGAGCCGGAGAAGGAACAGTAGGGTTAATCGTACCATATAGTAAACACTTTACTATAGAGGGGGGGTATAGTGCCTCCCGTATAAAACAAGAGTTCTATAGATTAATATTATCCATTATAAATATTTGGGGATAAAAGAATAAGGATTTGATTTATAATCAAATATTAGAAGGAGAGTATAGCTAATAAATCTAGTAGTTTAGTAAATGGTAGTATAAAGACAATTAGCAGGATAGAACTATAATATATTAATATTATTTTAATCCTTTAGCCTATACCCCTATAACTTTTTCCCTCAATAATTTATATACTAGGGACCTATTTCGAAGATTATTAATAGTGGCATATTACCAATATATAAAAAGGAATAAATACAAGAACTATAAGGGATACCCCTTAGTATAAATTAAAATTAGATTTATTTTATTTATCCCTAGTATTATTATTATTTAAAACATGGTTTCCTATACTAGGGGCTATAGAATATTTAGTAAGGGGTTATAGGAATTAAAGAGAGAAAATTAAATTCTATATATAAAGAGACATTTTCATTAAATATATCTTATAATTACTTTAAAAGTTCTCAAGAACTATTAATTCAATAAAGCTAGTATTAACGGAGAATTTGATCTATACTATAAAGTCCTTACTACTAAAACGATAAGTTAATAATATAATTATAGGGGATATGAAAAATAAAGGGGCAAGGGTCGATTTTTTGAGAAGGTAAATCATATAACCTTTTGACATTAAACCACCTATAACTATATGAATTTGACTTATTAAACAGACTACTATTAACTTCTATATTTAATTACTTTAGCAAATATTAATGTTTTTAGCTAGTTCTTTCTTTGGGATATATATTAATATATCCCCGTTTAGCTTCTCTATTACCGGGTAAACCGTCTAATATTTACTAGAGGAATTTCTAGATTATCCTCCTCCTCCGCTTCAGGCTCAGATATATATCCATTATCCATAAACTACCTATACTCTTGACCATTTATAACCCAATTACCATTTGCCCTATTAAAAGTAATACCATCTATAGTAAATCCAGTATCCTCTGTATTATTTTCAATCTCCGCTTCGTTATCAGAGCCAATATAGATAAGATCTTTATCTCTATAGCTAGTATCTCTCCCTTTATTAACAAACTAAATACCATCTTAATTATTATAATCCTTTAGCCTTGCCTCTTCTAGTCCCATAGCTACCTCTGGTAATGAATTCTAATCATATATACCCTTGGGTATTAATAAAAGCCCTAGCTTTAGACGAGTATTCTTCGTATTAATCAGGTAGTCGGTAATCAATTCCCTTAAATATATATAGGCACTCAGGTAGTTCAGATCTCCATTCGAGTCACATATAGACTCCATAATTAGGAGAATAAAGCCGGTATCCTTAAGCTCTTGCTTATACTACTTAAGTATAACCTCCGGTAAATATATATCTTTATTATAGCTAGTATATCCTTTATATAGCTCGTTTAGTTTATTAATATTAATAGGAATTCTATAGTCCCTAACCCCCATTTGCTCTGAAAACATATAGTTCTGGAAGGATTAACCAGAAATAATATATAGACGATTAGGCTATTTCCTAATTAAATAGATATTCCATATCCAAACAAACTCCTCAGTTTACTCTTGTATAATAGGCAAATAGACAAAAAGCATAGCTATATAATCGGGGAGAAGCTTACAAGAGTAAAGCCTTTGAGAGTATAGTTACTTAAAAAATATCTTCTATTTATTTAGTATGCCCTATATAATATTAGCTAATTAAATAAGTCTATATGGGATTAGTATAGATAAATTACCTTTGTAATTTGTCCCTACTATACCTCAATACGTTAATTAGCCGTACTAGTCCCGAACTAATAGAGATCTGAGAACTAATATGGATTAATACCCCTTATCTGGCACATTGCTTTATAGAGGATATAATAGGTATCTGCAACTATAGGCGTTTCGCACCCTCTATCCGATCGAATATAGAGTGGAATAACCTCTATTTCGTCTACCAAGTCAAGGTATTAAACTAGGATAGTAACCTAGAAGGTGGCATAAGTAAGTACATATTAGTATGATATTAATCAGGCCAAAGGAGAATATGGTATAGAGATTCAGGGGTTTTATTACCTAAATTAAGTGCAATTCAAATAACTAGTTCTCTGTAATACTACAGAATTATATAGCCGGGATTACGACTAAGTAAATATATTAGTATAATATTAATCAGGCCAAAGGAGAATATAATATAGAGATTCAGGGGTTTTATCGCCTAAATTAAGTACAATTCAAACAACTAGTTCTCTGCAATACTACAGAATTATATAGCCGGGATCACAACTAAGTAAATATTAGCATTTTCGAGGGGATATATCCGTACCGAATTAGGAAATACTACTACTTACAGTATAGCCATTTGAGATTCTAATATAAATCCAAAGTACAAACCGTAAGTAGACATTAATACCGGCATATATCTCAATCCCACAAAATCATAGCTAAGCAAACGGATTAGTAGTTATTAAAATAATGATTTTTGAAGTTAAGTATATACTGTACTTACCTTACAATAGCCATTAATGGACCAAACAAAGTTCGGCCCATAAATATTATATTCCCCCCTAGCTGCCTTCATCTCTTCCCAGCAATATTATATGCTTTCTGGATCAAGTTCCTATATTACAGAAGCTATTCTATTCCTAGAAAACTTCTGGCCATCCCCTAGAAAGTTGAGATAAGTATATAGAAGCCGGCAGCCATAACTTCTAGTATTGCCTTATAGGCCTTTATCGATTATATATTACTTGAGAATATGGCGCAATTGCTCCTTTTCTAGCTCAACGTACGAATTAAGCATTCGACGTCAAAGGCCCATAGCTCGGCAAGCATATTGTAATAGTCGTAAATTAGGAATATTGTATCCTAAGCTCCGGAGTTTAGCAAGTATATTGGCATCAGTCGTATGGATATCACAAAAGAACCAGGCGATAAGAGCCTTCACCTGAGGAGAAGGCTCAAATATCGAATGCTGGGAAGGCGCTTTCCAATCGGAAAGCCTATTACGTAAAGTTCTAGGGGAAATATCGACGTTAAAGTCGTGCTTTAACCTCTCCACAATCTCGTCATGTAATAATTATTGCCCAATTAAACAAAGGATATGGGCTTAATAGCAGTCGATATTAATCCTTAAACGAGGCATTATGAAGAGATTAATAATAAAAGATTAAGGAATTAAAGATAATAATAAAGGAACAGAAATATAAAAGAAGTATGCCAGTGGCCTAGTAGTTACAAGGGGGCATGTCACGTGCATTTTATTGATTTTCCCACCCTATTGCATTCCCACCATGGAATGCGATAAAACACCATATAGATCGACTGTTTTAATTATATTCTACCATAGGAATTACTTAGATTATTAATAATCTCACATTTTTAAAATATCGCAATTTTGATTTTGCGAAAAAAATAATAGATGCCGTAGCGTCCTTAAAGGAGCCCGTACCAGCTGATCTCGGCGAGACAGCCATTCAGGAGGCCGCTTTCCAGCCCACCCTTGGTCCCTGCAGTACATTCCACAATCAAACATTCATGTTCATTCGGGTTCAAAGTTTTGGAGACCCAGGTCTACGAAGCGGCAGAATTACTGAAAGGTTATCTACTGTTCGACCGACAATACTCCATACAGCATGCAGCGAGCAGAAGAAGAAATTTGAGGTGTGGACTCTTCGAATAATCCCAGAAGATCTTGGCGCAGGGACCAATAGATCCTAGAGTGCAATATACCATCCGTACGAACGTCTGTTGTTTCGCGGCAATCCTCACCTCACTTTGCGGGTACGTTGTAAGGGTTTAGCTTGGCCCTAAGCGAAGCGCTAGGCTTGGACGATTATTTAAGGAACCCTGAAATCTACGGAAAGCCGTAAGGATCAGAAGACCAAGCGATTTTCGAATCTGGTTTTCGACCTTCAATGTCTGATTTGTGGCACGTGCGCACCCCACCAAAAATCACAAATACCTATACACGACGCCTATATATTATGCCCCCTCTCTCTGTGCCTCTATTATTACTTCAAATATTTCCTCTCTTTGATTCTTCTCGCTCTTTTTATAAGTATAAGGGTAAGAGAGGGGAGAAGGGGGGGAGGGGGAGGGCAGGGCAAGGGGATCTTACTAAAAATTTACGTTACAAAGCACTAAATTTTTAGTACCTATAGCCTATAATTTAGTGATTGTGGCCCTAAAATTTAGCGATAAGTAGCCTATAATTATAGGGCTTCCTTTTCCTCGCGAGTCGCATGCCTTAAAGCTCGCTCTTCGATTTTCGCTTTTCGCTTTCCACTTTTCAACTTTCACTTTTCACTTTTCACTTTTCACTCGCCCTCCATCTCCTCCTCCTCCCCCCCCCACCCCCATCCCCATCTACCCCTCTCTTACCCCTCTCTCGTATATATATATAAATAAGAATTAAAAAGAGAGTAATATTTTAAGTAGTAATAATAAGTAGAGGCACAGGAAGAGAGGGCATAATATGTAGGCGGTTTTTGGTTGGGTGCGCACGTGCCACAAATCAGACATTGAAGGTCGAAAACCAGATTCGAAAATCGCTTGGTCTTCTGATCCTTATCGCTTTCCGTAGAAATCGTAGCTTCTTAGAAATCAAGTCCTCTAGACCCTACCTCTCCTCCAGCCAATTCAATCGACCGGGTATCAACGCCAAGCCACCGGCACGTGACACATCGCCGCTTTACTCGCCTCGCTTCACCTCAACCTCACCCATCCTCACTAGCCTTCTTATGCATACTCTACCGCCTCACCTCTACTCACCCGTCTTGCCTGGGATATGCTTATCCCCGGTCGCGCCGCTATCGAGAGCATTAACTCTTAGCAAGAAGAATTTAGGGGAACTAGAATAGGCTCCCGGGGGGGGGGGCATAATAGGCCCCTAGTACTAAGATAAACTCCTAAACTCATAATCCTAGTATTATATATGAATACTATTATAGAGGTAGACTTAGAATTCTATCTTATAATATACCCCTAATTTTACTCTCTATCGCGATTCTTGCCCTTAAGTCTTCTTCCCTTAAGCCAAGTGCCGCCCACCAACAGTCAACTTCGCCAGCGTTTCCAGACTCGCAATCCAGACTCGTAATAACAACAAACACACTGTCTCGATTTTCGGTGCTCTAGGTTTACAATCAGGGAGCATAGCAGCATACCAATCTCAGTAGCTCCCAGACCGTCGACCATAATTTTGAACTTGGGAGAGAGTATCATTGAGCCACATTGTAACTAGAACACCGAACAGAACACTGATCTCATTCCTGTTTCAGTCAACCTATCCGCAAGGTAATAGGCTTACAATCGCTGCTGGTTTGGTTTATTATTCAGGAACCAGTGGCCGGAATCGCTGATTCGTTACTACAGTGTTCAACGCTCACGTCGGCCATCCGTGCGGATTTGTGTTACTAACTACCTTTTTTTTTTGTTGATTTTTTGAATAGTGCAAACTGAATTAACACTTACCAAGGTTGCGCTGCCTTCTATAGGCTTGCTGAGGGTTTATATCGCCCTTGGACCACTTTGGGAAAGAGGTAGCCGAGGAGAAAAATCACATAATGAAGTTTTAGTAAGATTTTGAGGAGGATCCTTAACGATCTTGGGATTTTGGTGGGTTTCTCCCTGCCGACTTTATCGCTAACAATTTCTACTAAAAGGCGTGAATGAATAACTTAAGAATAACTCGAAAGCTGTCGCACCCTTATCTTAGGTATAGTTGTATAAAATGGCATTTTATGTTTCCTTGTACAATAGGTTCGAATCTTATTCAAGGTTGGCAGCAATAGAAAACTAGTACAATACAATTATCTAAGTAAAACGATAACAGGACCCGTAAGCTACAAGCATCTGGCCAACGACCACAAATCCTCCTATCGTAGGTACAGCAAAAATCAACATAAAAATCAACGACCCAATGAAAAAATGAATTAAATCTGTCCTACCAAGTCCTGCGTCAAAATCGCAATTAAGCCAACCCCAGAATGACATACCCCAAACTCCCACAACACCACCAGAAACCAACCAGGTCATCGTCCATGTCTCCTGCGCTAATGTAGCCGACTGTGGCTTGAATCCTGAAAGGCCACCAATGATAGCCAAGGGAATTAGACTAATAATACAAGCAGCGTACAACGCCGAACCTATATGCTCTGCCTTTGACCCAAGTGACTCAAAATGCACATCGTCTTGATTGGTGGCGGGATAGGTAGATGCAGCATATACTTTGACGTGATAATTCGGCAGTTTCGCTAGGCTTACCACTGTCCTCTCGATCCTTGGGGAATCCGGCACAAAGACTATAGCCTCATTTTGCATCGCGACTTTTGGCTCATGGATATTTTTTTCTGTCCACATCCCTCGGCGCCACTCTGTTGGCGCTTGCTCGATATGCGGTTGAAGTCTCCTTTGTGCTCTGATTTCTGTTGTGTGCAGTTCTCTGGGTTCTCCATTGGTTCTTTCTGTTATGGTAGATCTTTTGCTAGAAGAAATCGAATCCGAACCTTGTCCTCCAGTCTCGCCCCTCACCGAGAAGCAGAAATCCAACTTGGGCGGTTCTAATTCGGCCAACGCGTTTGGATTTGGCTGGGATATTGATTCCATGGCGGAAGATTGAATGTCTAAACGTTGAGATATGGACATCTTGAAGCGAATATTCAGACCCTTCTCTAGAATTTTGTCTTCGGAATTGTAGATATCTGTCTCGTTATTCTCTTCCTGGTCCATTTCGAAGCAAACAGGATCCCTTATCCAAAAGAAGTGAGTGTTTTCACAACGAAATAGATTCGGCTTATCTTCGTCAAATTCCCTCAAACGGCCAACAAGGCCCTCTAGGTGGCATCCAGGTCTTTTTTTGGCCTCATCAGAAATTGAAGAGGCTACGAGATACCTATAAGATATTGGGTCAGCTCTACCGTTACAGGTTACGAGGAGCAAAAGAGAATCATCACACTTGTCCCAAAAGCTTATTATGTTAATAACGCTACCAGCTATGCGTACGTGGACATAATCTGGAGACAATTCCAACTTACATTGCAGGATATGAAGGTACCATTATACTTCCTAGAAGATTTACCACAGACATGACAGCATATGGAGCGACTGTTAGGCCGAAGGCCGCAAAGCCGTAGCGATCGATCTGATCGCCTCGAGAACGATATAATGTGATTGATGTGAAGAGTGATTGTCCTCCCGAGACTAGGATCTTAATCAAATTGTAATTGCTGGAGATAGTTAATTACTCAGCTGGATTATCGTTGAATTCGAATTGAGCATCCTCGGGCACAACTGCGAAAGAATAGCCATGAGGAAGTTTGTGCGATCCGTGAATGTGACGGCCAAAAGTCTTTATTGTTTCGATCCAAGGATCTCTGAAAACTCGTACGAATACTCGATTTTTCGGGCCTATTATTCATTTAACACAAACCTTATATATAAAGATGTCGAAATTACCTATACTCTCGACGCTATTTGTTGTAACAAAGTTCGAGATATCTTGGCCTTTATCATGTTGTCTTTCATCTAACTGCCATCGACTTCCTCCTCTGCGCTCGGGGATAAATCCTATTCAATTGTCAAAACTCGGGCTTTGAAGAGGGACTAAAACTGATAGGTACTTTTGTAAGGTTTCGTAGCCGACGGAATCCTGCAAAGGGCGTACTGTGCTTCATCACCAGCGTTCGGCCTCCAGTCACGGGATCTCACCACCATACAAAGAGCTCCCGCCCTCGCAGCAGTATATATATCATTCTTTCCAAACACCGCAAAACTCGTAATCCTTGCAATACCTGCAAAATGTCTGTATCAGTGTTCGTCTTTTTAGATAGCAGCATAGAATAAGAGTAGCTGTTTAGGCTTATATCAGAAGCATGATTTATTAGTTACTAATGTAACAAACTCCTAACACACAACTTAAATAACCAAGTAATTGATGTAAGTTCTCACCTCGAAACACGCCGCTCGTTGGAAAGAAGAGCGCCCCGGCCGCAGTTGCAACCGCCACTTGCCATCTTTCTCCAGGCAACGTAATAGCCGTTGCAGCATGGGCTACATAATTGCCAAGGAAGAAGAAGATGATATCTGTCCATTGTGTTGGCGTACAGAGAAGGTTTGGCTCGCCGTGGGTTGACGTGCCATCGGGAACTGTGAAAGTTATGTTTTTCAATGGAGATGACGCAACTAGGCCTGCGAACAGGAGAAGCAGAGCGTATCTTGTCATCTCAAAAAAAAAAAAAAAAAAAAATTATTTCTTTGGTTCGAGAGTGTTCGAAAGTGGACACACCAGTTGGAATGGTAGGAAATTATTTTAATACGAGTCCTTGAGGAAGTATGCTAGTGCGGGTAGCTATTTCGAGGCCGCATAATGGGCGGTGCAGCGATGTGTGGCTGTGGGATAGGCAGCGGCCAACACGCCACAGTCTGCGCTCTTAGTATCAGCGGCTGTGCCCGCATTCACGTACAGGCCTGCCTCCGCGGTAACTGCCACTACTACCCCCCAGCACCGGGATGTCGTATTCCCCTTGCGTAGTGCAACGTTGCTCCTAGGAAGATTGTGCCTCGTCTTATGTGAGTAGAAGGAGCCGGGAGCCTCGTTCTCAAATCCAACATTCAAAACAACACGGCAGCTTGGGTATCACCCAGCCACTCATCTCAGGACAGATTTAACATTATTTTGTATACCTCATTCCATCGCCTGTCTTGTTCCAACTGTCCCAAACTCATCGCAAGACAATCGCCGGGTTACCCCACTTCGGCATTCAGGGGTCATCTCACGTTATCCATACAACCCCCAGCAAACACCACCCCTGCGGTTGATATGCACATCTCTCGCACACTTCCGCACAACCCCATCGGAACCTTCCCTCCCCGCCATGCCCGCACAATTCAGGCAAAAGTGAGTTCCTCCAACCTCCACTTTTCCCTCCGTTTTTCGTGCTACCCTCTCCACGATCTTAGTTGCCGTTCTATTTGTGTCTCGACTTCCCACCCTCCACAAGTCCTTTCCGTTTGTTGGTTAAGGCCCGGTCCGAGCGTAACTCATGAATGAATGACAAGCAAATCACAATTCAAATAATGTCCCCGCTCACCGCCACCGAATCAACCCCTCCTCAGCCTCAGCCCACCTCCGCTATCAACGAAGTCAACTCCAACGACCTCTCGACCCGCAATCCCGGGTTCTGCAAAACTGAATCCAGCGATACGGACCAGACGCCCTGGAGCAAGAAGACCGAGCATGATGTTGCGAGCGTCGAGGCAGAGACTTCATGCATTGAAGTCTCGTGGGACGAGCCCGAGGACCATGACCCCGCCAATCCACTCAATTGGCCGAGTACACGGAAATGGATGAACATTGGTGTTTTGACCTCCATCACGTTTCTCACGTGAGTATACTCTCTTTGTACAACTCATACAACTCAATCTTGGTATGACGGATAGCAATTGATGGAAACAGACCATTGGCATCCGCAATGGTCGCCCCAGGCGTCCCAGACATCATGGCCGAGTTTCACGCCAGCTCCCCTCTCCTGGCCACCTTCGTCGTCTCCGTCTTCGTGCTCGGCTTTGCCTTCGGCCCCCTCGTTCTCGCCCCCTTAAGTGAACTGTACGGCCGTCTCCCAGTGTACCACGTGTGCAACGTGCTCTTCCTCATCTTCACCATCTGTTGTGCAGTCTCGAAGAATATGGGGATGCTAATTGCGTTCCGGTTCTTGTCTGGCTTTGCGGGCGTGGCGGCTGTGACGTGTGGCAGTGGCACGATTGCTGATCTGATGCCTGTAGAGGAGAGGGGGAAGGCAATGGCGTTTTGGGCGATGGGTCCGATTCTAGGCCCGATTATTGGGCCTGTTGTGGGGGGTGTCTTGATCCAGCATGCGGGATGGAGGTGGGCGTTCTGGTTGATTGCTATTGCTGTAGGCATCTACATCCCGACACATGATCAGGTATGGAACTCCCGCTAACAGCTCTCAGAGCGGCATCATCACAACCCTCGCCTTCCTCCTCATGCGCGAGACCTACCCAGTAGTTCTGCTAGAACGCAGAGCAGCAAAATTCAGGAAGGAGACAGGCAACCCCGCCTACCGCTCCAAGCTTGCCTCCTCTCTCTCCCCCCAAAAGCTAATCCAGCACACCATCATCCGGCCGCTAAAGCTGCTCTTCCTGAGCCCGATCGTGACGGCAATGTGCATCTACATAGCAATCATGTATGGACTGCTCTACATCCTCTTCACAACCTACACTTTCGTCTTCGAAGAAGTGTACCACTTCTCGACCTCCACCGCTGGCCTCTCGTTCCTGGGCATTGGCGTCGGGACGATCGTTGGCCTCGCGTTTTGCGGGACTCAATCAGATCGGATTATCAAGGCTAAGCAAGCTGCCGGCGTTACGCTGAAGCCGGAGGATAGATTGCCGTTGTTGATCACGCTGCCTTCTTGTCTTGCAATCCCGTTCGGCCTCATTCTCTACGCATGGACGACGGATAAAGGTGTCCATTGGATCGTGCCCCAGATTGGCACAGCGATTACCGGGTTTGGGATTATCGGGATTGTGATGTGTGTGCAGACTTACCTGGTTGATGCGTTTACGATTTATGCTGCAAGCGCGATTGCTGCTAATGCGGTGCTGAGGAGCTTACTGGGGGCATTGCTGCCGTTGTGTGGCCTGGATCTGTATCAGAAGATTGGACTGGGATGGGGGAATACACTGCTTGGGTTCATTGCGTTGGCGTGTGCGCCGATTATCTGGATCTTTGCAATTTATGGCGAGAGAATACGGACAAACCCGAGGTGGCAGGTGAACTTCTGAATGGATGACTGGAAGCAGAACTTGGATATTTTTTTTTTCTGGGGAGGGAAGCCTCGGCAAATATCTCTCTCTCTGATGGGAGTGCTTCCCCGCATAAACTACGCTGCCGCGTCCACGAGGGGAAAAAAGAACAATCTGGTGACGACTACTTGGGAAGAGGTACTTCAGAGACCGGGAGCTTCCACCTACGGGACTTGGCATTTGAGCTGAAGGACTTGTGCGACTGACTCCAGGGAGGGAAATGGAGTCATGGCGTAAGAGAATTGGGCTCAAGGACGAGAACCATTCCGCCCCAGGCAAGGTGAATACTTAGGGTCTGATGAGACCAAAAGATAGAGCATAGAGAGAGAGAAGTACAAAACCGGCAGGCTCAACCTTAAGCCCCTACGTCGGTATCTTCCCCCGAAGGAAAATAAAGGTCTTTGAATACTAGATATCCAACCAAAGATATTTGCGGCACTGCAATGTTAGCGCGGATGAAGGGGACTAAAAAAGCTACCACGAATTCGCCAATCCACCAGATCTGCAAATAGCAATGCACTGCAATTTTAGCGTAGATGGAGAACAACCTTTTTTGCGGGATCCTGTGAGGTGTCTCATGATTCATGTCTGTACACTTTCCTTTCATATTTATATTTATAGATCTCAAGTCTCTTCATTATTAAAACGATATCTTTCTATCCAACCTCAAATCTCACATTGACTCTCCACCCCCATATTTCGTCTGAAATATGCATACGTCTCCTCCCTTTCTACGCTAAAATTGCAGTGCTGCCCCCTTTAATAAACTAACCTTTTCTCTCCACGCAGCCAGGCAACCAATGGGGGGCAAGGCTCCCCGGTTCACTCCTCTTTGTAAGCGAGAGAATTGAAGGGGCCAATCAACAAGAAGTGCACTGCAATTTTAGCGCACCGAAGAGGCTTGAAAGTAGCGCACGGAACCAGGCAGGCAGCCCAGCTGGCCTGCTTGGCGTCTCCACCTGGCCTGTTGCAGGGGTTTTGGAAGGTTGTTTTCTTAGCGTAGCTGGCTTTTAATGCCTGAAGATCACTTGTTTCTAAGAACTGGCCAGTGTAATAGGCCAACCAGCCGAACCGGCCAGCTGGGAACATTTCTGGAACGTTTTTGGAATGCTTTAAAGACAATTTACTAAATACAAGTTTATGTCTTAAAGCCCTTCTTCTTAATTATTCTTATTAAACTCGTAGAAACGTTTCTAGAACGTTTCTAGAACGCTTCTAAGTCGCTTGGGTTAGGGTTAGTTCGGGGGGCTGGGGGGCGGTAGGATTTCCCCTGTGTTCGGAATATCTCAGAAACGTTTTAGTAATAATATAGATATATAATTCTAGGTTCTATATATTATATATAATTGAAATTCCACCGTAATATTAATTATTAATATAGACGGGAAAGCAAAAGAAATGTGAAAGAATATTTGATGCCTTAAAAGTTGTAAGAGGCCAGGCCTGTTTTCTACCCCTGCAACAGGCCAGGCCAGACCCAATCAACAAGAAGCGCACTGCAATTTTAGCCCACCGAAGAGGCTTGAAAGTAGCGCACGAAATCTGGCATCCCGATTGAAACATGGCGGTCACTGCAATTTTAGCGTCCACAAAGTGGATGGAATCGTTCAGCCTTGTCTCACGAATCTTCGCCAATCAAATTTCATCCCAGCTTCTGCACCACAGTGTTAGCATGCACAAGCCAGTCTCGCGATGCCCCAGCCTTGACCACATTGTTATGAAGACATTCATATTCCTCTTCCGAATAAGCTACTAGGTACCTCCCTCATCCTCTATTGTATCACATAACCATGCAACACCCTCTCGGCGACAATGCAAATGCAACAATAATACATGAATGTACAAAGCCGTCTTCCGCATAAACGCTGACGTAGCCAGTCGGCAATGAATGCAAGAATGCAAGATGTCTGAACTCCAACCAATCCCTCTGAACTCCGTCAATGTAGTCGTAGAATGGCGAAACGCAAACATGAACGCCAGCCAGTTTTGTTCATCCCAGCCACCGCCATGCGTTCATAGGTTCGTGAAAAGCAAAATATAAGAAAATTAAAGGCGTAGCGCGAGGTCCTGAACACCGCATACGCTTTGTGTGGTATGTGAGGGCCGTCAAGTGCGGCCAGTTGACTTAAGGTCCATCAAAGAACAGCTCCATATCGTCGTTTTCACCCCACTTCGCCGCATCACTCGCGACCTTCTCCTCCGGCACGCTGGGTCTCCTCTTCTCACCCTTCGGACCCTCCTGGCTATCATCTTGATTCGTCAACTCATCAAACATCCTCGACACACCTTGACTGCTACCCGCAAACGCATCACGCATAGGACTATCGTTGCCAGTCAGAGCAACCGAGTCAAGTCTACCGAATCCAGATTCGCCGAAGATTCCTGGCGGTCTAGTGCTTGCGTCGAAGCTGGGGGATTGGAGACCACCGTGGAGGAAAGAATTTGGTGCGAAGGCAGGCGAGGCGCTGGATTGCGGACTCATGCTGAAATGGGGGTCCTGGACGCCGGCGAAGGCCCCGAAATGTGAGGGATGCGCGTGGTCGTGACCGGATGGAAAGCCGGATAGTACAGGACCAGTTTGAGAGTGCATCGAGGCGGAGATAGGGAAGGTGTGTGAGGTCGGAGTGCCGGAGTCGGAGCGGCCTGGTGCTGGTTGGAGAGGCTGCGGCCGACCTGATGGCTCGCTGGACTTTCGCTTGAAGTTGTGTGGCTTGGTCTTCAGATTCTGCGGGAGTTGTTCGGGATCGTTGACACCATGTTGAGCCATAAGCTTTTGCAGCTTTGTTGGGCGAGGCTTGCGTGTAGACTTGGAGGCGTCAAGGATGGGTGGAGCCTCGGGTGCAACGGGTGACCATTTGTGGAGCTCTTGTCTGAAGAAGTTCGTTTCGAAAGCCAGCAGGATCTCAGCACCTTCGATCTTGCGGAGGTAGAACCGTTGAGTCTCGGCTTCCTCTGCTGTTCCCAACACAGGATTGCAGAAAGGAGAAACGTGTGATCGGAATTCTTGCGCATTGTCGATGATCTTTGCAAGAATCTCTTCCTCATCCGGTTGGAAAGGAAGTGATGGGATCTCATCTTGCCATGATTGCAAGTCCTCCAATTTTGGTCGAGCGGCGTCTCTTGGGATTTTTACTCGCCAATCACAAATAGGACAAGTATACTTCTCATCGTCCTTGACCTTTCCGCGAGCGATCTTGAGACATTTGCCGTGGTACCTAACGACTTTAGTGATGATCAGAAAGTGAGATAAATTTACCTACCATTCGTGGCAGAGCTCGCACTCAATCATCATACCAGCTTCAACACGACGGCAAATACAAAAGACCTCTCGAAATCTTGGATCCTCCCAGCTATGTAACTTAGCATCCGATGGGCTGGGTTCTCGTGAAGCAGGCTCGGCGGGAACTCTTGGCTTGTCTGAGTTGATATCGAAGCAGTCCAAGTTGCGCTCCAAGACATATTCCATGTGACTCTTCAGAATATGCAATGGGGCATTGGCCTTTCCGAATAGCTTCTTGCCCTTTCGCATCCAGTCTTCGTGTCGCTTCTGTTCCTTCTCCAAGTCTAATGTACCGCTTGGCTTGCTGTTGAGCTCTGCGAGGCGTTCGGTTGTTTCACGAACCTCTTGATACTTCGGTCTCTTAGTAAAATCCTCGTTTCGACTTCGCTCGTAGAGAGACAAGATCTGTCGATGAGCCTCACGCTGCTTGTTTAGAATCTGATCAACAGCACTGAGAGTCTCTGTAGACACCGGTAGAGCCGCAGCCTGAGCTTGCTGCGACAAAGCTTCCAATTGTGGGTAGTGAATGGCTTCAGCTTGGATGAGCTCTTGTGCCTTGGTTTCCCATTGCATTCCGGCGGCGCGTTGTTCCTTGTAATGGTTAAGATAATCGTTGTATTCAGGAATCTCAAGCTTGACGGCCTCGTCGATAATGTCTGACACTTCCTTTAGACTGAGGAATTTGCCACGATTATCGCGCGCACGATCATTCCACTTCATCTGTTGGACCAGTTTATCCAATTGCTCAACTTCTGGCATATCAACGTTGAAGCTTCGGCCAAGCTCAAGAAGCTCCTCAAATTCCTGGGTTTGGCGCAAGACGACGTTCTTGATGGCGTCCTTTGCGTCGAGTCGAAATTGTTCGATGGCAGCAGCACGTTCGCTAAGCTGTGTAATTTCAGGACAGTCAAATCCAAGCGTCTCGGCCTGCTCCAGGAGCTTGACAACGTTTTCCACCTTTCGAAGCTCGCGATCTCTTTCTTCGAGTTCTGCAGCCTTGCTTCCCTTTCGCCAAGCCTTTTCGTTCTTTCGACGGTTCTGCTGCTTTCGCACAATGTAGTTTGTTGCCTCGTCGACCCATTCATTGCATCGGTCAACAAAAGCTTTCAATTCCGGAAGCGATTTCAAGTCGTAAGGAATCCTCTCGCCTTCGTTGAGAAGGGCCCGCAAGACCTTCAGCGGAGGCTTGTCGCTCTCTTCAAGAGCCTTTTCTACTTTGTCTTCCCAGATTTCTGGTAATTGAGCTTTATCGGCAACTTTCTGATACATACTCTCAATCGCCTCCGCAGTACGGCGATAGTGAAGCGTGTGGTTGTTGCCAGCATATCGCTGGTCTTCAGGCATGTCACAACACTCGTGGTTGCCAGCGTGACTGAGACACAAGACCTTGCCACTGGTTTTGCACTTGAACCGAGACAGGTAGGCATATGCTTTGCAATACGCGCACTGATATTCTTCCTCGGGGACGTCGGCGTCATCGACAACAAAACCAATGTGGCACCTAGGTCCAGCACCCTCAACTTCGTCAGTGATAACGCAAGGGCCACCGTGTTCCTTATGCTTGTCGAGGAAGTTCTTCCGTGCCATGGCCTCGCGATCTCGAAGCCGTTCTAGTGCAGGAGCTAACCACTTCGCCGTCGCAATTGTCACACCACCGGTCGCGGCACCTTCACCAGCGGTCCAAAGAAGCTCATCGTGAGAAAAGCAGGGCTGTCTTCGGAATTGTTGGAGTCGCTCCACACCAGCATCGCCAAATGGTTCCCAGCCGCTAGGTGCAAGGTTCACGGCTTCGTTGAAGTTGAATCCATGATTGAATCCGGCATGGTATGCTTGTGGGAAAGTGATGACAAATTGACCAGCTCTTTGATCAAGAGCATAGACTCTGACACCAGCCTTCCTAAGTTGCTCGGGAGTCAAGAGAGTGACCAATTGGAACAAAAGATCCGGTTGGGTTTCGAAGAGTTCCGGAACTGCCTCTCGCATGGCTGCCTCGAACTTCTCGGCATCCTCTCCGGGAATGCCGTACCAGGTTTTCGTCGAGCCGAAATGTTGGTAGTTTGCTGAGTATGCGTAATGGTCCTCGTTGTGCCAACAGAAGGTCGAAAATATCATGCCAACATAAAGCCACGGCACGGTCATACCGGAGATATCTGATTTGATATGGCGGAATAGCGAGTCTGGGTGTAGGGGCATGATATTCAAGTTCCATGGATCGGTCGAGTACGGATCCTGGGGATTCTTTTCGATGGTCGGGAAACCACTTCCGTGAGTTGTTGAATGAATATCAGCACCGTATTCAACCTCGACGGTCTCTTCCAAGCTGGCCACGAGTCGCCAGAATTCTCTCTCGATATCATCCTCAGTGACGGGTCGAGGACAATTGAGGACAGGATCGAACGGCATCTTGTTTTGAAAGTAGCCTTCCTTGAAATCCGCCGCCTTCTCCTGGAATTGCTTAAGAGAGTAGATACCACCTTCTTCGAAACCGAAATTGCCATCGCCAACAAGACATCTTGGACAATGCCAATCGTAGTCGGGCTTGTGTGCAACTTGAGGATCTAGACAATTCATGTGATAGCTGTGATCGCATGACTCGCAAATAAGAAGATTGCCTAGATCTTCATTCTTCCCGCAATGCTCGCACCTCTGATGTATGCCTAAGTATACGTTTGGGAAGTAGGATTTAAGTTTAGATTTGCTTACCTCACCGGGGGCGGAAGAACCACGCGCGCCGGGAATTCTTGGCGGTGTCGGGCGGAACAACGTCATGTGAGATCCAGCCACAGTTGGGACCGCATCTGCAGGGCTGCCATTAGCCGGGATCTCCATCGCCAATCGAATCGCGCGACATTGCAAAATCGGGGTGCATTGACCGCATCCTTGACACCGCATCACGCCGGGATAGCATCCTCAGAGAAGGAAATGGCCACATACCTTTCTTGAGACGCTTGCTTCGTCGTCCACCATTTTCGCTGTCTTCTGCTTGGCTTCCCTTCCCCCGTGAGTCGAGGCTGTCATGGCTCAGTTGTCGCTTCAGCATCGGATTGGAGGTGAAGCCATTGACGACGGGCGCTGAGCTGAGGGCCGATGGGCGATACTCGGGAGTGGCTTTGGCGGAAGACATGGGGCTGTCAAACGGCCGTCGGGGAGGGGTGAAGCTACTGCTTTCCTCGCGCTCGCGTCGGTTGATATTGACGGGTGCAAAGGTTGCTGGATTAGCGTTGACGGGTGTGAATCCACCGGCGTTGACCGGAGTGAAGCCCGAAGACACCGGTTGTGGAGTGTGCGCAGGAGAATCCAACATGGGAATATTTTTCATGGTCTTCTCAAATTCATCCTTCAACATGGATGCATTGAGAGCTTCAGAGGCTCGAACGGCAGGAGACTCGCCTCGAAGACTTGAAGGAGTGTGGTGGTGTGATTTCTTCATCGGTGAGTTTGCTGGAGATGGTGTGAGAGGACCTCCATATTCGTACTCCAGTTGCTGATGTACTCCTGGCTTCGCCAATCGGAGGTATTCCTCGTACGGGAAGAGCCATCTTTGGTAGGAGTTCTTGAGTGATGTCGATAGTGAGGACATGATCTTCCCACTGTAACCCAAATCTCGTCCAATTTCAGCCCATTTCTTAAGCTTGCACACCTTTTCGAAGCCACCCCTCGTTTCAACAGCCTTCTTGAGTTTATACAAGTCGAGGGGCCGCTTGTCGACGCTGGGAAATCGATTAAGGTTGGTTCCATGTTGCTTATGGAATTTCGCAAGTTGATCGAGATACGTGAGATTCGCACGGGTGCCTGGTAGATGCGTTAGATGGAAAATGGTGGACAGGCCCGCCTGCCAAATTGTGCTGTACTCACTTCCTTCAACCGAATTCAACTCCTGCTTCCTCGTCTTGAAATGAAATCGCTGCCAAAAATCAGCATTGCGCTCCGATATGATATAATTGCTGATGGTTCGTAGAGCGCAGCAAGCCCAGGCATTGATCTATCGCATTGTTGAGCTCCAGGGTTGTGATAACATACCTCTGTGTCGATTGCAAAATCCGGCTTCCAGGAATCTGGTGGGATTATCTTGCAGATCCCATACTGTTTAGCCTCCGGAGAAATCTTCTTGATGTATGCGAAGGGGTCGCTGAATTCTTCGACCGTCGGTCTGTATGTGGGAGCCTCCTGCAAACCGTGAGGTCGTATCCTCTTGCTCGTCTCTCGGCTAGCTGTTGGTTGCCCCCTCCTCTCGACGCTGGTCATATCCAGGGGTGCGGAGTGCATTGCGCTCAGAGGCTGCTGTGTAGCGGCAGGATTATTCGCATTACCACCCGTCGCCGGTTTGCCTCGAATGGAGGTGGTGTTGCTGTTCGTCCCACTGGCGGGCGAGGCTCGCATGACGGAGCTCGAACCGGCCGCGGTCATCGGAACCTGAACCATCGTGATGTGTAGGAGGAACAAGGAGTTTCGAAGAGGTCGATGATTCGCAGGCTGAGAACTTCTAGCTTATCGACATCGAAAGGGTCTGTATCGGGGGGCTGGACGTCTGCCGGACGAATATGTTTGTGACGGGGTCGGAATCCTCCTCGCAAGCCTCCTCACCTCACGACGAAATCAATGCGCAGTCGACCCAGGCTACTGCATATTAATTGCATCTACGGAGGGGAAGATCGTTGGGTTCGAGCTTTTCCGTATTAGTTGGGCAGGAAGGTGGGTGTTGGGGTGCGGAGGAGAGGAGTGCGGTGCAGTGCGGTGCAGGTGAAGGGGAGGATTTCGATGGTGGGAGGGAGGGCGTCGCTTTGGACAGACATCTTACGGCAAGTGGAAAATGGGACGTTCAGGTCATGCTCCAGTCCAGAACAGTGCTCGGCACGCAAGCGGCTAGGGAGGAAGCGGCCCAAGAACGCTGGCTCCTTGCAGCAGGGCAGGGATTCCTTCAACATCTCGCAATCATGGGGGCCAGAGAACATCGACGCGGCAGAGCAATTGTATTTCCTGTCTCTTGTAGCAATTCAATTCACACGGGAGACTGTGCAAGTAGTTCTGCCCTCAGATCGCTCCACGTGATGGCCTTCCTCCATGATGGAGTCCCGCTGCTCCATGTGCCGAATGGAGACGATGCGCTTTTAGCTTCTTTATGGAGCAGGGATTGCATTTTCGCTCCTGAGGCAGGAACGAGGCCGTCGTCGAATTCTGGCCAATGAGGGAATGGGTGTCGTCCCCCTCAAGCAGGGATGGGCGACGCCCCAGAACACAATTGCTTTTCGCTGCTCGGGATATCCGAAGGCCCCGCGCTGGATAAATACGATGATGGTACAGGATCGAGGTCTCGACTGGGACGGGTCGCATGACTTCGGCGTCTGGGATCGCAAGTCACTGCTTGCGGCGGCATTGAGGGTTTTGCCCTAGAACTACCTATTACATTCGATGCCACAATCGTTGACGTTGGTGGGTTGCCCCGGCCTCTGTGGTGCCCGCCGCCAAAAATGTTCGTCCGATGCCTCTCGCCTCGGCTCCCTGAAGAAACGTTGCCAAAACCTGCACATCAAGAGCATCGATCAATGCACCCCACAATCCGAGATTCAAAATGCCAATCGATCGCCCGATCCCGCCGTTCTACTGCTGTTACCTGCTGAGATCGACAATCCGCGCAAGCTCTGTATATGTCGGTTCAACACCGCATCCAGGTAAGATGCATGGTATGAACGCGATGGGTCCGGCTGACGCGACTGCAGTGCGACGCCTGCGACAGCACAATGGGGAAGCAAAAGGAGGAGCAGTCCGTACAAGCAGGCCAAGTCTACGCCCATGGGAGATGGCCTGCATTGTAACCGGATTTCCAAGTCATATTGCTGCGCTGCAGTTCGAGTGAGTTCCGTTGGTTTCTGTTTATTGATATCACGTGTACTGCACGTGACCAGAAGATAATCGTATTTGTTCTTCCCATTATGTTCTGTAAATTAGTCTCTGGCTTCTAACGAACCTGCAGATGGGCTTGGCAGAATCCTCATATCACCCTCCACATCCCACCAGAATCACGGATTCAGCATGCAACACAGAAACGAAGTGGCCAGCCCAAACGACCACGACATTCAGTTACCTCTCTTCTCTCAAATCTCCATCTTCTCCTACGCGTCCCATCATTCTCTCGATGGCCACTCCAACTCCGGTTCTTCTCTGAAGATGTCTACAAAGCCTGGTTGAAGTGGTCCAAAGCAGCTGCCGAGCCAATTCGAGACTCCATTAAGATCATACAAGATTTCCCACCGTCAGACACGGCATCCGGTAACGAAAGCGATAGCCCGAAAAGAAAGAAAGACGTCGTTTTCCACGGAATTGCAGCGTTGAAGGTAGACTACTTCAACGAAAAGCCGCACGTCGAAAAAGGGAAGAACATTGTCGACTTCGAGCGTGAAGGGTCATGCGCCATCTGCCACAGCGATCTGGAACATAACGCTGGAATCTACACAATTTGTTCCAACCATGGATGTGAATCTGTCACACACTTGACATGCCTAAGCCAGCACTTTCTCGAGGACGAAGAAGATGCACTAGTTCCTGTAAAGGGTCAATGCCCGACTTGCAAGGCTGAGATCAGATGGATAGATGTGGTGAAGGAATTGACTCTCAGAATAAGAGGTCAGAAGGAAGTTGAAAAGCTGCTCAAGGAAAAGAGAGTGCGCAAAGGGAAGGCTGTCACAGCCTCGCAAGCCACCAATATCGACGATGAAGATGACGATAGCGATGAGGATGCAAGGGAAGATGAGATTGATATGCTGCAAGAGGGCAATGTTGGACGAATGGATGCAGATATGAGCAACACATGGCATGAGATCGATGCTACGGACGATTCGGATACTGATTCTATTATAAGCAACTCCTCGAAGGCCAAGCAAGCCACATCGTACAGAGGAATTCAGCCTATTGCTTTGGAGAGAGTTATCGAAGACACAGATTGGGAGGACGCGGAGATCATAGATTAAGGCAACGACGATCAGACTACGCCACAATATTCCGGACCACCTCTTTCAATCGAACAACGGTCTCTTCATTTTGAACGACGTTAGATTTTGGACAGTTCACGATGTCGGGTACCTGCAGATTCGATGCGCCAATAGAAATGAGATCCTAAGGTCCTGGCCCCGACCTCGGCTCGCTTGAGAGCCTTTCTTCAACCTCTTTCCAATCCACAAACTTTACAATTGCATAAGTTTTAAATCTTCAAAATCTTTTTCGCTAACCGGATTGAAAGGGCCGATAATTAAGGCGGGTGGGCTTCCGGGATCATTGTGCCACGCCCTTGCATGGATTGCCTGCACCCACGCTTTCAGCCTTTCGGCAGAAGTGTCAGCGACACTCTAAACATCGCCAATCTTCTCCATATCTCCGATAGCTGCCACACGCCAACGGAAACTCGATAATCTGAGGACTGTTTGAGTAGTAGTGCTTTCATCGACCGCATCAACCTACACGTGGAGGAGCGGGAGAATCCCGTATCAGCAATCTTGGCCCGCTGGTGCATCTACCAAGATGGGGAAATATGTATATCTCGGCAGGTGTACTATTCCTTTACCTGATTTTCAACCCAAGCATGCTGTCATCATGTTATGGCTACCTTCTCTCCTTATGCTTCGCGTTCACGTCCGCTGCTTCCAATGCCACTTCTAATGGAACTTCGACAGCGGTTGTCACCGTTGAAATGGTTCTTACATTGGTATCCACGACTCAGCATTCAATCAAGACCTCTTCCTCGGAATCCGGTATTCTCAGCCACCGATCAACGACTTGCGGTTCAGAGTTCCTCAAAGCTTGAACTCTTCATGGTTGATTCGCTCAGCAACAGAATGGCCTCCATTCTACGTCGGTTACGGACGCGATAATACTGACCACGATATGTCAGAAGATTGCTTCTAACTCAATATCTTCCGACCTTGCAACAATACCTTGAATGCCTCTCTTCCTATCGCAGTATGGATTCACGGCGGTGGATTGTTCAATGGTGGATTGTTCAATGGTGGAACTAATAATAGACGATATAATCTGAGTTTCATCGTTCAGAATAGTGTTAATGTAGGGAAGCCGATGATTGGAATAAGCTTTCAATACAGACTTTCAGGTTGAAGTTTTCTGGGAGGAAAAGAAGCTCTCACAGGAGGTGCCACTAATCTTGGTTTCCGAGATCAAAGGCTTGCGCTCCATTGGATCCAAGAGAACATGGATGCTTTCGGTGGCGATCCGTCGAAGGTCACTATTTGGGGTGAGAGTGCAGGTGCATAAAGTGTCGGTGCACATTTCCTGGCCTACAATGGCATGCCCAGTCTCTCTTGCAGAGGTAATTTGTAGCTAACAAACGCCTAGGTAGAGATGACAACCTGTTCCGTGGTGGAATTGCTGAGTCCGGAGGTCCAGTAGTGTCATTCTTCCCAGCAACGTTACCAGGAGGCTACAACAGCACTGCATATCAAGAAGTCTACGATGGTCTGGTTTCGAGCACTTCCTGCTTATCCACCTTAGGATCCGGGACTTCTCTCTCATGCCTGCTTTCGCTCCCCTTCTCTGACCCGAACGCTGCGCTCAACACACCCGTAGATGGATATGGACCTTTTGTCCCAATTATAGATAATGATCTCATCGCCACTTATCCCTCCGTTCAACTTTCGCCGGGAAAGTTTGTTCGCGCACCCCTTCTCATTGGGGCAAATACCGATGAAAGGACATCATTCGGCATCAGTTTCGGTCCTAATGGTACAGATGTAAACTCGGACGCACAATGGCTTGACGTCTTGAACTCGATTAACATTCCACCCGACTCTCAGGCCGCAGCTATCATAAGCTACCTCTATCCGAACACCCAAGGACTCGGAATCCCGTCCCTTGCGACCTTCCCCTAGGTCATATCTCCCGATTCCAACTGCTCATCCCAGCTAGGCTCCCGGTTCCCTTGCATGACATCCTGTTTCGGCGCGCAGTCGTCATCGCACCAAGAAGAGCAACCAACCAAGCATGGTCAGCGTACCAAGTCCCCAGCTACTGCTACCGCTTCGACGTCGTCGTCAACGGAATCCCTACCTGCGTGGGCTCAACCCATTTCCAAGAAGTTGCATTCGTCTTCAACAATATCCGCGGCGAAAGGTACACCGCCAACCCATTTGGAACATGACTGAAGACGACAACGAGAATTTCGTGGACCTGTCAAAGCTTATTAGTGGGAGCTGGGTCAGCTTTGTTGTTGATCAGGACCCGAAAGATCATGGCGTGGAGGGCGTGAAGCAATGGCCTGTTTACAACTCGGGCCTGGGAGGCGGGTTGGGCATTATTAATATGGTGTTTACGGTTAATGTTACGGAGCAGTGTATTGAGTGGCATAGTTGGAGGGGGGAAAGCATTAATTTCATTAATGAGAATCGGCTGTGAGTTTATGGGCTGTGATGAGGCTAAGGTTTGTCACAGTCTGTAATCTTCAAACACCTTATTCCTATCGGGAGACCTGTTGTGGATTGTAATCTTTTAAATAGCGTGGATCGATTAACACGCCACATATCACCCAGTATTAGCCCCAACCCTCAAGCGATTCTCCTCCCTCATCAACCCATACTTCCTCTCCACCTCCTCGCCCCTAAACTCCGTCAATACCAACTCCTGCAACGGCCAGCTAATCCAACTCTCCCACTTGTCCCCACCGCTCTCCCCTCCATCCCCAGCATCCCCAACCCTCCCAATCATCCGACACACGCTCCGCAGCAAATGCCGACTGATCCCCTTCAGCCACCACACGTTATCGATCTTCGACAGCAGGAGGCAGTAGTGCGCGAGCAGGACCAGCGCTTCCGGGCAGCGCTGCGACACGAGCGAGATGTAGGTGTCGGGCGTGATGGTCGACCAGGCGATCGTCATGGCTATTGTGCAGAGCTTCTGCGAGGTGGCGCCGTAGTGGAGGAGCCTTTTCCTTTTCGTCAATATCCAAAAACGGAGGAAGCGGGGATGGGGATGGGGAGGGGAGAAGTACATTGCGTAGATTTCTTTGAGGTGTCGGAGGGCTTCTGAGAGGGCTTCTTTTTCGGCGGGGGTGAAGGCGCTTTCGGGACCCCCTGAAGGGAGGGTCAGTATCTCTTCTGCCTGTATTCATATGAAGGAAATGGAGAAAGTGTTGGAAGAGGAAAGAGGAAACACGTGATCGAGGTGAAGGAGAAATGGAAGAGAAGGGTCAGGTGGTCATGGATCTTACAAAGCGTCTCCAGCGCCGAAAACCTCGCGGCATCCTCCTCGGGCAGGTCGAAAAACTTGGGTTGGTCGTTGTACAGCTGTATAAAGGTCCTCACAGGCCCGTCCATCACCCCTGTCATGTCGTCAGTCGGCAACATTACTCCGCCTCATTACCCATTCGTCGCATTGGGTCCTCTAGAATTCGAAAGGAGAGGGAAAGAGAGAGACATACACTCATAGCAATCCCTCGCCAACGTCCGACTCCCCCTCAACAAATTCACCCACTCCGCCGTGCCTCCCTCCTGTCCCTCCGCCCCCTCCCCCTCCCCATCACTAAAAAACAGATTCCCCTTCCCCTCACTCCCAGCCCAGGCGCACACGACCAGAAACGTGCTAAACACATACAACGCCTCGCAATTCTCCTTCGTGATACTCCCCAGCTCTTGCTTGAAGCCCTTCAGGGCGACATCGTGGTACTCGACTGCATCGCGATGCAGTTGGTCTTTGCGTGCGGGGTGGAGGTGCGAGAGGTGCAGGGCGGAGAGAGCCAGGATCCCGCTGAGGAGGAAGGGGTGTCGGAAGGCGAGCTGGGGGACGATGTGTTGGTAGATTTGTGCCCGGGCGGGCAACGTGGTGAAGGTGTAGACTGTGGTTGTGGTGTACAAGTGGAGGAGCTCGAGGTGTTGGGTGTTGAAGGCGGTGTTTGAGGCGGGGTTTGTGAAGCTTGGTTGCGGGGAGTGGGGGAGTGGGGTGATGTGGGAATGCGGGATGAGAGAGGGTGAGCGCGAGGAGGTGGAGTTTTGCGGGGTGGAGAGGCGGGCGGGAAAAGTGCAGGGGGAGGAGTAGCGGGTGCAGGTTCCGCAGGAGGGTTTTACTTCGTCGCACTAAAGGCTTTAATCAGCGGTTGGAAGTGAGATGGGAATCGTGTCTTGAGATGAATTGCCAAAAAGAGTTCTTCATGTAGCAGTACCTAAACTAGAAGCCAACCAAATACTTTGAGTGAGAAAGCAAGGCGGGATATTCTGCAAGACATACCTTTATTCGCCGTGCCTTACATCCTAAACACCCACTGCGAGTCTTGCGATGCGGCCTCCTAGATCCTCCCGGCATAATGGTACCCTATCAACGCGCTGTCTCCCGGCTGCAATGGGAAGTCTGGCAGTGTGTCTGATCACCTGTTTCGATCCTGAATAGGACTCGGCAAACAAGTTTTCGGAGTTCTCATGGTTGGGCCTGGTCTGTCTGGAAGAGATGTTGTCTGAAGCACGAAGTCCGTACGAAATACGAACGAAATACGAAGGGGTGTCAGCATTCAGGACAGGGATGAGAGAATGAGAGCTTGCATAACTTGTGAATTTTATGAAGCCGGGCATAAAAAGTCGCCAATCTTCAACGACATCTCAAAATGAGGCCAACCTCTCTCATCTTCCATCACCGATGGTAGCAGACTGGCCTCATCCTCGAATCTTGAGACGACTCAAGTTCTCGCGACGTATTCCTTATGATTTGTTTTCGGCATCTCCAAGCAGCTCAAGAGGGGGCTTTGGTGGACTGATGCAGAAACTCTGCCATCCAGATCTATCTCTGATAGCCTGCTCATTCTCAACAATACCTGACTGAAAACGCAATTGATTCTGGGAATGGGATAATTCCTCGAGCAAAGCATATGAGCCCGACTTTCCTTCCATCCGCTGCCGCAACCCAGGTCAACCACTCGTGTCTGGTACTTTCACTGGCCCAACCCGACCCGTTTCATGGGTTTCAGCCTGGACTTTACTACGGCGAAGATCATTCTATAAGTCAGAAATGTGCTTTCCTCAGCATGTTCAAGCCGCAAACAGTCGATGCATTCGCGTCACGTGACACAACAGTCCGGTTGTTCTTGTGGAAAGAAAAGGGAGTCTTTAGTGGAGGATTGCTCTAGCAGCATCCAGAAAATTCTCAGATGCGACAAGAAGTTCGAATCAGGAAGCATTTAAAAGGATGTATTGCCCGAGGCCAAGATTACTACTTTCCGTCACAGGAACCATGCACAATCCTCCACGGATATCAATTATGGCGACCTCTTCTTCGATTAATGGACAGAGGAGCCCGGAGATTCTATTCAAAGTGCTGGGGGCAGGCTCGCATCTTCCTTCAGATATTACATCCCATCGCGTACCTTGCACGAAATTGGTCTCTTGTCATCTTGTAAAATAAGTCACCAAGATAAATTCCGTCCCCAGCCACGGAGGTCACTTCAACAGGTCCAATCCACGTTTTCTAGTCAGCTGCCATGTCATCCCTTCCAAATTTGCTGTCAGTAGCAGTTCCTATTTTCCCCTTTTTGTTCAAGAGGTTCGAGGATCAATGGCTAACATTTCAATATCCCATGCGAGTCTTGAATCTTCTTCTCCGCTTCTTGGGTAGACCTGATCACCTTTTTAAGGCTGGAGCATATCTCACCATCCAAAATGATCTCTCATGTCTTTGACAGGAGTCACCTTCTTCTCACAGCTTTGTGGTTCCACTCTCTCTAAACTGCGATTTCGCCAAGATCCTCTTCATTATATAGCCAACGCCACATCACCTTCCTTACTTTAGAGCCATGGTCAGCAGCGGTACAATTCAAAGTACCAGCCTCGATATGTTCCAAGGTTTTGGCCTCGAGTCCTTGATATTTTCGCCTTATTCTCTACTTTTTCAGCCATCCAACTGCTGTCACTAAATTCCTTCCTTTACGAAACCGGACGGGTTGCGCTACTTCTCAAGGTACTGGTCTGAATATCATTTGAGCTAACATGCTCATTCTTGGTTTTATTGCCTCACTAGATGACTATTGTTTGCAGTTAGCTTTTGTTCGCTTTATAACGGTCTGACCCCTGACTCGCTTTTCTCTCAGAATATTTCTTGTCAGAGATTGCCTGTCGTCTTATTTCCAAGACGAGATTGTGTTCGAAGTAATGCAAAGCGTCTTATCTTCCCGTTTCGTTATATATTCTTTCCCCAATATCTGTCTAATGTACAAGGGGACTGAGCTAACAATGTTGGGATGTATTCTCCAAAAGCTTGACTTTTCGCACAACATCCAGATACTTTCATTCAGCGTTGTCGCCGAGGTAATCAGTGTCAGGACCACTGCTACCTCAACCTGTCTTTACACTTGACTTTCCGCTCATCTTCTGGACGACTTGCGCTATCGTTTGCTGTTAGCTAATGCTTTGGTAGCAATTCAGATCAAACGCTTCGAACTCTCAAACGTATTGCAAAGGCTGATTGTTCTTGCATCCCAGGACAATGCAGGTACATTGATGAAACCTTGGACCAGTTCAGCTTCTACTCATGGCAGCAGATTGGTATAATTTGGTGAGTTTGGTCAAACAGCTCCATTGCCAAATCTTTGCTCCTTGTCTATTTGCAAATGACCGAGTTCACTTGTTCAAAGTGGATTGGAACACTTAAAGAACGGCCTGACTCTTCTTTCATCGAATCATGCGCGATTGCAGACAAGAATGGGCGCGCGAGTTTACCTGAGCCTATATCATATTTCCATTTGCTCTTTCTTTTCTGAGAGACACTGGATGCAGCCCAACTCGTGGCCCGTCTTTTTGAAATCGCCAATTAGAGCTGATCAGAGACATTCGAATCGTCCACTGAACCTGGAAATTTCAGGAGGCGCTCCTCGGACTTGGAAAACCAGGATCAACGCACCCCTTTCCATTTGTCGAGGCTTGGCTTCTGTGCTGGACTCGGTACTGTACATTCGGGTTGCTCCCACCTATGTCGGAATCCTACTCATGTCGACGCCTGCACCTGCTGCAACCTTGATGACGCATGGTCATAACCCTTTGTTAAAGCTTTTGGTGGAACAGCGAAGCCGGTCCACCAGGCTTTCTACCAGCTCTTCTTGCAGCATTGGGGTTGGACTACAAAAATCCTCACACCTCTCCTCGGACATTCGGGCATCAATGACGGACCCCTCCATTTTCTTGGATACTTACCAACTGTCTTGAACCACAGGACTTTGAGATCACGAAGCGCAGAGGCACTTGCCATTTTTTATCTCCTCATCCCACCAATGTATTTGGCAATTGCTCCTGCTCATCTTGGATTCTGGGCCCCTGGACTCACAGAACTCGATCTCGTCAGTACCTGGTCAACTCAGTATCCGAATCGAGTTGCTGCACTGCCGAATGCGCTTGTTTGTGCAGAAAGTTGGAATCTAGCCATGATGACATTTATCTCAATACTTCACTGTCCCAATTCGTTCTATTCACAACAATGCTTTTGGGCCTCTACCGCTTGTACAAGTAATTAGACGTCTGACGTCTGGATAGGGCCTTCCCCAACAGCAAACAGATTGCCTTTCTCTTCTTGGACACGGCTGCACCTTCCCGCCTAGCAACAAAGAAAACATCAGATCGAAGAAAATCAAGGAATAAACCGCTTGCCTCCAAGTCGTTTGCTCCTTCTTCCTGCACTTGAACTCGGCTGGACTCTAGCTTTGTTATTCACTCCTCACAGTACCGGTCCCGGGTCCGGGTCCCCTGCCTCCACTTCACAAGCTGACCATCTGTTCTCACCCGGATTTTTAACCCCTGGCATCTGCTTCAACTGCTAACTGTGCAAAATCTCAAGTGCCATCTCTGCTACTGTCAGCCTTTGCCCACAACGTTTGCTTCTTTCACAGGACCTGCAATCCCTTGTCTGGCATCATACTCCCCAAATTCGTCCCAACTCTTTTTTATTCAACACAAGAACTCACGACACAATTTATTTTACTTGAATGTCCTCGTTTGATCCTGCCTTTCTTGTACTTGGAGAGCATTTGAGAAGATTGTATGGGATTTCTGGAGCAGTTTACCATTTCCTTCTGAGAATTGCACCCGACTTTGCAAGAACACCAAGCTAACGAGGGGAGGACTAGCATCACACCTGCCCTTTTAATTGGACTATTTACAAGCCCCTTTTTCGTTTCCGTCGTCTGATTTCACAGAGTATCCGTGCCCTTCTTCCTCGTTGGATCGTTGATCCCATCTTCGTATTCTTAATGATTCATCGCTTAGATTCCGCTCGTCGAAAGAGGAAAGCCTTCTCTTCGACCTCTCTTCCTAATTGGACCGTTCGTCCCGTCTTCTGCACCTGCGATTTATAGGATCATTCACTGCATTCTTTGTGCCTTCACTCCATGGGCTTGCTAGCTCTTGGCATCTATTTAAGAACTGTCAGCCTCTTCAGACCACCACCAGTCCACCACATCTTCCACCAACAACTACCACAACCAACACCACCATCCCCAATATCCATTAAGCGCTCACTAATTCTTCCGCCATCCGCCTCCTAGGCCTTCCTTCCTTCCTTCTTTAAATGTTGTCGCGCTTTTTCCTGGTACATTAATCTGATGGGAGCAAGAATTGTACACAGCATTCCTTGAGCATTAAGCCGACACAGGAAAGCATCGTCCGAACATTTGCACGGTTGCACCTGCCATTTAAAATGAATATTCACTTCATTACTTGGACCTTCGGAACTTCATCGCCTGATCTCGCCAGTTTCTGAAATCTATTTAAGAACTGGGAACCTCTCCCAACTACCAACTCTTCCATTTTCCCAACAAGCACCAGCCCCAACCAACATCAACCTCTCTAAGGCCGACCACCTAACCAGTCATTTACATATCCCCTTTCATCGATATCTTCTCCCTCCACCATCTATGCACATCTCATACATCTTACCCTCCGACATCCACAGGGCTTCTCTCATCAAGATCTTTCCGCAATTCACAATCTTTGCATTTGCCGCCAACCACATATCTTCATCCTCCATTCTTTAATCCAACTCATATCACGCCATTATTGACATGGCCTCGATGACCGACATTCCATCTCCCAGCGTCACTGCGACTCCAGAGAAAGTATCCAGCAATAATTCCACTCCTATGGCGCAAAGAGTCCACACGGATTCATCTATCAATTTTGACGATACTCCAGTCGCCAAGAGGGATATGAGTCCTCCTCTCATGGTTGAGCCTGGAAAAGGAACAGGCCATATCAAAAAACAAGTCACATTCACTGGGCCACATCTTCACAACGGGACCAGGAATGGAGGGCTGGAACTTGCGTCTCCAATATTCAGTCATGGATCGCAATACACTGCGCTGGACAGACATATATTGGAAGATATTATGGAAGGGGTCGAGCAGACTTCGGGCTCTGGATCTGAGGTTGCAGATGACAGTAGCGGTGCAGAAGAGATGGTTCGGGTGCTGGTTCCAAGCGTTGACAATATTTCTCAGGCCCTGGAAAATTCGGAGAAGGGAATCCAAATTGAGTGGATTGGCACGAGCACCTTCTTTTTGGAGCACAATATTGAGCTTCAAGGAGCAGTGAGTTCTTCCCAGCACTTTCATTCCAAACTTCCCAGCAAAAGTTCTGGGGAGTACCATATATTTGCTTTGCTAACAGAAAGTTTCAGGGACATCTAGATAGTCTCATTGCTTTTCGCAAAGCTCTTATTCACGATCTTTTGATCTCACCTTACGACCCCTCTCTTCTCATCGACCTCAGTGCCGTGGAATCCAAGCTCGGATTTACCGATACAGGTGCAGCTAATGCGCACAAGGCCCTCGTTTTGACTGAGGCCGCCTTAAATGTCAATACGTTTCTACAACATCCGAGAGATCTTGGTACTCTTGTCTATGAGGCAATAAGTAAGAGACTCGGAACTGAGTCACCCGTCGTCATTGCCGATGAGATAACAAGTTTGAATCTTCAAACATATCGAGAGCTTGTGAACGGACTCCTTGGGTGTGCGGATTTCTGGGATGGACTGGTCCAAGCAAAGGCTGGCCTGAATCGTTTCCCTCGAGATGCAGAACTCTTGGAAATGCGGGGAGATCTGAAGACGGCCTTTCTGGCGCGACACAAGGGGCTCAGGGAAGTCTTGGGCAATGAGAAAGACATCGTGGCGTCTACAAGGACGGGCAAGATCTATCAGAAGCAGTATCCGTGGATGGATCAGAGTCTTTGTATCCGCACGCCCGATTTGCTGCGCCATGTCAACGCAGGACTTGCTGGGAATGGAACATGCCAAGTCGAGCCTGTTGTATTTGGGTCGTCATCCCAACTTCCAAAATTGCCCACCAAAGAAAACGAGGACGTTGGTCCTCTTGGTTTATTCGCCGCGAGAGACATCAAATTAGACGAGAAAATCATGGTCGATCAATGCGTGACCGGCATATCCGATGTCTCTCCAACAAGACTCAAGCACTGCGAGGCCTGCCATGGAGCCCTCGTTGCACCTTATATGCACCCTACTCGAATCATCCGTCCAACTTGCTGCAAAACGGCAGCGTTCTGCAGCATAGCTTGCCATGATACAGCACTTGCTGGCTATCACAAGTTAATGTGTAAGAAGAGTTTTGATTGGCTCTTCGAGAGTCAGGGTTTGATGGGCAAAGAAGGATGTGGTACACGCTGGCGCCCAATCCTCTTCCTTCGAGTGGTAGCCATTGTCCTAGCAGAAGCTCGAGAACGAGCGAAAAAGGGAGAGCTAGCTATCCACCCTCTGCAATACCCACTGATCGCACGGATGGCCGCGAACTACTCTCCGGCAGACAAAGTGCAACCAGGTGTTAGCCACGATTGGCAATATTTCGAGAATGTTGTGGCACCCACCCGAATCTTGATGCAACTCGGCATCAATGTCTTCACCGACTCACATTGGACTCCGGAGGTCATTCAAACCATATTTTGGCGCATCGAAAACAATGCAAATATGGGAAAGACGAATCTCACTGGGAAACAAATAGTTATGGTTAATCTTAACCCGAACTACTTGTTCTTTAATCACAGCTGCGAACCGAATGTCTCGTGGCATGGTGCCGTCCCATCGGGTGATGTTAGTATTGATTGGCTGAAGGGCATGAATGGTGAAATCCTGAGCCCAGGATGCTCTGCCGTTTGGTGCACCGCTGCACGTGATATCAGGAAGGGTGAAGAGTTGAAGATTTCATACATTGGGAATCCTCTTGGAAGCAAGGGTGATGGAGAGGGAAGTGAGGGCGAGGGCGAGGCTGATGAGGGGCGACACACGAAGAGAGCTTGGCTCGAGAAATGGTTCGACAGGGGATGTGGCTGCCGAATCTGCGAAAAGGAGAATATGGAAACTGATCGTTTGGAGGCAGTCGAGGCGGAGAGGGAGAAGGCATTATAGAGTTGTGATGTGGGGAATCTGGATCGAGTGTCAAGGAGACGTAATGATGGGGGATATTATTAGTATTGGTGGATACTGGGTGTTGGGCGATCTGGGATGAATATGTGGTCATGATTTTTACATTGATTGTTGCGTTGGATTCTTATAGTTGCATTGGATTTGCAGGGATGGATACTTAGATTGACGGATGGATATCATGAAGGGCATACTGAGCCGTTACATATTTGCATTTGATTTTTGCGTTGAAATCCACGTTGAGTTTGCACTTAGAATAAACTGAGCTTTGATGGGATCAGCAGAATGCGAAGACTTTTACAAGATGTCTACTGAAATGTGAGCAAAGTGTGTAGAGAGACGGAAGTTGGACCAAGAGATTGCTGTGGCCCTCGACGTTTCAAGCATAAATATCAATCTTGTACTGTATGACGAAAATACTTTATTTGCAGTCTAGGTAAGGAGCGCTCAGATGCTCTCTCAATACAGTTTATATAAACAATACAGTTTTGTTAATCCAAGTTACATTACCTCCCTCCAACTATTCTTTCACAATTTCCAGAACGCCAACAGCAACCGTGGAGCAGAGTACTTGAAGCATTAATAAAGGGTCTTCTTGATCGGTTTTGCTACCGCAGTGCTCGGATCAAAGCCAGCTTCATCATACTCCAACATAAGTTGCTGGACCCGCAAACGCTGTTCCGCTTTTGAAATAAAGCGATCCTCATCGTATCGATTCGACGCCTTATGCTTCATGTCCATGATATCCACCATACGATCAAACACCTCCGCTGAGTGATGTTGACTGAATTCAAACTCGGGCGTGTTTGTACCATACTTGTGGGCTGCACAGTATTTGGCTCTCTCTCGGGGGGATAAGTGCTTGCCGGATTGCTTGAAGTCTTTGGCGTGGATCCGGCCGCAGGTTCCCTCGCCGCAGGACGAGGAAGAGGTATGGTTGGTAGCGCTCTTGTCGTGTGAGCCGGCATAGGGACAACTGGTGGAGTTGCGGTTGCCAGATGTTATGTTGAATACTCTGTGAAGGAAGTCACGAAAGGCTGGAGATTTGTAGTGCTCGGCGAAAATCCTTTCGAGATCGTCGTTTTCGTTGGCGGGCGAGCCCTCCTTGCCATAGGGATGGTTAGTTGTCAGATTTTCCGCCTTGTGAGCTAAACGGTGGAGCCCTCGTTCCGTGGAGTTCTTGAACTCGGTGAGTGGCTGGGTAACCTCGTTATAGGGCTCTGTGATCTTGGAGCCGATCTCGTTCTCCAGCTTCCTGACACTTTCTGGCAGACCGCGCTTGTAATGCCATGTTGGATTGAACCTGGCCGTCGCGTTATGCTTTACTGGGATGGACCCTACGGCTGTGACATTATAGGTGCAGTTTTTAGTCACAGTGACAGGCGCGGTGATATGGTCATACCCTTCCCTGATTTTGGCAGCAATCTCGTCCTCAGCCTTCTTGACGCTCTCGGCGAGGTCTCTCTTGCAATATTTTGATGGATCGAAGGTGGCAGTGAAGTTGAGCTTTCCAGAGGAGTAGGAATTGTGCTTATTAACCCTGACGGCGAAACGTTCGACAGCGTCTTGAATAGCACCCGTTGCGTTCTCAGTAGCATTCTTGAGTTCATTGAAGGGCTTGGTGATCTCCGTTCCTATCTCATCCTCTAAATTCCTGATCCGGTCTGCAAGTTCTGGCGTTACGTCTTGCTTTGCAGAGGAAGTGCGGGACTCTTCATTGCCTTGAGCAAGAGCTCGCTTCCAATCGGAGAACCAATTAGCTTCGAGATCAACATCGGTAGTCTCATGGGATTTAGGATCCTCAAACTCCATAGACATCGATCCCTCAAAATCCCACCTTCTATCATTTCGCTTAGGGAGGCTGTTCTCATACTCAGGGAATATGAACTTGTCAAACCAAGCTGGGTCGTCTTGTCGACGCTCGAGTTCGCTAGTCTTCACGTCCCGAGTGAGACGAGCACAATCACTGACGTCCGAGAATTGTTCCGCGGGTTTCCAATCAGATTCGCCAGGACAGTAGGCCAAGGCGAATTGAGATACAGAGGTTTCGACAGACGGGGGTTGGCCGGTTAGAGAAGGGGATGCACCCGGGTTAGGTTGAGAAGCAGCGACATCGCCGGATGTGTCTTCACTGACCGCTCGCTTCCCCAGCCCTGCCGTTAGATTCCGCACAATTCCGTTCTCCATGATTCCTCTAGCACACGCTTCCTTCCTGTGATAGCTACCATCAATCTGATAACAGAGATCCCGCAGCTTCTCGCCATGCCTCAGGGTGGCATCCCTGGTAAGGTTGAGACCATGGAGGTGGTCCTCTGCCTTGTGGATAGCGGCGACTTCGACGTGGGGAGCGTCGTACTTCCAGCCCTTGGCGCGGTACGTTCTGAGATAAGATTCAAGCTCATCGATGATTATCTCGGCCATCTTTTCATCTAAAGTCTGGGCGGAGTTGAGAATATCGAGTCTCTTGAGTAACCCGACGGCTTTTTCGACTCGGGGATCAGAACGCTTGGAGTGCTTCTGCAAGCGTTCATGAGCTTGCTTCTCGATGCATACAGACTCCTTGAAATCAATTTTGTCCAGCAGATCGCGAAGATTTGTATTGTGGTAACCCCCATGATGGGAGCCGGAAACTGGGGGATAGCCATGTTGAGGCGAAACAGTGGTTTTGGTCTGGCTCTTCATTTCATCGCCCGGGATATTGTCGACGATGGCTAGGAAGCTCTCTGAGTTGTCTGGGTGGTTGTCGAAAGGAAGACTAGTCTTTGTTGTCTCGTGAGGATACTCAGGAATAGGCTCAATGAAACCTCTAGGTGTGACGAAAGTTGAGATCGGAGGGAGATCTTCAATTTCATGCTTTTGATTTTCGCGGGAATTCTTCTCGAGCGGCGATGACGACTGAACTGGCGCTGCAACAGCACCGTAAGCCAGAATGGCCGAGGCGATGAACAATGTGATCTTCATTTTTGCCGGATGGATAGTCGTTGGAGAATGAAGAAAAAGTGCAGATAACATTAATTTATATATGCTGCGACTAAAAAAATTGTGTGCGAGTTCAGCACTAAGTTCAACCCGACAGGTCAACCATTCTGTATATGAATGGGCCCTATGAGGGTCTGCAACAGAAGCTACTAAAGCATTGAGGAAAGCGCGTAACTGGCAGCTATCAAGGTGGGAATGGTGGTTGAGCCAAATTGGGTAGTTGCGACCAATGATATGCATACAGCTCTTCGCGCACCCTGTTCACCCAAGCCTTGTCACCACTCGGCGAGGTGTTAATTTGGTGGTTGCGCTGATATCATGTTGCTGTCGAACCGCAGTTTGAAAAGGACTATATTCGACGGCTCACAAACGATCGACGAACGAGCCAACCATAAAAATCACCAAATGAAAATCCTAATGTCATCAACGCACCACGAGGTTTTTTTTTTGTGGCTCTTGGTGGAATACATACTATACAGTAGCCTTTGGCCCCACTGACGCACCATCTACAACAGGCCTTGCTTTTGCAAATCATAGTAGACCTTCTCAGGCATAACATTACCCTCAGCATCCTCCATTTGGACCACGCTGCCCTCATCTTTCTTGCCCTTCTGTTTATCCCGCTGGATCTTATCCCATAGCTTGACAGCATCTGCGATATCAGTGATTTCTCTGAACAGGGTCGTGTTCGTAATTCCAAGACACTTCAGTCCGTAGATATGACGTGCCTCGTTGAAATGCTTATCAAAAGCTCTTCGTCCCATGTATACGTAATTCCCACAGATCTCACACCTGAATTCAACGCCGAGACCATGTAACTTGTATAGCCAGAAAGGGATTGGTTTGCCGTCCCAAGCGAGAGGCAGTTTCAGTGGGTTGTAGATTTTGTCGTCTCCATCGGATTCATTGTCCGAGTCGTCGGCTTGTGGCGCCGCGGAAGACGACTCGGCGAAAAGGGCATCCAGTTCCATTTGCCTTTCGCGCTCGGTCATACCTTGCTTGCGCTCCACGTTGACACGGGTATCGCTCCTCTCTTGTGACATTGCTGCTGCTAATCGCTTGACCCGGAATTCTCGCTCTGCAATTGCCCGCTCCTTCAATCGCAACGTGTTCGAGCCGCGGTTCGCCGAGCCATTTGTATCATTTCCAGCTTCTTGTCGTGCTGCTCTCGCCTCGGCTGCACGAATGTGCTTCTTTCCGGTCAAATGGGCCTTATAGACATTATCGTTCTTGAACTCCTTCTCGCAATCTGCGCACCAAACTCCGTCGGTAGCAGGTCCAATTGAAGGCGCAGGGACTTCTAGCTTCCAGCCAACAACATCATTATCATTCCACGCCTTGTCAAAGTCTTCATCGAAGCTCTTAATCAGCTTCTCCAAGTCTTCGAGTGGTCTGGTACGCCGCATAAAACTTTCCAGATACTTCGCCAGTTCTCCCACATAGTTGAAGTATTGGTCGGTCATTTTGTCCGGTCGCTTGATGGATAATTGTGGAGGTACGAATGAGTCAAAGGCGTCGAGGTATTGTAGGTACGTAAGTCGCTTGATGCTGGGAAGGTTGAGGTAGAGTTCGTGAATTGTCGTCAGATCCATGAATTTCCCAAAAGCTTCTTCGCCAGTGAACATGTTGTCAATCTCATAGGTTGTTGTCTCTCCTTCGCCCAGTGTCCTCTTCTTATATGCCCTCTCAAGATTCTCGACAGGTTCGTTAGGATACCGCTGGTGGAAGGACTTGATATCTGCCATCTGCTTATAGAACTCCTCAAGGGGCTCTCCTGTAGATATTGCCTGGATCTCCTTCGTTCGACTACCATCTGCGTCTTTGTAGATGTCGAGTAGCCGTTTCGATTGATCTTGAATTCGGTCGAGGAAGCCAGCAATCTGGTGGTCCCGATTCAATCTTTCGCGGACCTTGGCACCCAATATTAGCTTATGATCAGTCTGATTTTGGCCGGAGCGTCCCACATGTCGCGGCTCTTCAGCAACACGATCACTGATAGCTTGCTCGAGCCTCTCGAGATCTTCGTGGAGGAATCTCTGCTCCTCTAAAATCATCCTTGCTTCTTGTCACGATCAGGCTCTGGTGGTGAAGACGATCTAACCAGAAGAGGAGGTTGAGAAATTTCGTTTGAAGAGAAAATCGAAGGAGGACGTTTGCTATGGTTGCGTTTTGGTGTTGTGAGGTTGAACAGGTCGATTTTCTTCCTCGAGGCTCGGCGAGCTTTTGCGCCGACCAATCATTTCGCGCCCATTGAATGGCGCTAAAATATTTAAAGCAGGCTGGGGAAGGATCATTCGGCTTCAAACCTTCAAGCAAGAAGCCACAACAAGATATCACGCAAATCCGAACTAAATCACAATCATGGCAGACGGTATTGATCGCAAGGCTGATGAGAGGATGGAGTTCACGACCTCCAAGGACGTAACCGTCGCACCGACGTTCCAAGACAGAAAGTACCCTTTTCTCTGTCTCGTGGAGTCTGCTAACTCTTGACCAACAGTGCATCTCAAAGAGAACCTCCTCCGTGGTATTTACGCATACGGCTACGAGTCTCCTTCTGCCGTCCAGTCCCGAGCAATCGTGCAAATCTGCAAGGGCCGCGACACCATCGCTCAGGCGCAATCTGGTACAGGAAAGACAGCTACTTTCTCAATCAGCATGCTGCAAGTCATCGACACCGCGGTCCGCGAAACCCAAGCCCTCGTCCTATCGCCTACCCGAGAACTTGCGACCCAGATTCAGTCGGTTGTGATGGCCCTGGGAGATTATATGAATGTTCAATGTCATGCTTGTATTGGAGGCACCAATGTTGGAGAGGATATTCGCAAACTTGATTATGGACAGCATATTGTTTCTGGCACACCTGGGCGAGTTGCCGATATGATCCGCCGACGGAATCTTCGAACCCGCCATATCAAGATGCTCGTCCTTGACGAGGCTGACGAATTGCTGAACCGGGGCTTTAGAGAGCAAATCTATGATGTCTACCGCTACCTCCCTCCTGCGACTCAGGTCGTCGTCGTTTCCGCTACCCTCCCATACGATGTCCTCGATATGACTACGAAATTCATGACTGACCCCGTACGCATTCTGGTCAAGCGTGATGAATTGACTCTGGAAGGTCTCAAGCAGTACTTCATTGCTGTTGAGAAGGAAGAATGGAAGTTCGACACGCTCTGCGATCTCTATGATACCCTTACCATCACACAAGCGGTTATTTTTTGCAACACGCGCAGAAAGGTAGATTGGTTGACAGATAAAATGCGCGAGGCCAATTTCACGGTGTCATCCATGCATGGAGAGATGCCGCAAAAGGAGAGAGACAGCATCATGCAAGACTTCCGCCAGGGCAACTCGAGAGTCTTAATTTCTACCGATGTTTGGGCTCGTGGTATCGATGTTCAACAAGTCTCGTTGGTCATCAACTACGATTTGCCGAGCAATCGCGAGAATTACATCCATCGCATTGGTCGCAGCGGTAGATTCGGACGGAAGGGTGTTGCTATCAACTTTGTCACAAGCGAGGATGTCAGGATCTTGAGAGATATTGAGTGTAAGTTTGGCTTGGTCTCTTAAGGAATTTTACTAATTACTTAATAGTGTACTACTCAACTCAGATTGATGAGATGCCAATGAACGTTGCGGATCTCCTTACCTAATTTGGGTGAAGTGATTTGAGGAATGGGAATCAAGTGCGAAAGTAAACAGCTGCGTGCATGGGCACGTCAGGGCACGTAGCTACGTGGGAGGAAAAGGCAAAGTCTACAAAAGTAAGAAACCTTTCAGTGGAACGGATTTCAGAGCTTAGCTGACATTGATTATGCAAGACCTGAAATTAAATCGCAATTTTTCTTTCTCCAGAGCTTAGGATGGATGGACAGCAAGCCGAATTCCGATTATGTTCACAATACCAAGCAATACCACCTCCTGTTTGCAGTTCTAATACCTTCAACGTGACACGTCCATCCCCGACCAAGAAATGTAGACCCACTCCAATCGCTAACGCGAGCCAAAATTCAGACCCGCGAAATCACCTCAACAGGGATCTCGCTTTCTAGCTCCATCTCCAAGGTATACCCAACCTCATGATAGCAATAACTTCAAGGAACACCGTGGCCATACATACACTGATCATCATCGCAATCGCCTCTCTTGCGCAGGGTATAACAGGCACCCTGCCGTGCAACTAACCACTGAGCATCATACTGCTCCGGGCTCAAAGGCCTCGGATAATTATGGACCCTTTCACAAGAACCTCTCTTCTGACAATCGGAACGCAAATAGTGCCAACTACACAAATTTCGTTCTCTCATCTCCTGCAAAAGACGTTTCTCCACACTCAAAACTTTATCAATGCGCTTCCCCGCAGCAGTCCGAAAGATCGGACGTAACCTCCCACAGTTGCTAACTGGTTTCTCTTTGATGGGAGCAGACGCCTCGGCCGTGATTATGTCCAAGGTTTGCTGGATAGTGCTCCCTGACAGTTGGCGAACTCTGCCATCCATTGGGACCTGTGACACCCGAGGTGAGTTGTTCTGAGAAAAGAGAGGCTCAAAGAGACGAGTAGCTCGGAAACCTAGAGCACTCATGTCCGACCTTACATGACCGGCGAAAAGGAGAGTAATGCGCTCAGAAGACTGCGCTGCATGGTGTCTAAGATCCGGAACATAACCTGCGTCATGGCAGCAGGCAAGCAATGTATGCTCACACTGGGGATTGCCGATGTGAAAATCGAGCACCTCTACTAAGATCAGCACTCGATTCCGTAACCTGAAGGATGCGGGCACAGTTACTTCTCAACTTATTATCCGCTTCCTCTCTCCCCGAACCAACGTCGACGAAGTCGACAAGGGGATACCGCCGCGTGAACCCGAGCCAAAACTGGGCCATATCACTAACGGAACTCAACTTCCTGTCTCTTACACACGCTTGCGCCAATCCACTCAGATTGGCATAGGCCTTCACCATTACGGGCACGGCCTTAGGGTCATCGATCGTGGAACCGAGAGATGACAGATACTCTCGAACTTTCTCCATGAACTGATCTGCGGCAGCCTGCCCTCCAACCGAACCACGCGACAGATACTTCTCATGGAACTGATATGTCAATAAGGTTGCAAAGGTTGAGGAATCGTCTTACCAGGTAATTATCCGCATCTGCATCGATTAACACAAGCACAAACCGTGCTTGTTCCTGCCATAGAATAAGTCAACAGCTGTGCAATGGTCAAGATATGCGAACCATGGACGATAAACGGTCCCGCAACGTCGCAGACTTGTCCTGCCATACACGGCGTGCTTCTTTCTCGCTCTCCAAATCGGCTTTGAGAATCGACGCTTCTCTGGCACTTTCATTCGCTACAGTATCAAGCCGCGCCGTTACAGCGTCAAGCTTCGCTAGGATTTCCTGCGGCAAGAATTTTGAGCAGCCTTCGGACGGAAAGTTGTCGGTAACCATACCTCTACTAATTTCGTTCTCTGTTCTTCCAGTGTCAGAAAGCCTTTGAACCGAGTTCGATAGTCCATCCCTGGCACCGGTCGTGAATCCATATTTGGATTTCAAACCAGGAAGGCAATGGAAATTTTTGTGTCATGATTTGGAAAGAGCCTCCTTTTGGGGTTGGGCATAGGTTACACAACATAAGGCGCTAGAAACGTGGCCCGGCTCAGGTTATTTCTACCCACTGAGGCTCGATTGACGGCTTACGCTTTGAGATGGGTGCATATGCGGCTCGCTGAGGAGAGTAGACTTGATTTGGAGAGAGAGAGGGGGGGGGTTGCAGGAGCGCGAAGAAGAAATCTCATACTCGCCATTGGAGGAAGCGAAAGTTGAAAGCTTGGATAACTTCATGGATGCTGCACCTTGCAAGGCGATTTGGCAAGAAGTTTTAATATCTCATAATGAAATAAATGTACAGCTCACCTCAAGGATATTGAGATCGAATCCGGAGAGATGAAGTCCGCTCGGACAAGCAATCTTCAGTGTCTAGTCTTGGGGCCCCAAACAATCCAATTCTCAATCTCGAATTTCTCGCGAGCAAATAGAGGATCACAAAATCCCTTTGCGTACGAGAAGATCGGAAAAACGTGGTTGTCAAAGATCCACTTTTCCCCTAGCCCCTTGTCCGATTTGGGATCGCTCTTACCCCTATTTCTTGTTCACGTGATTTTGCACCTCGTAAACTTTGGACATCCCAAATACCTTTTCGGACAAATCGCTGCGAAGATATGCTTAATCAAACTTTTGAGCCTTGCAAGGTCTCTTTGGAATACTCGCATCACTCATTTCATGCGCAGTGGTGAGGGTCTGACGTGAGAAGTCATCAATCCAGCTAAACTTGGCGGCGCCACCATGCTCAGCCGCAGGCGCGAAAATAGAACACCTTTCTGTGAAACATCAAAAGCACCAAAACATGAATTGACGACGCCAAACGGCGTTCAACGCGACTTCGGAGAATTATGAAGGCGATGGTACCACGGATCGAGATCACTAGGCCTAGCAAGAGTGAAGCTCCGGACGATGCTGTGTGGAGGAACAGAGCGGGAGAACCGATGGATGACGCGGGTGATGAGGAGCCGAGGTATAGCCAGGAGACGATTGATGAGCTGGAGTCGTCAGTGAGTGGGATGTCGAGTGAGCTAGGCGGCAAGAGGACAAGTTGGGAGGAGAAGATGAAATGGTGGAAGGTTTACGCGCTGCACTTTCTGTTCATGTGGAATTCGAGAACGTTTGAATATGTTTCGGTAAGTTGTTCCCAACTCCCTGGACGAATTGGTACTGATTGAGAAGATATTTCTTGTCGCCAGGGCTTTTCCACAGAGCCTTACTGCTACGTCGATAAAGTAAGTCATGGTACATTTAAAGAAGGTCACGTGCTAAGAATGCTTCAGGGGCATTACATCTACTGTGTCAGGGTTGTTGTTTTCATCTGCTGTGGGGAACTGGATCGATCGCTCTCCATCTCGGCTACGTACTCTGCTCACCACTATCTGCTTCAATCATGCTGCTGTGGTCGTCTCGTACATTTGCTGGCTATCGATGCCTGTGCCAGGAGAGGGAACCACACATTCTGAAAGTTCATTTTCAAATTTCCAGAAGGGCGTTGTGTTTGGAATCATCCTCTTGCTAGATGTTATCCACGATCTTGGGGCAATCGGCAACAGATTGTCCCTTGAAAGAGACTGGGTTCCTATCTTGGTTGGCCATATCACGCCAGACATCAACTACGGCCTCACAGAAGTCAACGCGGTGATGACCAGGATTGACCTGGTTTGTAAGCTTGTTGCGCCCTCTTTGTTACCCGTGATCATATCAGCTTGGAACTCTCGAACAAGATGGATCTTAGTCTTGGCTGTATTGACCGCGGTTTTCTGGGTGCTGGAAGTTTGGTGTGCACGCATCATCGCCAAAGAAAACTTAGAACTAGACGTCCCAAAGATGCCCTCACATGATTCAGCAACAGAAGAGGATCTTGCAATGGAGGATCGATACAACCATCTCAGGCCTGGATTGCAATCTCTGCCGCAGAAGATGTACTTTATATTGTACCAAGATCCTGCTGTACGATTGAGGCACTACTTTTCGATTCCAATGTGGCCAGCTTCTATCGCTTCCGCATTGCTGCAGCTCACTGTTCTTGCGTATTCTGCCACACTCATCACATATCTGCTGGAAATCGGCTTCTCGCTGTATTCCATCACCATTGCAAGAGCTTCTGGCGCCATCATGGCTTTGTCCAGTACAGTCATAACGCCAGCTCTTGTTGGTCACATGCGAAAGAGACTGAGTCGGAACAGGTTCAGTGGTGGGCAAAGAGAAGATAAAGATAATGATGAGATTGAGGGTAAAGCTGTACGAACCGTCGGCTTGTGGGGTATTTCTTGCCAATTCACATGTCTCGTAAGTTCTGGGCATTCACTTTCTAATATGGCCTTTCACTAACAAAGCACAGATCCCAATCGTTCTATTGCTCTGGAATCTTTCGCCAAAATCTTCGGAACAAACAACAACTTCACCAACAATTCGGGAAGCCACCACCTACGACACAAGCAAAACCGCCTCCTTACCACCAATCATCCCCATCACACTCTTTGCCTTCCTATCTCTCTCGCGAGTAGGTCACTTCATGGTCCACCTCATGGTCCAAGAACTAGGGCAAGTCGAGATCCCGGCCTCGCAACGATCCACCTTTGCCGGCACAGAACAATCGTTCAATTCTCTGTTTGCATTGTGTCATTGGGCTGCGACTGTGGGATGGAACCGTCCTGATCAATTTAGATACTTAGCGTTGGGAAGTGTTCTGGTTTGTGGATTGGGAGTGGGTGTCTTTGCTTGGTGGGAAAGGAAACCGATCCGGAGAGAGGTGGCGAGGTATGAGAGTATTGCTATGGGTAATGTGACCCCTGAAGACGATGAGGAGGATTGAGGTGGGGTACAATAATATATAGAAACAAGGTCATTCAGTGCAAGATCTACTTTTCCGCTAGGTATTTCTTAGGTCGTTCCAATTATGGCAGATTCTCTCAGATGCGGGCTCTTTCTTCCGCCCTTGCTTACCATCTCGAGGCACTCGAAATCAAAATTTAGCACTCAACGATTCGTTTTACATCCTCTGACGCCTTCCCAGGCATCCCGGAGATTCTCCCATCGAAATCAAGGACGAGCTAGCCTATCAAATCGCCCACGTATTACTCCTGGCGCAGCACGGCGAATTTATCGGAAATTCCCTCAGCTGTGCCTCTCCTCATTTCAGGGACCTCAAGTGAGACAATGATCACCGAAACCACGCCCAATCTAACTTGACTCTTGAATCAAATTTCTGATCCCAGGAATTGTCTACTGTGAGAGGAAGGCTTTGGACAGGAGTTATTGTATCATTGAGTGTGTGTCTAGCCAGAATCTACGAAGGAGGGTTCTAGATGCTAAAGAAGGTGATTGGGGGAGCTAGGCTAGTTTCCTTTAGGACTTCCAACCTCACGTCTCTATGCCTTCAGGATAGCGGGTCATCTAGCGTTATGTAGGAGGCCCGGGAGCTAAGATTCTTTCTGTGAAGGCTGAGCTATCGGGAGGGTTTCACGGCACAGTCGGGACCCCAACTCTTCAGGGGTACCGTCCGGGTCAGCCTCTTCGTTCATTGGTGCCCGTATTCAAACTTGATTCTCAATTTCAGCCTTACAAGGAAAATCTCCAGTGGGAGAGAGACTCTGAAGGTCATGGAGGATTGGGGTGACAGCACCCATAAGTGAAGGCGGAGTACCGGACTTCATTGGGTGGCCCAGCTGAGGAGACACCTACGCGCAATATTTGGGACGAGTTTCTGACTTTCTCCAGCACTATTATGCACAATAATATAATTACAAACAAGGGCGTGTGGTGTGAAGTTTTGGGGATAGGAAGTCGTGGTGGGAGATGTTTCTTCCGGATTCATAACCCAAAATCGACGTCACCTGATGGGAAAAGCAGGTGATCCAATTGTGATGGGAAGATAAATAGAGGAGTAAAAGCTGACTCCGTTGTTTTCATGCTGGCCCCTAAGAGAATACGGAAACCTGCTAGGAAATCCAACCCGTCCAAGTCCCTCATTGCAGTTTTTCAATGTCCGGTACTCCCAATCGCAACACCTTTAGCTTCCTTACCTACGCGACCAATGCAACCCCTTTCTCGTAGCATCGTTCACTTAGCACTGTGGGGGACGTCATCTGATCTTTTACCTTGCCGTGGAAGTAGTAAATCCTGGATCAATGACTTCATGGCTTACAACGGTGTAAGCAAGCCTTCCACAGAGGCCAAATGCAGGAGCCGGTGCGTGTTGAATGTACTGTTCATGGCTTGGCCAGGGTTAGGGCTGCTAATCCGTTCAGGGAAACATGGGTGGCGCTTTGAGCACGTTATTCTCTACTTTTACGGATCTTAACCAGATCTTTCATTGGACTCAGCTATTCTTAGAAAGCAACTCTAGACATCCAGAAATTATCCATTTTAAGCTTAACAGTTTCGTAGATTGATGGATCATCGTTAGGCGGACTCTCCGAGAGGTGAGAGCCTTTTCCCTCTTACCCCTGGAATTTGGCGAGGTTTCTCGCCTAACGAATTAAGTACAGTTAATATTACCTACTAATTAGGAGGGAATACCACGTATTTCTTAACCATGAGCTGACATTGAAAGCACAGCTCAAGAATCATGCCCTATCAAGGGCAGTCTGACGATATTGAAGTTTCTTCGCTGTCCTGTGAAAGGCTGCATTACATGTCCCCTCACTGCAACCATCTCAGTCTGGACAAGCTGTGCCTCATCCATGCCGAGTCAAGCGAGCGAAGTAACGTTTACCGCTTGCATGACGCTTACTCAGGATCCACTCACCTCTAATGACTGCACAAGTCCTCCTTGGTGAGTTGAGAACTTGAGTACCTTCCTGAATAGTTGTCTCGCACAATGGACCACATGTACCCCCAGAGGACCAGAGAGCTTGAGCGCCTCTTCCCTCAAGGCACAAGTTCGTCCGCCTCGTTTGATTCGTGGACTTTCACGCTGGGCCCCCAAAACATTTCCGCGTCCTTCCTGTACCTATCTCGGTGGTACTTTGATCCCTTGGCCTTTATCTAGAAAACTTGTCCGTTGTTGGTAGATCTCAAGGAGTCTTCGTCCATTTAAGGAAAGAGGAGGTAGGGTTCGATCTTGGCGCTTCGCCGCCCTGGCATCCACCAAGATTCTCCAAAAGGTCAAACTGACAGTGCAGATGACGAGAGATGCATGGTCAAGGGGCCTGTGTGGTATGAGTCGCCCCATCTTTTTCTGCGAATTCTGTGGCTACCTTGCTCTTGCCGCATAGGGGAGCTGTGTGGCTACCCCCCAGAATGCACGTTTAGTGAAATACTACGGATCGGTACTGCTTTGAGCCGTACTTCAAAATCCTTCCCAACCAGGCGCCATCACATCTCATCCGATGCAAGCCATACTCGTGTGACTTCTCTTGTCTGGTTGGAGCGATGCTCGGAGCAAAGCTGTTCTAAGTAACGCCCTTAGTATTTCCTTGTTCTTTTGGATCTTGGCTTCGCCTGAAGGGATCACACACTGCGAGAATGCAGCTGTAGGGAAGGTCTCAAGTTTATAAGAACCCTCTATACCCCTATAGCAGTGTCCTCTTACCAGCAAGAAACTTGTCTCAACTATAAGCCCTTCGAAGTTTGCAGTTCACATCATGTCTCCAATTACATTGAAGAGCCTGTTACTCTTGCCAGTGTTGACAAGTCTCTTTTCTGAAACCCTTTCATCACCGGCTCCCTTTCCCAACCAATATGTCGAACACGCTTTGAAGAAGAGACAAAGTCTCAACATCGTAGCAACAACCAACACCCATGCAAACACCATTGACTGGATCGGATGGATCCCAATCGGGTCCCAAGGTAAACTTGCCAAGGCACCTCCGCTGTCTCCTGCTCTTCCCCAAGACCCAACCAAAATGGCTGGCAGGCCTGTCGCAGAACTCGAGATGCCCGGCGTTCAGAAGGGACCTGCAGGGACCGTTCCAATTCCACGACTGAACACCACTTATCTGGCGAATGTTCGCCAGAAACAAGCGCCACCAAAGAAGTCAGGCGTTTCAAAGAGACAGAACTCAGGTAGTCATTGGTATGTGAACTCGAATATGAATGTCAACAACCACGGTGGAAATTGGGTGATGGTAAGTTTTTCTCCAAAAAGTAATGTGTTAAAAACAACCAGAAAGACAATATTGATACAGATTCAAAATTTAGAGCATGTTTAAGGCCTTCGTCAACAATGGGGCCGATTTCTCGCTTCTGCAGGCAGCTGTCGCGTATCAGTCTTCGGCAGGATTACAAACTGCGGAAGCTGGATGGTAAGTCCCAACTTTCTTGGAGTAGTCATCCGTATCTTAATGCTGTCAAACAACTCCTGGGATATACTACTCGCAATGTCCAATAGCACCTGGAGCATTCTGCTCCCGAAAAGTTCTCAAAGAAGTATGCTGACTCTGATTTCTCTGGGAACAGGATCAACTATCGAAACCAGGTTTCGCAGCCTCACATCTTCACGTATTTCACCACAGACGGCTATACTGGCTCCGGAACTAATATTGGTGGGTGGAATCAAGACGTTGGTGGCTGGGTCCAAGTCGACAGTACATACTTCCCTGGCACTGGTTTCTCCTCAATCGCGACCATCGGTGGCGCCCAATATGACATGACGATGCAATGGCAGCTGTACCAAGGCAATTGGTGGCTCTTGGTAATCGACAGGTGAGTTGCTGGAGAGAATTCCCCCTCTTAAAACATTCTCCTGGTCGTGCTCTTAGATCACGTGCTGACACTCTCCTTTCCCTAGATTCATCGGATATTATCCTGGCACTATGTTCAGTGCTGCCACAAATGGCGGTGCATCTCTTGCGCAGCAATCCAACCTAATCGCCTACTACGGCGAGCTTGCTCAAAGCGAGGGGCCTGTCACAACCACTGATATGGGAAGTGGAAAGTTTGGGGAAACAGGCTTTGGAAACTCAGGGTACATTCACAACATGTAATCTCGCCAATCTTTCTAAAAACTTCGTTTCCTAATCTGAATTCATCAGGTTCTACATCGACACCAACGGCAATAGCCAAGACTACACTGCCACATTTGGCGACTCTGATTCGTCCAAATGGGATCATAGAGCTTTTACCTCTAGTGGTACTAGCTGGGGGTCATATGTTTATCTTGGTGGACCTGGTGCTGGCGGTGTTACCGGTGGATAAACTATCACGGAGGTTTCGGAGTCCAAAAGTCCAAAGAGAGTGGAAGGACTGGAAGGTGACGGCCGTCAGTCGCTACTTGCAAAATAGAAAGAGGAAAAAGTAAATTCCCTTGTGACTATATTTAGCTGCTTGAATGGGACACTTTGATTCAATTTTTCCTGAGGTCCTACCCTCGGTAGAACAATAGAAAGATGGACTAAACACGTGACACGCGAGTAACTGCACATAGCCACTCCGATACCGGTTACCGAATGGAGTGTTCAATGATATCTGCTATCCTAAGATCTTCAATTCGTAAAGCTATTCTACGGATTGTTCTGCTATCATGTCTGAAACTTTTATGTCACGGTACGAGACTTGGTACGGAAGTACATTAAAGGGGCTTGGTGACATGTTAAGCGAGCAAATTATTGGTTGGCGAGAAGAGCGCCGGCTCTTCTCAACTCGCTACCGCATAAATTTCTACTACATTATTCAAGACGCAATAATTTTTAGCCTCTCCTCAGAAGCTATCGCTCTCAGTCATCCCCTTTTCTGTAACCGCAACTGCCTTGTCAACGACTGGCTCAATGTCTTCTCCCTCGAGAACAGAAACCCTATTGCCATCCTCATCCTCTCTCATGACTTCCCTCTCGCCAAAACCAGCTGGAGGCCAGAAGTTGCAGATGACCATGTAAGTGAGTGTTCCAAGTGTGAAACCGATGGACTAGTATCTAGAAGATCTTCACACCGGCATTGCTGGTGTCGGAGGTATCGATGACCGCCATGAGGAACCCCGGAATTCCTGGGATCATGCCAAGAGCTAAAGCCACGATAGCTCTCAGATTCCAACCTCCGTTGTACCAGAACATTCCATTCGTGAAATAGAGGTCGGGAACCTTCCACGTCCGCTTCGAACCCACCAGTACTCGGCAATCAGAATTGAGGTCGAGTTGGCGATGTAGACTGTCTCCAATTAATTTCCAATTTTGAAATAGATAAAGGCTACCTACGGACAAAGACGGATGGAATGTTGACGAAAATCAGTTTCTGGCTCAAGAACTCCATGGTTGCGCAATGCAGGTAAGGATAACCAAGATCAAGTAGGCACGCATTCTGGGCAGATATCTTGGAAACATGCCTGCAAGATCCATGCCATAAGGAACGGTATTTCGGGTAATGGCGACAGAGATCTGAAACGAAGGAATAGAAACACCAGCGAAGAAAGTGGCGCATCGACTGGTGGGGTGTAATTGTTGCTGAACGGTAATCATGAGGATAAGCAAATTCCACTGGATGGTCCCTCCATTCACATGCTCAGTCGCTACGGTGATGAAGACTAGGAACATGGCGGTAATTGTAACAGTCCTGGAAGTGTGATTGCCATGGCAGGCATTACTGTGTTCTTCTTCTTCTCGAAACGCTCGCCGATTCCTCCCCATGTTCCACCTAGACTGCTGATGCACTGGACGATTCGGAATGCTCTTTGAGACTTTGTAAGCACAATGGGAGAGCTGATCAAACTTCCTGTTCCGCCGTTGGGGTGAAAAGCGTACGCAAGAATGCCAATGAAGATCATGATGAAAGAGGGATAAAGGAACCTTCTGATCTGGTGTGGCACGAATCCTGCGAAGAGAATTAGACGATTAAATCAAAGCTAAGGAATATGGCTGGTAAACTCACAAGCGAATGGAATATAGATTGCAATGAAGCAGACAAATCCAATCAAATTTTGAGTTGAAAAGGCGGCACTAGATGGCAAAGTGTTCGGCATAGAATGGAACAAAGGGAAGATGGCGCCTAGAATGAGAGTGAAAGCTTCACTAACATAGTACGATTAGAGTCCAGACTAAGAACAGAAGTCAGCTTGAGTACAATAAATATAGGAAAAGCAGGCGTACCTAAACAATACCACCGAGACCAACGACAGCAATCGGAATACATGTACCCCAAAATCCGAAGGTAGCACCGTTCATCAAAGTCTGCGGGGCAGGTCAGCCTTTGACCTTTGTTGGATCTCATTTCACAACCTACTTACGTATCCAATGCTATAGTTCATTCCTGGTTTTCCACAGAGACATCCAAGAATACAGGAGACAATACAACCACCAAGAATGGCACCAAGGGTTTCACCTACAGTCAAACCTACCGCAATGTACGCGCTCCCAAGGTGAGGGTGCCAACAGAGACACCGAGGATGGCCCCGCTTGCACGGGTTGCGAAGTTGGAACCGGTGTTGTAGATCGGGACGGAGATGGGGAGTTCGTCTTCTTGCTGCGAAAGCTCAGTCTGTCTCTCTACTTCGAGTGGTTGCTCTTTTCTGCCATTATTGCTTTTGTGATGTTCGATGTTGGGTTGAGGCTGATGATGCTGGAGAATAAATACATGACAGGGGCATTGACGACAGCCGTAGGACTTGCAACCTTCCAGCTGAAGTACTTCATATGTCCCCTTTATCCAGTAAACGCCGCATACTTTCGCATCTTTTCGAAGGAGCTGATTCTTCCAGAAACTGTGATAGGCCCGTCTCACCCAGCAGCCAGTCAGGTGTACACAGAGCAGTGTGTCGATTTCGATAGCTTCCCTTCCTATAGAAGGGTTTTGCACTCAACTGCGCATTGACCTCAACTGCGCACCCGAAAAATCATAATTTTATGAATTATGCTTAGAACTGTGCCGCAGAGCTTAAATGTATGTGATTTCAGGCTAAAAATTCTTCCATTTATCCTTCTCATCATCAATTCGCAATGACTAATTATCAAAAAAAGTCGAAGAGCCCCAAGGGCAAGAAACAGGCCAAGAAACAAGCCAAGACGACAACCACCAAGCTTCCTTACCAAAGCCCCACTGTTTCTGACGACGATTCGCACCCGCTCGATGACCCACTCGATCCACTCCTTATCAATTCGAAACCTGACGATATCCCCAAGCCTATTAGGCTAAATAATGCATATGCGGACTGGTTGGCTGAAGAGGCAGCTGGAGAGCTAGAACCGGCATACAAGAAGGAGTCTGTAAGATCGATTACTACAAGGCACGGATTGGGCGAATCTTCATTGAGATATCGAATTAGTTGCAAGAAGAGCAAGGCAGAAGAAGCACAAGATCGGCAGAGGTTAACTCCTCTTGAGGAAGAAGCCTTAAAGAACTAGTATTTACAATTGGAAGTTTGGAATTTCCCAGCGAGGATAGAAACTTTACGTCGAATAGCCGAAACCATATATCGTGCAAAGGGCGATTATAAACCTATTGGTTTAACATATTAACGGAGGTTCTTTACAAGATGGCCTGAACTTAAGTCGAAGTTCGCTCCTCCTCTTAATAAATCTCGTACTAGCACTAAAGATCCTGCTATTTTTTTGCGATATTTCAAGCTTTTTTATACCTTAATTAAGAGATATAATATTAATCCACTTGATATTTATAATATGGACGAGAAGGGTTTTATACAAGGCATTTTTGAGAAGTCAAAGGTTATTATTTCAAGGGATAAGAGATTTCAGAGTAAATCCTTTTATATTCAAGACGGTTCAAGAGAATAGACGACAGTAATTAATTACATATTAATTAGTGGACAATATCTCTCTCCTTGGATTATTTTCAAAGGGGTTTATTACAAGAAGCAGTGGGTTAATCGACTTATTGCATACGATCCAAAGGGGAAGATTACCATGTCTTATAACGGATAGACCGATAATTGTATTAGCTATAAATGGTTTCAGGAGTGCTTTATACCCGAAACAGGAGGAGAGAGCCTCTATAGGGAATATCGATTAATGCTTTTTGACGGACACTCTTCACATATCAGTTCAGATATAATTCGATTATATCTTAAGCATAAAGTCATTCTTTTATACTTACCACCTTATACGACTCACCTATTACAACCCCTCGATATTAGTCTTTTTGGGCCCCTTGCTTCTTATTACAAGTCGTTTATATATACTCTTTGCAAGTTCGGCTATAATTACTCCATTAACAAGCTCGATTTTTTGGACGGATATCTTTACGCTCGCGAAAAAGCATTTACTATCAAGAATATTATATCTGCATGGAAAAAGGCGGGTTTACATCCGTACGCTCCAGAGCTTATTATCAATAAAATAACTCCCTTAGAAATGCCCTTAAAAGAGCGCCCAATCACCCCACCATCAGTAACGTCAACTGCATCAGAAACGCCACTTACCGATACACTTCTCCTTCAACCTACGCTTTTTCCTCCTCCTCCAAAGACTCCTGCGAACATTTCTGATATACAATGCCTTCTTAATCAACACCGAGCAGCATTATTTACACCTAATGATTTGGAGCGAGTCTTTCTCAAGGTTACTAAGGCTACTAAGAAAGCAATGGCAGAAGCTTTGACATATAAAGATTATAATGAGGGTTTACAAGATGCTGCCGTACGAAAGATAATTCGGGGAAATCGTACAAAGGGGAATCTCGCAATAAAAGATGCTCGTACGTATGGTAAAGCGGAGCTTAATAAGCGTTCAGCTTGGTGGTGCGAGGAATACGAAAAGGAGGTACTTAAAGTCTTTATGGGCTATAAGCTTGATATCTTTGATTTCAAGGCAAAACTCGTACGAAAAGGACGCCTGATTCCTGACCTGGAATTATGTCCAATCATTGAGTTTCATGCTCTTTTCGACTCTCCCCAAAGGCACGCTTCTCCCATTAAAAGCTCACCCAAAAAGCGTACTCTAGCAAAGACAATCAAAGCTCCAAAAACGATTTTAGGGATTGCAAAGCGTACGAAGGCAGTAAAGGTAAAACCGAGCTTAATACTCAAGCTATAGTATGGAACGGAGCTTGAGATAGTAGGGAAAATTAGAGATATTATTGAAATTAGAACCAGAACTGGAAGGATAATCAAGCCAACGGCAAAGCATGTAAATAAGCGGGGGAAGCCATAGAATTATGATGTCTTGCGATTGTTTCTACTGGCTTTGGTTTCTCGGTGAGATTTTATGGAATTGGTTCAAAAAGTCAGGGTTTTCCGTAAATTTAATACTACGGGTTCTTATAAGTAATTTGGCTTATATTAATCTATAAAGGGTACCTTTGTATATCTTTTAATATAATTAGATCCAAATTTAATAAATAATTCATGAAGTTATATTAATATTAGTAGTCGTGGTGGGGTAAATTAGGGGTGCGCAGTTGAGGTCAATGCGCAGTTGAGTGAAAAACCCTTCTACTCAGCTTCCGGGTCAATAGGCTGCCAATCACAGCCCTACACGTGAGTATCAACCTTATTGGATCATCAATACACCCTAGGTCGACTGGCCTGGTTGCCTTGCACGCAGAGCAACGTATATCCCGTCGCATAGGAAGCCCTCACTTATAAACGGGGCGAGAGCTTTGTCATGTGCAGATGAGGCTGCAGCCGCAGTAATTATTGCGTCACATCACCGTGTCGGCCTTAACCTTACCTGCTTTTCCTCAGTTGGCTCGCAATTACATCGATACTTCACCGCCTCTCATGTTTCTCGACGCACTTCAACAGTCGTCCAGCTTAACATGACCAAGATTAGTCGGCGCTGTGCGATCCCATCCGGAGAATGCCTGGTCTGCCGAGATGAACCTCCGAAGGCTGCGAACAAACAATGCGGCTTCTTCAGCGCAAAAGTGGGGGAAGTTTCGAGTTGACTGGCTATTTGGTGGACAACATTCCCGAGTATGCTATTTTATCGCATACGTGGCTAGCCGACGACGAAGAGGTCAGTTTCGAAGACCTGGTGAAGGGAAATGCTAAGGGCAAGTCTGCCGGTTTCCACAAGATCCAATTCTGTGGAGAACAAGCTGCCAAAGATGGTTTGGAATACTTGTGGGTGGATACCTGCTGCATTGATAAATCCAGTAGCGCGGAGCTCCAGGAGTCTATAATTTCTATGTTTCATTGGTACCAGAGAGCTACCAAATGTTATGTATACCTGTCGGACGTTTCAGTACCCGAAGGTGTGGTCATAAACCAAGTCCCTTCCTACCCGTGGGAATCAGCTTTTCGCAAGAGTAGGTGGTTCACTCGGGGTTGGTGAGTCTCCAATTCTCGGCGAATTGATTTGTGTTACGCCTCAAGAGTACATGGCTTTCAAAACACTCTCTAGACTCCAATTTCCTACCCTGTGAAGCAACACTGATCAGAGATATTGAGATTTAGGACGCTTCAAGAACTTATTGCTCCAGCATCCGTTGACTTCTTTTCTGTCCAGGGCGTACGACTGGGCAACAAGATGTCGCTGGAGAATTACATTTATGAGATAACAAGGATTCCTCCTCGGGCTCTACGAGGAGATGAGTTGATGACGTTCAGCGTTGAGGAGCGACTATCGTGGGCAGAGAACCGGCAAACAAAGCGCAAAGAAGACAAGGCCTACTCTCTACTAGGAATCTTTACCATCTTCATGCCGCTCATGTATGGCGAGGGAGACCATGCGTTTGCTCGACTGCAAAAAGAGATCAACAGGAAGCACGCAGAGAATGCCACATTGGATTATTTAACCTTCAAATTACCTACCGCCCCTCAAGCAGCCTTCAACTCCTTCGACAATCAGCATGGGGCAACTTGTCTTGCAGACACCAGAGTCGAACTTCTCCAAGAAATAACAGAATGGGCTGATGGGCAGGATAGGAGGTGTATCTTCTGGCTAAATGGGATGGCGGGCACAGGTAAATCCACTGTCGCTCGTACCATCGCCAGGATATACCATGATCGAGGCAATCTAGGAGCGAGCTTTTTCTTCTCGAGGCGAGGTGGAGATGTCGGTCTCGCCGACAAGTTGTTCACCACTCTCGCCTCCCAGCTGGCGATGAAAATACCATCTGCAAGAAGATACATCCGTGAAGCTATCATGGAGCATACAGATATTGCGGTACAATCTCTCCGGGACCAGTGGGATCAATTGATCCTCCATCCGCTCTCAAAAATCGAAGGAATTTCTTCTCCTTCGATAATTGTACTCGTCATTGATGCTCTGGATGAATGCGATAGTGAGAGGGATATCCGGATCATTTTGAGGCTCTTGGCTACGACGAGCTCACTTGTGAAGATCCGATTGCGAATTTTCATCACAAGTAGACCAGAGATTCCGGTCCGTTGCGGATTCTCCCAGATAGAAGCTGATCGTCAGGTCTTCGTTCTTCACGACATATTGGCAACAATAGTGGACCGTGATCTTCGACTTTTCTTCGAACATAGCTTCTCAACTATCAGAGAAGAACGTGGCTTTGCTGTCGACTGGCCTGATCGTCGAGTAATCAGGCGCTTGGTCGAAACTTCGTGTGGTCTCTTCATCTGGGCTTCCACTGCGTGCCGGTTTATTCGTGAGGGCAGGCAGCTTGCTGACAGGCGAATATCAATCCTCATCAACGACCATCGCTCTGGCGCAGGTCCGGAAAAGCAGTTGGACGACATCTATATCACTGTTCTCAAAGATTCTATTCAGCCGGACTACAATGAAGAGGAGAAAACAGAACTGATCGACAAGCTAAGAAACGTACTTGGAAGCATCGTGACTCTCTTCTCTCCGCTTTCTGTGGACTCCCTGGCATATTTGCTTAACAAGCCACCACGCTATATATTGGAGATACTGGCAGATTTGCATACAATATTCCACATCCCTAGCCAAACAAATCGCCCACTCCGTCCGCATCATCCCACATTCCATGACTTTCTTCTTGACAAGGACCGTTGCAGTGACCTCGATTTTTGGGTAAACGAGAACCATGCTCACAAAGCTCTAGGCGACAACTGCATACAGCTTATGTCGGAGATGCTCAAAAGAAATATCTGTGGCCTCCAATCACCAGGCACCCTTATCAAAGATGTTGACCCCGATCTGATAGAGCAATGCATTCCACCGGAGCTCCAATACGCATGCCTTTACTGGATTCAGCATTATCGACAGAGCAGGATACGTCTCTGCGATGGGGACCCAGTCCATTGTTTCTTCCAGAAGCATTTCCATCATTGGCTGGAGGCCGTCAACCTAATAGGAAGGGGCTCTCTCGTAGTTTACCTACTCAGAATGTACCATTCTTTACTTGAGGTACGTGTTTGCAATTCACTTATGGCGGGTTTAACCAGTTGACAACCTGATTTGAAGCACGCAGAGAATTTGCGCCAAAATCCATTTGTTAAGGATGCAAGACGATTTGTGTCGGCGTTTCAATCAATAATGGAACAGGCACCTCTCCAGACGTATTGCGCCGCTCGTACGGTCATGGCGCCCACCAATGAACTTAGGCACCATTTTTGGAGTCAAATACGGCCCTGGAGCAAAGATCGCCGAATCGCCGAAGCAACCGATGCTAAGGACGAATATAATTTCGTCAACGATATAGCTTTCACACCCGATGGCCGGCATGTCGCCTCGGGATCAGTCGACGAAGTAGTAAGGGTTTGGGACGTAGCAACAAAAGCTACGCTCTGCAAATTCGAGGGGCAAATAGACAAAGTCAGTTCTGTGGCAGTCTCACTGGAGGGAACGATGATTGCCTCTGGCGCGGACGACACCACTGTCATGGTTTGGGATTGGGAATCAAGAGCTGTGCGTTACACTTTTAAGGGGCACTCACGTTGGGTGAACTCCGTGGTGTTCTCACCGGATGGCACGCTGCTCGCGTCAGGCTCGATGGACGAAACGGTTCGAATCTGGGATTTGGAGAGAGGACAGGAGCTTGCTGCTTTTGATGGCAACTCAAGTTGTGTCAATTCCGTTGCATTCTCACCCGACGGCTTATTACTCGCATCAGGCTCAGCAGATCAAATAGTGCGACTCTGGGACATTGTGAAGAGAGAGCTACGCATGTCGCTAGATGGCCATGCAGGCGTCGTCAACTCTGTTCGATTCTCACCAGACGGGAAGCGAATTGTATCAGGAGCAGATGATATGACAGCCAAGCTTTGGGACACGATTACAGGAACAGAGTATATGACTCTGAAGGGACATCGAAAAAGGGTCATGACTGTTGCATTCTCTCCGGATGGGCATACCGTCGCCTCGGGCTCCGAAGATATGAGTATCAAGTTTTGGAATGCAACTACCGGAACCCTAATAAGGACACTAAAAGGCCATACCAGCGGCATCAATGCTGTCACATTTTCCCCGGATGGCCGGCTTCTCGTATCGGGTGCATTCAATGACGAGGTCAGACTTTGGGATATGGAGAGTGGGGAAGCACGTGGGGAGTTTGATGAGTTCGAGGAGGATACCCTATCAACCTCGGGCGAAAAGGTGAACCCTCTCAACCCTGAATTGATCGCCGTTGCGGCAGGGGAGTTGAAAGAGAAGTCAAGCGCGATTACCAGCGTAGTCTTCTCACTAGATGGTCAGCTAGTTGCGTCCAGTTCACACGATACCACGATCAAGTTGTGGAACAAAAATGGAGTGGAGCGCTGGCTACTCGTAGGCCATTTAGGTACTATTAGCTGCCTCGCATTCTCGCCAGATACCCGCTTAATTGCGTCGGCCTCGACGGACAAAACGGTCCAGCTTTGGAACACTGCAACAGGAGCAGTATTGTATACACTTGAGGGTCATTCTGGCAATGTCTGCCTCAACCGATTCTCATTGGACGGGAAGTTCCTCGCTTCATGTTCTACTGACAAAACAGCCATACTTTGGCACGTTGGAACTGGGGCAATATGGTGCAAGCTTGAAGGGCACTCAGATACAGTCAACGATGTCTCGTTCTCGCCGAACGACAATCGCTTTGTCGCATCGTGCTCAGCAGATGCGACAGTCAGACTGTGGGATGTTTCCACAGAGGTGGCTTCCCGAACTCTCACAGGCCATTCAGCTATGGTGAACTCGGTCGCATTCTCATCGGACGGCAAGCTGCTGATCTCTTGCTCGGCGGACACTACCATCAGGCTCTGGAATACAGCAGGAGCCCCGTGCGGAACGCTCAAAGGCCACACGCTTTCGGTCAACTCGGCGGCGTTCTCGCCAGACAACAAGCTGGTGGTATCTTGCTCGGAAGACGAGACGGTCAGACTCTGGGATTCGGAATTAAAATCCGCGCAAGGCGTGCTCAAATTCGCGGTGGCGATTCGCACCGTGTGCTTCTCCAGTTGTGGCCAATACATCGAGACTAATAGAGGGGTGTTAGACATTGGCTTGTTTTCCCTTAGTTCTCCTTCAACTGCCTTAGACCGCTTATTCACGCTCTTCATCAAGAGTTAAGTCTTGATAATCTTGCAAGGTTTTGTTGGTGGCTGCTCGCGAGCTCGAAGGAGGGTGCTAGTGGTGTTTTGGGTAGATGTCCTATAAGAACAGGCCACGAATGTAAAGAATCCGGCTGGTCAGTCAGATGTGATGGAGCCTTCCAGCAGCAATTAGGTGGTTTACTTCTCTGGATGGCTTGTCAGAAGGAAGGAATCGACTGGTGTAACGATGTGTCAGTTGAAGGTTGTTGTCAATCGGAACTGGGGACATTTAGCTCCTGGTTGGCTCCCTGATGTACCGGACCTCTCAACGCCTGCTTCGCTTCTCATATGCCACAGCTATGACTCCTCAAAGGGTCGCTTGGCTCCAATGCGAACCGAGGCATGTAAGATGTCGTGGCATAAAAGAGAGAAAATGGAACGTTGAGGGGTCCTTTGCGTTGACTGGGCAACCTAACTCTTGGTATATGCACGTGATCTCGCGTAGCCGAAGCGGAAGCTGTATTTAGATCTCGCGAGAGCCTGCTTTAAAATTCAGACCTTTTCTCTCCTTTTGGCCACCGCCGTGTGGCAAATGCCTCTTAAAACCGTTATCGTGGGAACCGGTATCGCTGGCCTCGGAACAGCAATCGCACTCAAAGACAAAGGCCACATTGTTACCGTCGTCGAAGCTACCTCGCAACTCCAATCTATTGGAGGGATTATCACCATCCAAGCGAACGCCAACCGCATTCTGGATAGCTGGGGCGTATATGAGGTTTTATTGACAATCTGTGCCGCCTCACTATTCGCGCCATGCGCGAGGAGATATAAGGACGGGGAGTTCATCATCAAAAGGCCTCCGGAATTATATAAGAAGGAGTATGGGTATCCGTATGTATTGCACGTGATGTAAAATTGCATGTATCACTGATGCGTGGTTTCAGGCTCTTGCACGTCCATAGGGCCGATTTGCAGCAAGTTCTCTATAAAGCTGCTGTGGAGCGAGGGATTACCTTGAGACTTGGTTGTCCGGTCGTTGTTATTGAAGATGAAGATGAAGAAAATGTGGCTGTTGTGATTGAAGGTGGAGAGAGAATAGAAGCAGATGTGATTGTGGGAGCAGACGGTAAGTCCACGATAAATGTACTGCGAGCAGCCCTGGTGAGGTTTTCGGCGTTTGTTATGTGCGTCTTCGTGGCTATTTCGAATGCTAAGATTTTGGCCGAACGTTGAAGAGCTAAGAGAGACCTGTTCTAGGCATCAAATCGGACTATGGGTTGGTCCTTCTACTACCCTTGCCGTTGTCCCAGTCTGCCGACGTACGAGAACTTTCCATATTCTCTGTTGCTACAACTCATGTTTGTACCAGGAGACAAATGGCTCTTAGGGCTTGATTGTTCTCACCCGAGAGATGTAAATTCAGCGGAAGGAGTGGGAGAAAGTAGGAAGCAAAATATGAAGCTGTTCAAAGAGCACTTTAAAGATTTTTGTTCCGGCAATCCAGAAAGTACTGTCGTACGCAAAGGAAGCATATGTTTGGAGGATAATAGAAACTACACCACCATCTTGGGTAAGTAAGAGTGGAAAAGTAGTTTTGATTGGAGATGCAGCCCATGCTATTCTTCCATTCGTTGGACAAGTAATTCTCCACTTGAAGATTACCATGTAAAAGGCTCACAATTCTATTTAGGGAGGGGGCATGGCACTCGAGGATGCCGCAACTCTGGCAGAATGTCTGGAGCGAGCTAAGACAGCTGAAGATGTTTCGAAGGTACTCAAAGCATTTCAAGAGATTCGAGAGCCGTGTTGCAAGCTGGTTCAAGAATGGAGTATAATGAAGGGCAAACGAGCAACGCTTCCTGATGGACCTGAGCAAGAGAAGCGTGATGAAAAATTGAAGTCATTTAACGCTTGGGTCAAAGCGAAGCCTTGGGATAAAGCTCATATCCATGAACTCCCAGAGCTTGAATCTCTAAATTGGAAGGCATGGTTGATCGGGCATGATGCCGTGGGTTTTGTAAGTTGGATCTAACGTATATTGATTATTGAGGCACTCGCTCAGATAGTTATACTGACTGAATGCAGGCAAATCGAGAACTGGATAAACGATTCGGATCCCATAACTAGAGGAAATCTCTACTCTTGGTACATGCTAAGACAGCAGCCCGCTTGGAGATCGGGAAGGTATCTGCCGGTCTTTCTCTGGCAATTGCTGCTTGATGGTGGTGCTTTGAAGGTTGACGTTGTGTCGAGATTGAGGCATCAAGAAGTTTGAAGACGCAGTTGTGGAAGGACGTTTCTTGTATACTCACTCGATTTGCTTCGGCAACCCGTGCAATTCCCTCGCAATGAAGTTGACTGTTGAATGCGAATCAACGCAAGACCGATGGTTGCAAACAAGTCACATCGGAGAATTAGGTGGGGGAAAAGACTCGAATATTTAGGAGTCGTCGTCCTCAATGCTGGGCGGTTGTTGAATTACTTCGTTTTCATTGCAAGATTTTAACCATTATTTATACCAAGGACGTGTTGTCGTAAGAAGCTTGGGTGGTCGTCGAGTAGCTTCGTTTTCGTTGCAAGAATATAATCATAATTTAGACAAAGAACTTGTTGTCGTAAGAGTAGGAGGAGGAGGCTTACCCTACACTTCCACTTCAAAGTAGGCTGAATATTAGGAGAAAGTCTGGCCAAAAAGAAATCCCAATTGAGTCGATATATTCAGCTTTTGGCCAAGGCCCAGCCACTAAAAGCCGTAGATGCTCGGATTCGCCATGTCTCGAAGTGCAGTGACATATTTATATTTGACCAAGACCTCCTGCCCCTCGTTTCTGGTTTCCGCAAAATCTGCTTCCCACAAATGTAGTTGACGCTTTCCTCACAGTCGCGAGCAGTTCCGACTCTTCGATTATAGTAAATGCCCTCACAACACTCTTCACACCACCCCCTGAGTGCGCTACTCAATGGATCGCGTTTGGCCGAGGCGACATTTATGGGCCCAAGGAAACCTACATCTAAAGGATAGTCGAAGAGACGTTCATTGACGCCTCATCCTGCTATCCCACATCAACCATTACACGAGATGAGCTGTACCGCAGCTACAGGAGCCACACCACCCCCAGCGGATTCACGCTCAATACAGTCAACGGCAGACAATATCTCGTCTACTACACTGGGCGATACTGCACCTCTGAATACACATCCGCCACCTCCGCGCTCCGACTCAACGAAAACGGCCTCCACACTACCCTCGCAGGCACCACGCCCGCTGCAGTGGGTCCTGGCATCGCGGTCCTGGATGCGGTGACGACCGTGTGGCAGGTGAGCGATCTGTCATTGTTTGCTAGAAATGCAAAACCTGTGGTTGGGATGGAGGTGGTAGCGTTTTTGGGTTCGGACTGGAGTTTGGTTCTTGAGCTGGGACAAACTACCACAGCGATGAGCGCAGTGCTGACTACATCGAGTAGGAATGAGGTCGGAAGGTTAAGAGGGTAGAGTGTGTTGATTACGAGGGTTCTAGGACTGGTAGCTTTGATTGTGCATAAGACTTTTCAGTGAGATGTACAGTTATGAACGAAGACACACTTCGTTGTTGCCATGTGGCTGGTATTGTCAAGTATATATCACGTGATCGTTTCCATGACCAGGCCATCACCCCATCCTCACATGGCCCTTGACTACAAGTAACTCAATACATCCTCTACTAGCCACTATACCTATTTTTAAATCTTTATCTTTTCGCAATTCAACCCCCTTCTAACAACAACTCCCGTCCCCAAATCTCTCAGCCTCGCGTGTGCAACCTCAGCCTCGCCTCGGGACGACCCGCCCCATGAAAAACATTTCCCGACATCGACAACTTTTCGACTTCATCTTAGCCACAATACCACCACAATGAACGGACCGCTGTTCAATCCACCTCGAGATGGAGGCATGGATGGGGCGGATGCACAGACTATGGCTGCTGTTAGGAGTGTATGTTCCCTTCAACTTGTCAATTCTGGAGAGCTGGACTTCGTTTCGACCTCACTCAAGCTGGAATCAGACGCCGAAGCTTGGATGATGGGAACAAGGGAGGAGTGAAGTCACGATGGACGAATTGGATCGGCAGAGCGAAGAAAGGGGAGAGTGATTGGAAGCCAAGCTAATTATGCTGTTCTAGATGCAAATGCTCATGGAGTCCTGTCCCGGAAAGACCGCGGTCTCAGGCGTAATGGGCTTTGCACTCGGCGGCGCATTCGGGCTTTTCATGGCATCCGTAAGCCTCCCTTCTCCCCATCTCTCCCCCTTTCTTACCCCCTCTAACTTGCTCACAGATGCAATACGACACCCCCCTCTCCACCAACCCCAACGCGCAAGCCATCACCTCCCTTCCCCTCCGCCAACAGCTAAAACAAGGGTTCCGCGACCTCGGATCCCGCTCCTACTCCTCCGCCAAGAACTTCGGCAAAGTCGGCGCAATCTTCGCAGGCACGGAATGCTGTATAGAAGGCTTTCGAGCCAAGAATGATTTGAAGAATGGGGTGTTGGCAGGCTGCATAACGGGTGGTGTGTTGGCGGCGCCGGCGGGACCGCAGGCTGCTGCGTTGGGGTGTGCGGGCTTTGCGGCGTTTAGTTTGGCGATTGATAGTTATATGCGGAGGCCGAGCGAGACGGACTAAGGCGATGGGAGAGGGATGGGGGTTGCGGGATGGAGGAGTGATATGTGAAGGGCTGGAGAGGAGGGTAGGGAGTTGAAGAAACTTGATGTGTGAGTTGTGTATATATGTAGGATCAGTGCGGCTGCGGCATTGCTTGGAGTTTTGGGTCAGATGGCTGGGGTGTATGTCTTAGATATGGGTATTATATGGTGCTCGGAAGGCTTTGATAATGCTAAAGACATCTCAACTACGGATACAAGAATTTCTGATACAGACGGTTTCAAGAGAAGCACGCGGGTTGTGTGGTGACGAGCTGCAGCAGGATAGCGGACTTGGAGTGTTGTGTGTCACATGTGGAACGGTGTTCCTGAAGTGTGTTTTGATGCGTCAAATATTTCCAATTTCCACTCAGAATCTCATTCTGTATAGGACATTCCGTCCTTGATCTAATCTTTGCATACGCAATGGCCAGCTGCGTATGCCCAGCGCTCCTATCCCGAACGCCGTGTAAATCATCTGGTATTATCCCATCCTTTCTAGTAAGACCAATTCCCAAAGGAAATTAACAAAATATTTTCAACACCATCCCATAACAGATCACGAGGCGGAGTAGACCTTGAAAGCTCCAAACTCCCAATATGCATCCGCGAACGAACCATTGTTCTTCGCCACGTAATCCGTGCAAGAACCAGAACCTACTCCTTGTTAGCTTTCTTTGCTAGAAGAAAAAGAAAAAGGGGCAAGGATAGGTAACATACAAGTCTCCCCAAACACGTTCGTCGCCCCCGCCCAGGTCCCACACAGATCGATGTTAGCAATAATACTCTGATTCTTGAAATGATTCCCAATATTGCAATCCGTGCTGGGGAAGTCCGCCGTCGCCTCGCCCCAGGTGCTTGGATCTGGAGCGCCGCTCGTGATATCAGACGGAATCGAGTTGCGTCCGAATTGCCAGAGTCTGATGCCTGCTGTTCGGAGTTCCATTGCTAGGACGGCGCCTCCGGCACTATTGAAATCTGCTCCAAAGGTGGTAGATCCTGCGTCAACGCCACAGCCTGCATTGTCGTTCGTGGTGTTTACACAGCTCGTCGCCAAAACTTTTCCAGACTCCTTGCGCTTGACGCCCATACTGCAGCCAGACGACGTGTGCAGCGTCATCTGGTTGTAAGTAGTAGAAACCACATTAACCGCTTCCATGACATCAATTTCGCCATTGTAAGGCCAGTTCGCGGGATCCGTGAGCCAGAGTGCTGGCCAGGTGCCGCAACCGATCGGGCTGTGGATCACGTCGAAGATGAAGAGGGTGTTAAGGCCGTATTGGTTTTTGGAGGAGACACGGACGGAGAAGCGGCCGGTTGAGGCGTCTGGGTTGGCGCCGGGCCCAACCGAGGTGTCGACGCGGAGGACGGCGGAGGAGCTACTGGCGTAGGTGAGGTTTAGGGAGGTTGCTTGGGCTTCGGGGACGTAGTGGACGAAGCCGGAGGAGGGGTCGTAGCCGGTGAAGTAGTCGAAGTTGTCAAAGAAGGAGGAGCCCGAATCTGAGGTGGGTCAGCAATTGATAGAGGAGGAATGGACGGAGGACTAACATGTCTCAGCAAGACTGTAATTCAGCTTGGTGTAGTCTGGATATGCGTTCTTCTTCGTGACTTCCACGGCAATAATGATAATGATGACAATTATCAGAACCACTACCGCAATAGCCCCCGCCCAAGCTTTCTTTCCCCAGTACTTGAAGTTGTACCACGGATGATAATAAGAATCCTCTCGATTGAACCGGTATCCAGACCACCCCCCACGCATCTGGACCTGCTCCGTAGCAACATTCTTCGTAGCGAACGACATATCCTTCTCATCCAAACGACTATCTCCCAATTCCAACGAATTCGCAAATGAAGGTCTATGCGTCTTCCCAGCAGGCGTAAAGAGTGAACTGCTCTTGGCGCGGAGATGCTGGACGGCCTTGGGTGGCTTCCAGTACTCAAGAGGCTTAAACGGAAGTTGCGATTGAGAAGCCATCCGGCCGGGAGACCTCAACTCGTATATATCTCCCCTATCTAATCAACCCAGGAACAAAAGTTGCTAGCGTACTGTAAGATGCAAGGAATTAGGCACCACCGTCGTACTCACTTAACGAGCCAATTCGAAGACGCGCAGAACAACGATTGAGGCGAAGGGCTATCCACTTGCTCCACTTGGCAGCGAATCTCTCTCTCGTCTTGGGGCTGGCGTTCTGCACACGGCTGCACTCGGCCTGCGGGCGGACGGCGGTACTGCGTAGAAGAATGGGGCTACTATGTACAGGGGCGGACGCACACCATCAGACACTCGCCCGAGGTGGGATGAGCGGCCGTTGATATGCTGTCGTCCGCTGTGCCCCATCTTTGCCAATCCGATGCGGAATCACGCAGGCCAAGGTGCGTGAAACACGCGGCCAGCTGCCAGTCCATTCGGAGGCGTTCAAGCGGCTCCTCCAAAGGCGCAGTGTTGAAGATGTTTCGGCGGGACTGAAAGGGAGGCGAACACAGGAGCCACATGCCATCTGATGATAAACCTTGTTATCGCTAGAGCCCCCCGTGTCGAGTTCCGACTTCTGTCACGAAGAACACCATGGCGATGGAAGATGGTTGGTAGAAGCGGTGCTGTGACGGGAGAGGAGGTTGTGATGCGTTCGGGACTTGATACAGTGCACGCCTGAAGAGATGAAAATCCTCGTTTCAGTTTCGACAAACTCGAGAGTTTCCCCAACATCGGCATGACAGGACGCCCTCGAAAAAGAAAAGGGGAAACACTCCGGAGATCAGGGATGGGACGGCGAATGATGTGAGCGCTCGACCATCCATGCGACCATAGCGCCGCAAACTTTTGTCTCCAGAGGTTTTATTTTTAGATCCCTTGCTGTCAATCAGGACCTGAATTTCAACAATCCCATTCGATATCAGGCCACCAGATGAAAGCTGGAAAGGGCTGTGATTCCGACATTGTGCAGCACTTTGACAGTCAGCCACAGCCGTATCTGACAGCTGGAACCCTTGGACGTCTCTCTGGCAGAATCTGTTTCGCCGTTTCTTCAAACATTTGTAGTTCATGCGGATTCACCGTCGCGAGGCTTGGCCAAACACTCCTTGAGCCGCGTCATCAAAGTTGCCGTCTCTCCGCTCATCATTTCACCTCGCCGCCTCTAGTATTTCGATATTCGGGCGTACGAACTGAGAATCGCTGGACCATTGGAAACTCCCAGAATTCGTGGACGGATTTTGGAGCGGCTCAGGGGTGAAAAGCTTGGCACTCGTTAGGGCATTGAGGTCCGAGAGATGCTAGATCTTCGACGGATTTAAATGTAAGTCGATTTTTGCATATTTCTGACCAGTTGCAGACTCGTGGAAGTTTTCCGATAATATTGGAAGCACTCGGGACGATGTTGCTGTCATGAAGATAGGCCAATTTTTCAGGAAAATCGGTGAAATTGTCAAGCGTGGATTTTCATCAGAGCCCAGGAACAGACGCAAAGTTGACGTCCGTCCACTAGCCACCATTATGCTGCATGTATATCACAGCACGGCATTGCAAGATACCCATCTCCCACAATTTGCATTTTGGAAGCATTCATGAAGAAAGATACTTCCCTCAAACTACTACACCCCAGTCTGACCTTGGATCGCAAACGCAAACTCCAATCCATCCCGTAACACAAACTGTATCCCAACGCGCGGCATATCCTTGTTTCGCCACTGTCCCGTTTTCTTTACTGTAACTCTTGCGGGCCCGTGGTTAGGATGCGGCAATGCTAAAGGTCATGTGGCAATGGTTCCTCCCTTTATAGACCAGCCTCTGCAGCTACTTGATAGGTAGCTGCTATGCTCTTCTCTCCGTCGACAGTCTTTTTTTATTGTATACCAAATCACAGGCTGTTCTTGCAAGCTTGCAGTTCGCCCCGTGAAAAGATTTCATTGACTTTTATATAAAGATCACACCTAGAGGGTACCCTAGCTGGCCACCTTATACCACCTTTCAGTTGCTCTTTCTCTCTTGCCGATCAGCCTAACGTCGCCTCATTAGAGGTACCCGGAGAACAGAGTCTTGAAGTAGTCGTTGATGAACAAATTCTTGGGGTCGAACTTCTTCCGGATTTCAAGATATTGCTTAAGGCTTCCCTGGTCGTGCGCCTTTGCAAAGTGGGAAATCGCTCCATCACGCGTCTTGTTGATATGAGGAATACCGCCATGCTTCATGGCAATCTCATTGAAGGCAAGGCGGAACATCTTCCAAGTAGGATCCGATGGGTCTGGATACATAGGGTCAACCGCAATCATATTCCCACCGTATGATCGTGACAGAAGAGACGACTGATCATGGGGCAGAAAGTAGATCACGGTAGGCAATGTTAGGATGAACTCGTGTTCTCGCCGAAAGACCCCAGTCAGTTGCAGAAACGACCGGACCATATCAACCCAGTTTTCCTCTGGGATCATCCAGTCGTAGAATTCAAATCCTGGATCATCTTCACCGTAGATAATGCCACGCTGGCAGGGGTCAATGGTGTAGGAACTGTGTTGCATGATCTTCAGCGGCAAGTCGACAAGTGCAGCGTTGACAGCTTCGGCGGCGACAGGTGAGAGGTGAAGCCCGGTTGTCGCCTTCACCAGGGGCAAGAAAAGGTCTGGGAATAAACTGATTCCCTTGCTTTCAATAGGTCCCAGCAAAGCTTCCAGAGCATTTGGCCTCGAGTTCACCGCTCCTGGTTCTATGAACTTTCGGCACTGCCAGACCAATTTCCCAGAGTTGGGAAACAGCATTCCGAAAACCTGGTCGTTTGCTCCTTTGAGAACCTTCACCCCCTCCGTAAAGCCATCAAGAAACGAATCGACCTCCACGAGCTGGAAACTGAAGTGCAATGGCTGGGTCTTGAAGACGTTCATTGTGACCTCGCAGATGACACCGAGCATGCCGAAATGAGAACGGACTGCGGGCAGATACTGTGCATTCTGTGTTTCCGAGACTTCCATGATATCTCCCTCCGGTGTGACCATCTTCACACCAGCAACATACGACGAGAACTGTGCCTTGCGGGTTATCGATGTGTCGTTGGCATGCGTACCGCTCATGGCACCAATCTGAAAATTCCCGAACTCGAGGATGACAGGCAGCTGAAGGCCCAGTCCTCTCAAGTGTGAACACACCTGATGCAAGGATGCACCGCCTTGCACAGTAACGGTCAGGTGCTCCTTATCGACGGAGAGGATGTTGTTCATGTTCTTCATCGAAATCACGACATCGCTGCCTACCATGCATTCTGTGGTCGAATGCATGGCGCCGACGACGGTCACTCGTTGATTCTGGCTTGAAGCTTGTTTCACGATCTCCTGGATTTCTGCAATCTGTGTCGGGGCCTTGAGTTTGCCATTGACAACGTTGAACTGTATCTGGCCATTCCAGTTGTGCAGGGTAGGCATGGCTGTAATTTTCTTGGATAGAAATATTCTTTGGCTTTTGGCTTAGAGGGGGATTTTCAGGAATTAAGACTGAGGAGTATGTTGGTTCTCTTAGTTAAGGAGTGAGGTTGCGGGGCGCTTAAGTAGAGCAGGCAAAAGAAAATATAGCAACGCACAAGAGCTAATTCCTACAACGAAGAAATGCATCGTTCCACTTTTCTCGGACCGCTTTCCACAGGTGAATGAGACAAACTGAAGATTTTGGGTTGTAAATGGTTGGCAACATGCATGTAGCCAGCCACCTCTTTCAGCTGGGTGTCACATAAACTGAAATCCAACCAATACTTGATCATGCACTCTGTACTTTCCCAGGATCAAGGATAGTGGGGTCATCTCCCAAGCCATACATGTGTCACCCTTTTCGCTCGAAAGTGGCGTGCCCCGAAAATAAAAAACAAATAGAAGTTACGAGCAGCGAGACCTTTCACATGCCAGGTGTAGCCGCCCAACCTGAAGCTATGGGACGAAAGACTTTGGAGAAGATGAAATCCAGTCTACTTTATCTTCGATACTTTAGTAGACTGGATTTCATCTTCGATACTTTAAGTCAATACTATGTACAAAGCGCTCGAATAAGTGGCAATTAAAATAAAAGGGTTACTTCTATTAAGATACAATCTATTACGCTATATGATCGCAGCGTATGTTGAAGCCCCTTAAACTTGCTTATAAAAAGAAAATTGGCTATGTATCTCTCTTAGAGGAGGCGATGTAAGTACCTTTCCGCTTCATCAGCTCCTGACCTCCTGGTCGCTGTTTGGGAAGACAAGCTTAGTGATTATGGTGTGACACGACTTTGGGGGGAAAGGGAAGGGGGGTTTTTTTAGCCTAAACCACGGAAGAGCTGTCAAAGATCTGAACAAGACTCATGATCAAGTATTAGTTATTCCTGCTAGGAAGAACTGGAAAACGGTGCAGTACACTCGCGATTTCTGCACCAGATGATCAGATCCACAAACTCCGATGCTATGATACAAACACGCAGCCAAGCCCTAGTCCTCATCCTCATCCACCCTCGCTCGTTTTGCTTTCCTGTCGTCGCTCTCCTGCAATCCATACTCGCGCTTATTCGAGGTTTCGCCAACCTTACTCAAGAACTCATCCACGTTGAAAACATCCCCAGTATCCTTTTCAAACTGCACTGGTCCCTCTCTCGCCTGCACCATCACATTAGCATTGATCACAACTCCACGTAGGGAAGTGCTTACCTCAACATCAGCCGAGCCCTTAAAAGTCCCCTTTCCAAGCGCCTCGAACCGATTACTCCTCTGAATCTTGCCCATCTCCGCCTCAGCAGCCTCCTCATCGTCACCATCATCCATATTCGCACGCGGTCTGTAGATACTGCTGATAGCATCCTGAGCGGCGAACAACGGCTTGTCATAAGCTTGATCCTCGTTGAAACCCGAATCAAAGCCACTTGTTCGATTGAACAATCTCGAATCGAACATTCCTTCGGAAGACTGGGTAGGCTTCGCCAAACCCAGAGCAACCTTCTCCGAGATATCTCGATTTTGTTCTCGAGCCATCATTTGCACTCTCCGCTCTGCTCCCATCCGAGATTGGCGCAATTTCCGTTCCTCTTCTCGTCGCTTCTCGGCACGCATCTTTTCTCGCTCTCGAACTTCCTCATCATCACTCCCTGATCGTTCAGACTCGGACTCGCTATAGCTGCCAGATCTCGACCTTGACGTTCTTGATGCTCGTCTTCCACCCGCAGCGCCAGCCCTCTCTTCCCGTGCCTTTTGTGCCAACATTCGGAGATGATCCTCCTTCTGGGCCTTCTCCTTCTCTGCTAACCGTTGTTGCATCAATGCTCTCTGCTTGACTTCTTCTCGCGCATGTCTATCTGCTGTGAAAAGAGCTTCTGCAAACTGCGCAAACTTGTCGTTGATAGTGACATCTTGTAAGCCTCTCCCATCTGCTGCCAACCTCTTGTCTAATGGAACGGTGTAACCCTTTGGATTCTTCCAGTTCGACACTGGAGGAGGAATCTTCCACGCCTCCTGGTCCTCGGCAGTCAACTTTCGAGGTGGTGAGTGCATAACTGGAGGTGGAGGACTTGGTGGACCTCGAGGAATCTTCTTGTGTTTGAATTTCGGCGGCTCCATGGGATCCTGTTGCCTCTCCACGATCTTCATAATCCGATCATTCTTCCTTGTATTGTCGCCCATCTGGTTCGCTGGTGTATATCTGACATAGGTGGGGTCTTTCCTGGAGCCAACATTGACGTTCTTTGGTTTCTGAGCTGCAACCGCACCGCTGACGAGCTTCGCAAGAGCATCTCTCGTCCTCTCGGTGGAAGCTTTTACTTCCTCCTCGCTCGGTCGGTCGAGGTCAATGTCCCCCGCATCAGCCCGTTGTCGAAGTGGGATCAGATCCTTGAAAGAAGCGTGAACTATCCTCTGGTCGTTATGGCCTTGCCTAGCAATAGCATCATATTTGACCTTCCCCTCGGCATCAACCTGAACAGCAAGCGCATTGCTCGAAGACTGGCCCTTCTTTCCCATGTCCAGAGGGTACTGCGCGACAGGGATTTCTGGGAAAGCTCCTCCATCTCCAAAGTCCTCCTGTCCCCGCGGTCGCCATCCTGATCGCTTGCCATATGGTGGAGGTCCAGATTTCTGCCACCCACTATTAGTATTGTCTTCCTCTTGGAGTAGGACAAGTTTGTTGACCTTCAACACGATCTGTGTGTCATCGATGGTGCCGGCTCCAACGATTCGAGGACCTCGTTGCTGCGCATGTTGCGGGATCTCTTCCTCCTCGCCGGTATATTTCGGCTTCGGGAGCGCCCTGCTCAACGATGCTGCTATTGAAGTCATGCTGAAAGTGGGAGTCGAAGTTGGAGGGGGTGTTGAAATAATTTCGAGGTCTTGAACATCGAAAAGTTATCGCGACCTGAATCCTTGTCGAAGAAGCTAGGCGAGATGGGGCGTGGCGCAATATCAAAAAAGTTGGCAAGATCATGACCTGGAGAAGGGCGAGAAAGGCGAGAAGGGTTCAGGGACATTTAATTGCAAAATTGAAATATATGAGTCGAGTAGGAACTCGTCTCGTGAACGCATTTGAAGGTAAATTAACAATCTATTCCCTCGCTCATCAGGGGGTGATGTAAAAGTACACAGAATTTCGACTCCCCCATGCCAGATTTTCCCAGAATCCCACCAGAACCATAGAACGCAGTGTCTAGCAATTGCCCAGTCATTTACACGTATCCCTTTCTCGCGCCCTAATGGAGACCAATTAGCACTACTCACTCCCTTGGCTCCAGCAGCTACAGAGGGACAACATACCTGGAAGAAGAACCGGACAATGAAGACCTGTAGCCCAGCCATGCAAACCATCATTAAGCTCTCCATAACACTGAAGTTGAAAATTCTCCTCTCCGTACTCCTGACTGTGCTGAAGTTCCGGTTTTCTCTGGTACGGAAGTATTTCTGGTTTCTTGTGATCGTCGAAAGCAGTCCTGAAATCTTGAAAATAGATTCTTCTAATGCGGAGGTCTGCTCAGGGGATGTGCCTTGCTTGGAAGGTATCGAGGCTCGTTGTTCGTTCTCGACCTGGTTTCCGGGAGGGTCAGCAACTTGTGGTTCATGGAATGGAGGCCCAGGAGGTCAGACGAGGGACGGTGGGGTTTCGTACAGCGATTTCGAAATCGACAAACTTCTCTGCGAATGTGCTCATCTCGTTATTGAAACAGAATCTGTATTCTCCAGTCTCGCCCGCTGTGAAGACGAAGTCCCCCTGTCGCTCCTTTTTCCCATCCATAATGATCTTGTCCGCAGGTCCCACAACCTCGTAATCGACATCGAAGGAACCTCCTGCTTGGACCTATAGAACAATTAATCAGCGCCATGTCCAATTCCCAAGACGGAGTATCTGCTTACGGCGAAGTAGAATGCAATCTTTGCTCCCTTATTCTCGACATTGGTGAAGAAACATGCCTTCTCATTGGCAGTAAGCTTGTATGTGAGGGCAGTCGCAGACACGAGCGGAGAGAGGCAAGCCAACAGGCTGCACGAAAGTAATGAGACCTTCATGATGTGTTGTGGTGCTGGAGAAGCAATTGCACATGCAGATTATGTGGCCGTTCGCGAAACGAAATGTCGAAGTCGCGATTTCCCGACCGAAGCGGCTTAGTTTTTGCAGGGATCTGAGCACTCGGCCTCGACTCAGGGGTCATGTCAACTCTTCTCATTCGAGAAAATAGGAAATCAGGAGTCTTTCCATTTCCACAGTCCATCCCAAGTACCGAAATGTCTCCGTTCACTTATCTTTATCCCCTTTTGAATCTATAAATTTTCTACGGTTCAACCAGTAATTTTCAATCAAGTCATTGCGTCGGCAATGCAACTTTGTTGAAACTGGTACGCTACCATAGCTAGCTCACCAGTCCTTCCAGCACCAGGTTCAACCACTAATTTAGGGTTCTCCACTCTCATTTGTCATGCGTCACTCGCTGAGCTTACCAAGCTTACTAGTATATCGTCATTTTGATTACTTTTGATTTATCAGCTGATTGATAATGTATCGGAGAAAGCGGGCTCGGCATCACCGGTATCGCCGAAGGGTAATGGGAATAAATCCCTTACTTTAGACACTTTTCCTCTGTTTTTACACTTCACTCTCCTGTATCTAGTCATTCTACAGATTGTCAACCTCCAATATATCGATTTTCCATCAATAAATCGATCACTTTCCAATAAACTTCTCATTGATAGCTTCACATGTTTATTGTCTGCAAGGCCATGGGGAATGGTGCAATATGTTCTCGTAGCAGATTCCAAACTTCTTGGCTGTAACATTTAAAGGAGCTGAGGCAAGGCCACATCTCAATCGGACTACAAATGTGGGGAAGCTCAAAAGCGTGAGCGCCTCATTGAATGTTTCTATTATGGACACGCTGATCATACTCCAAGACAGTACAATAGAACATATTTCAGGGACTGCATAAAAACCGTTTTCTACATACATGGGTCGCCTCTGGCTTGGGCTGAAGTTGAGAATATCAGATCATCATCAGGTGACAAGCCTCATTTGTCCTTCTCATGATCTCTATGGCAATGTTTCTTGAGAGCAAGTCCATATGAAGCCCACTAATGCCTGACGTTTCATTCGCTACGTTTCATTCACATCATATCTCTGGGCCGCAGTCGACCCATCCAGTACTCAGACTCCTTGATTTAACCCAGCGCTTCCCACATATTCTCATGCTGTGCTCTCAAGAAATCAGCAAAAAATGTCAGCCAGCTTACGTCTCTCTTCTCATGTCCTAGCCAGCACTCGTAGATTGGCCTTCACCACGCGTCTGAATCAGTGTCGAGTGAAATCACGCCTTCAAGCTCGCACATATAGTTCCATCCGAGCCTTCGAAAGCCACAAAATATTCAAACCACCATTTATGAACTTCCCAAGAGGGAATCCCCAGTACAGAAGCAACCTCACCGTTGTGTGTGGGGAGGTTGCTTCTGTACTGAGGATCCATACTTGAAAATTGGTTGATTTACTGCCCCTATTCTAGCTACTCCCACCAGTCCTTCACAAATCTCATTGCTTCATTGCTTCCTCGACATTTCCATCTTCCATATGAACTCTAACCTATGTCGTCAAAGTTTTGGGCAGGAGACAACTTGCCGGTGGACTTTGATTTGATTTATATTAGGCAAGTTGAAAGGCAACAAGAATGGCAAGATGGAAAACTGGTCGACCCAGGCGGGGAGTTCCAAGGTCTATATTTCTCCAATATCTCACTTGGAGGCATCAAGGTTCCGCAGCCTCTTCAGCCGCAAGCGCCATAATTCGAACTCCTTTTGTCCGATTTACCTATATACTATTTGTATTTGCCGAATTATTATGCATTAAACCCTAGATTTATCGAACTGGAGGATCCAGCAATCCATCTTCTCGCTTAAGTTTCGCCTTACTTTTATATATACACTTCAGACAATACAAGAGACTCGTTCTTGAGAATTGATCGTGGTTTTTCGATACCTAAAGGGATAGTTCTTGCTTTATATTGTGGTTTGATTTAATCGGGTTTAGTAATGAGAGGCCTGTGGTTGCATTTTCGAAGTGTTTCTGCATCACTGGAGTGGAACGAGTTTAAATGGAGCAGCTACACGAGACAACAAATCAATCAAGGTTTCTCAAGAAGCTCACTATCTTGGGCGATTCAAACCAAATAAACTAGAATAAGAGGAAAAGAAATTGGCAATGATTGGCTCTGAACTTGCCATTTTATCCGCTCGAGCCGGGGTATGCTGCATGGCGGTGGCTGAGCAGCCTTGCGTTTACCTCACCTCAGATAAAGCAGCTTGGTATCCTCCAAACCTGACTCCAAGCCTCATTCCATAACACTCTATCCTCCCTTTGTCCTCAGTATCATGGCTAGAAATTTATGCCCCTCTTGCCGTCGATTTGAAGGGGATCTCCGCCCGGGAGATGGAAAGTCGGAGAGCCGCGAGGTCAGCCTCGCCAGCATCCAGAGTACAGCAGAGAATGGTTGCAGTCTATGTTCTTTCGTCAAACAGCTACTAGAACAAGATAATACGACGCCGAAGAAGGGTAGTAGTGAGTATGAGAGTGCTATAGTACGTGTGGAGGACCATGGTCTGAGATTCACGGGGCAGTGGCAGGGAGCTTTGGTCATTGAGGTTTATCAGCCTCGTAAGTCTTCCCTTCTTATCTCTCGAAATATAGAGGAGGGAATGTAAAGGTCACATTATGTTACTAGGGATGACGTTTTGGAAGTGGATAGTACGCTGCTGCTCGTTCCTAGGACTTTACACCGCCAGTCAGCCAAAGCTTCCGACACCGGCCGATGTCCCTGCAGAAGTATCATGTGAGCATGCCACAAGTACAATCAATCGATGGCTTAAAGCTTGCGAAGATCACCCGGAATGTAATTCACACAACTTCTTTGGTGCCCAGGTCCGACGGAACGAGGTCCTTGGAAGGCATGCAGGTTCGAGCTTGCGGCAACCTTTTGGACTTGTGGTTTCGGCACTCGGCTGCCTATCATGCATCCATCAAAAAGTAACAGAATTTTGGGGAGGATCTGAGGAACAGAAGAGCAATCTTGCTCCCATTCTCCCGAAGAGAATGATCCATCTCGGCAAGAGGGCCGAAACGGCTCATTTGGTGGCAACTCCGCCAAGTTCAACAGTTTCATATGCTGCTTTGAGCTATTGCTGGGGCGAAGACGCAACTTTCATGACAGTGAAAGGTACACTGGAAGACTTCGAGAAGGACATTCCTATGGACAAACTTCCGCAAACAATAAAGGATGCATTCTGCTTAACAAGGGAATTAGGTTTAGACTACATTTGGGTTGATGCAATCTGTATTGTCCAAAAAGATGTATCGGAGTGGGAAGAGGAGTCCCAGAAAATGGGACACATCTATTCCAATGCAAAGATCGTACTTGCGGCAACAAGATCGGGCAATGTCCACGAGGGGATGTTTACAAAAAGGTCCACCGCGCAACTATCAATAGACATTGAAGCACCCGGCAGCTCCATGCGAGCACGGAGGAATCTCAATCATGATATCATCGTATCGTGCAGAACCAAATCAGATTACTGGTGGGACAAGCACATCAAGGGAACTTTTCCATTGCTGTCCCGAGGCTGGGGTTTCCAAGAACCCATGCTCGCGACCCGGATCGTGCACTTCACTCCTACAGAACTCGTCTGGGAGTGCCAAAGGTCTCGTAAGTGCGAGTGCCACGTTATGGAAAGCAAACTCTACCCAGCCATGAATAACTTGGGCTCTGCATTACGGATTTGTCTCAAGCAGGCAAATGATGATCGCAGTATGAGACAGATGTGGCGAGAAATTGTGAACAGTTACTCTGTAAGGAAATTGACGCAGACCGATGACAAATTGCCAGCACTTTCGGGTATTGCTGGCCTGCTCAAGGATTGTTCGGGAGACACATATTACGCAGGGCTGTGGAGGAGATCACTGCCTTTTGATCTGTTGTGGCGATGCGACCAGTCCGGGCAGCTGCAGGTCAGCAAGAGAAGGTCACCGTCGTGGTCATGGATTTCAGTCGATTGTGCCGTGAAATGGCCGGTCTGCCAAAACCCAAACGAAGACCAGCCTCTCAAATACATCAGATCCACCACATACTTCGAGTGTGGTACGAAAGGTATTGAGGTTTCTAACGTGGCGATTGAACTAGATGGCAAGGATGCATACGGTCGAGTTAGAGCAAGGAGGATGAATGTGAAAACGCGATTGAGGCCAGTAACAATTCGTCAAGCTTCAGGTGATAGGTGGAGTGAGATTTTCGGCACCGAGTGGGAAGTCCTGGCTTGCGATTCAGAGCCAGCACCATTTTGGCCTGATATCAGCAAAGAAGGTTTGCAACTCGACCCGTGCCGATGCGGAAAAGACATACCACATATTTTCCATGCCATGGATGTAATGAAGTCTAGCAATACCACTGGGTCTTGGGAAGAGGCCTTAGTTGTGAGATTCATTGATGGATCGGAACAGCAGTATGAGCGGGTTGGCGTGGTGGCGAATGTATCACCAAATGTGAGGCCATGGACAACAGCTAAAAGCTGGTTTGATTCTTTCGAGACTCATGAAATTACTCTCGTTTGAACTTGCAGTACTGAATGGGATATCAAAATATAGAATATAAAACAGTCAAATAAACCTTTCATCTAAGTTTTCAGCTTCAGAACAAAATTGCAAAGATCATAATTCGAGTATTCATTGAAGACATGTAGATCTCAAGGACAATCGGACAATTTGTCGCTCCTTACCATTTCCCCAGAGGGGCTGGAGTATTGAAGTGAAAGAAAACCGGACCATTTGCGAGACCCTCCCCTTTCTCGCTCCACTTGAAACCAGATCCCTCTTTAGAAGACCGGCAGAATTCAAACCCATTGATTATTATATTCAAGACGAAGGTTACTCCACTGCCATTACGACGGCGCATTTATATGGGAAATTGCACTCCTGTGCTAGCTTTTCATCATCATTACCCGCATCGGAATCGCACTAGTTTCCGTCCCACGTTCCATCCCTTCGCTCCAGCGAGCTTTTCTGAGTACGGAGATCGCGGCATAAAGTATCGGGAATATAGGGTATTTTGACCCTTGGTGCTCTACAGGGTCTGAATTTAGGGCAAGAGTTCGCTAGCCACTATAAGTCCAGGTAGTCCTCCCTACATCGACGTAAAGAGGCGCTATAAGATATTCGCAAGGGATAAGTAGATCTTCTAGGATTATAGCGCTGTTAGTAGAGCAACTATTATAGGCCTCCTTAGCAACGACTCCCTTATAAGTAGAGGGAGAAGACCTAAAAGGGTGTGGCAGCCCTGTCGAAGGCGCATAGGCTACTTTTAGGGGAAGGGCCTGGAAAGATGGGGCCTCATTGCGAGTTTACCACCTTGATCTGTACGCCACAGGGCCTTAAAGTCTCCCAATGCCCTGTGTTCCAGAAACTTTATGCAGCGATCTCTGTACCCCAGGCTGCTCCTGGCTCAGGTGATCCAAAGTGGTGAAACACCAAAACAATGTAAAATGGTGAAGAGGTGCAGTCCAGGTCGCTGAATTTTGGCCCACCGGGAAACGGTCAACCGAGAATTGCATTCACTAGGCAAGATGAACGCGAGACGGTAGAATATCGTATCGGAGCAGATAAAAACCTAAAAAAATGGACACGCTATGTATGCTGCGTATCTTAAACACCTACAATGCAATCCAACACCATTTCCAAATGCCCATTCCCAATGCCGATGTCCAACAATGAGCGCAAATGCACACCGAAAAATGCCCTACAATGCAACCCAAATGCCAAACCCAACGCCAAACCCAACAATGCTATTAGAAAATTGCTAGATGTTGCATATCCAACATCTGACCCATGGATCGTAGGTCAGCTCCTTCCCTTGCTCCATTTTGGTGATGCACTCCAACAATCGCCAATCATAAACCCCAACCCATTCTTTCTTCCCTTTTCTCGTTAGTCTCAGAGTGCTGATTCGTCTCAAGAAGTCGACCGTGGGTTGGGTGCGGTGCGATTCGACAAGAGCGATCTTCCTAAACCTTTTACCAGTCCGGGAGCACCGTTGTTGAAGAGCGCGGTGAGCGAGAGCTCGAACAGAAGTTGTGTATCGAGAGGCATGCCAACTGAGCAGTTCTTCGGTAATGTATGGGATCTTGGAGATGCAAGGTCCAAGAATAAATACGCAGGTGCTCAGAGGGCAGGTATTGGGTGTCCATTTACAGGTGCCACTACTACTTGTGAAGATTGAAGGAACTGGACTGGATCTCATTGGTGACTTCTGAGGACTGATCGTTGGAATATTCTGGGACACCTGGCCCAATATAGTCCGGGAGGGAGTGGTTGGATGGTTATTGGGTGATGATCGAGCCGCCAGGTGCGAGAAAGGAGCGGAAGTTGATGGAGAGCAACGGCTATGTCCAACAGTTGGAGTTGGAACCTGCATTGAGGAGGTCGGTGTAGACAAAGCCCGCCGAGACGCAGAAAGGGACCATGTTGGCGTTGGAGAGGTAGGTTGGAGCGCAGAAGATGTTGCAGGAGGAGCTGGTACTGGGGAAAACGGGGTAGAGATGGTGTGTGGGGGAAGAGATATGGATGATGCTGGCGTTGAATAGGCAGGCTGAGAAGAAGCTACAGGAGTAGGCAATGCTTGAATTGTAGCTGCGATTGGTGTAGAGGCCAGAAAAGAGGACTGTGGGGCTGCCCTTGGTAGCGCTGGGTGACGATGGACAGTTTCATTTGCTCCAACTCCGACAATAATCCTGGTGCCATCTCGTCGTACAGGTAGAGGAGCCGAGCTGGGGAATTGTATCTTTAACTGAACACAAGTTGGCAGGAAGGAGTGTTGTGGTCCAGGCTCCAGGTTTTCAGGAAACTTAATCGGTGCATAGCTCTTCAGAATCAGTCGCGTCAGCCATTTGGCTTCTCGAGCCTGCAGCCTCTGGTACAGATTGACTAGTAACTCAATCCCATCGGGGTGCTTCCAACTGCTGGCTAATGACTGCACGGCCGGTGAAGAGCGCTGGTCGAAAGCAGCGATTTGAAGCAAAGACTGGTCAATTTCTTCGACCATCACGGCATTTGCTTGACCTGGGGTTGCCATCTTGAGATTGTAAGCGATTGTTTTAGTTAGAATGGTAGGGATCATCCGCGAGGAAGGGTGAGAAGCTCGGTGGTCACCAAAAGTGCCAGGATCACCCTGACGCGGTGAAAATATCAAGGGAAGCACAACTTACGTTCTCCATGTTTTCCATGGCGCGTTTTACACACGCGCCAAGATCTCCTCTCACCGGGTCAGTTCTCCATTGCTGAAGGGCAAGATAGTGTTGCCTCGGGAGGCTCAAAGCACGTGCAATGACCAATTCGAGACTCCCTGGATCCAAGCCATACACTCTGTCGATCTGCTTCTCGGGCTGTAACATCGACATCACAGCCTCGCTATCCGTACTGAATGCATTGAGTCGGTCCCGATGCAGCCTGAGCCATCTGATGACCTTGTCTTTGGTGTAGTTCGCCAGGTCTTTGGGAAGCATGGGGTATCTGGAGACATGAGGCCGCTCCAGATCGTTGAGAAGATCACAGAGGTAGACAAAAGGAAAAGGCATGATTACTGGGATGCATGGCAAGGAAATGCCATGCAATAGAATACACAAAAAGATGTTGTGGTGCGAATATGTTATTGAAGTCGTCGACGTGGTGTTGTGCAAAAACAATGGCGCGGGATCCACACGAGACCTCGTGATCCGCGGGCTTGGATGAACAAGGATTAGCTCTGTGCTAATCTCGGAGAGGCTAGCCATTGGCTAGTCACGTCAGGGATTCTCGCCATTGCAATCAAAGGCCAGTCGACCTTTCATCTTTCTCCTGAGCTGCCAGCTTTTCTGATTTCTCCAGACCTGATGGTCTGAATGTGCTCGCCTCCAACCATTCGTTTCTCATTTTCATGACTATATGACGACTATATATGAACTGACTTCATGGAAATATTTGCTTTTATACCTTAGTGCTTCTAATTGTTTTGGTGTTGAATGTCAACAAAGCCGATTTCCGCGACGAAAACGGTTCATTTTGGTGCTGACGCACATTCAAAGGGCGACGTCTTCTCCCTTTCTGGACCACGACAGCTCTCGGTATACGCAGCAGACCATTAGCGCAATGGCTAGCCATCGTTGTCGAAAGTCGTCCCTCGATCGCGCGTCAATCGAGTCAATTTTGAAGTCGGGAGAGCCGTCCGAACCCGCCGCTGCCCCGTGCTCTCATGTAGGAAATTCACCGAACAGAGCATCATTTGCGATGGCTCCGCCTCCTCGGCCGGCCGTGAAACATACTCGAGCATTATCGTACACACCGCGGACCTCGAACCGTCTCTCATTGAGCTTTCCGGTCACCACCAGCACGAACAGCAGCGATTCTTCGAGACAAACCCCGACCTCTTCGAGACCGACTCCCACCTCGTCGACGGTGCCTTCGCTTCCTCCCACACCTTCCGAGCTTCCAGATACCTCCCCGAGGGATTCGAATGGATTCTTGGTTGCTTTGGCCGGTCAGGAGAGGCGTGTGCTGGAGCTGAAGGAGGAACTCGAAAAGGCGGAGGCAGATCTGACCAAGTTGAAGAGGCAATGGGCACTTCACGAAGCACAAAAGAAGAAGGCGGAGATTAAGCACGTTGAAAAGTTGCAACCACTGCAGGCAGTTGTGACACCTTCCACCAAGGAAGAAATTCCGAGTACACCTCGTCAGAGTGCGGAGGAGAGGCGAAAAGCGGTCCTTACCAGTCTCGAGACTCCAAAGAATAGCTTGGATATCCCTAAGGAGGTTCGAAGGAAGTTTTCCGGACAACACATGCGTGCACTCTCCCTACTGTCTCCTGAACGCTCGAACTTCACTCAGTCCTTCCCTCCCGTGCAAGAATCCGGAGTCGAGGCCAGTTCCATGCCGAAGAGTGCGACGATGCCAGATATAATCATACCCAAGAGATTACCTCCTCGTTCGAGAAATTCATACCATGGTGGCGTGACCACCGGAGCGAAGCAGATTGCTGAAGACATCAAAGCCGGAGTGTGGACCTTCCTGGAGGACTTGCGGCAGGCAACAGTGGGAGATGAGGCCGTGAACGGAACCATAGACAGATCTAAGCTGGATGCTCCTCAGAACCAGACTCCCAGACGAGGCAGTAGTGAAAAGAGTCGCCGTGGTCATTCGCCTCGAGAAACATCTCCTCGAACGTGGGATTCCTTGACTGGCAACAGCCCGTTGCTAGATGCCGCAGGTAACCTTTGGTCGGACTTGGATCACTCACAATCAGTGTCAAGAACGCCATTACCCTCCAAAAAGAAATCCAGGACTCTGTCACTCGCTGCACCGATTAATGATTTGGATGATGATTGGTCGAACTGGGACTCACCAACCCCAAAGTCGCCCTCGCCCCGATGGAGTGGTAGCACAGCACTCTCTGATCCGGTTGCTCCATCAAATGGAAGTGTTGAAGATCGAAACACCAAGTATGACTCCAATCCCAGTCTCAGCTTACCACCTTTCATCAAAACTGACAAACACAGAATCATGGATCAATCCGCAGACAGCCCCAGCACTCCGTTAAAACGCGAGGATATTCAATGGCCAGCCTTGGACAAGCTGAGTCCCGGTAATCTCAAAGGTAATCTACAACGCACTATGTCAACGATCATGAAAGAGTGGGAGAGGACTCTTACCCCACCACCTGGAGACCGCGAAGACCCAATGTCGACAGCATCGGAAGAGAAATCTTCCCATGATACGGCCACCCAGGACGAGCTGGTGTTGATGTCGAGATGACGCGATCGGTGTATATAGTACGCTTGGGACATGGAGCTACATCTGGTGCATGATGACTTGATGGACGAATCTAATGAAGAATGATGCATTTATACTGTAGATCTAAGACTCTGCAATTTGAACATTAATGATCCTGGGCAAACTGTTTCCTCTTGTATTGCTTGCTTGAGATGACTGTATTTCCTCAATTGTTTGTATCTTTTCGTCAAATGACATTCACACATGAGGACGTGGAAACTTTCCGGTGAAGAGCTCTTCACACACAGAGAGAGTGGTCTGAGTGCTAAGAATTAAGATTCTCATCCAGGCGTACCGCGAGGCTTTCTGATGCTTCGCATCCGGATTGGCCATAATGCAGCTCTCACGCAGTAAGGCTGAGCCTGCACCTCAACCATTTCCCACATCGCTCTTCCTTCTCTTCTTCAACATTCTCCCAAAATTATCGCACCGTGCTTGCAATCATCCTTCCTATCTTCGATTTTCAGCATCTTTCCATTGCAAAGAAGCCACAAACATGGACGGGCTGAGCGCAGCCGCAAGTGGCATTGCCGTCGTCTCCCTCGCGATCCAACTCGTGGACTCGGTCCGCCAGATCCAACGATTTTTGCACAATGTCTCAGAAGCGCCAAAGGAACTGCAAAGGTTGATCAATTTGTTGGAGCAGCTTGAGCTGATTCTCGAGAATATTGGAGAACTCATTGACAGGCAACGACGGCAGAGCGCAGACGAGGACGTAGCCGTGTCAGAGACAATTTTGAGAGCGATGAAGACTTGCGAGAACACCATCAAGGGACTAGCAGGCATTGTGGACGTGGCAAGGAAGTCCGCAGGACCGCAGAGGCGAAGAACAGAGCAACCAAGACTTTGGGATCATTACGATTGTCGTGCAAGAAGAAGGATATCGAGGAGTTCGAACGTCAGTTACATGAGGCTGCCAGCTTGCTTAACTTGACGATGACGACGAACTTGATGTGAGTCAGATGCCCCCTTCTATGTATTGACTTGCTAAAGAGTTCAGGGCCCAGGTCATCGCAACGAACCAGATCACGACTACCATCAGCCAGGAGTTGGTTCTTCTGCGAAATAATTCCCAGGGTAGCTGTAGTCAGAGTTGTCATGAAGCTATTGCTGACATTGGTGTCTGTGCCAAAAACCGTGGAAGGACAAGATCTAGAGCTTCGAACCGTCAATTTTCCTCGTTTCAGACCCCACTTGGGAGGGTAGTCATCAGAAAGCAATCCAGCACGGCGACTTTCGAAAATGCTGAAGGAAGACTTTCCATGAAACCTTATACCCAGGACGAAAGTACTTGGATCTTCATGCCATCCTTCTTCTCCCGTTGTATCGACTTTCGGTACCTGAATAATTACGGGTACATTCAGAGATCTCTTAGAACTTATCCGGTGGTTCGAAGTGACCATCCTGTGTGGAAAATGTGCTGGAAGGGGGATGTCATAGGTATTCAAAAGCTCTTTAGTGAGCGACAACTTTCTCCTTTCAGTGTTGATGCTTGGGGCAATACATTATTGCACGTAAGACTTGAGTAACCTCGAAGGGCATCGCCAAAGCTATCTAACAATTCTCTAGCGCTCGGTGCTCTGGTATAAATGGGAAGTCTGCAAACTTCTCTTCCAAGTTGGCTTTACCGACCATGGCCTAGATACATGTCTATAGTATGTCAAACATCCTTTGATTAAAACTCTTCTAGCAGTCTCACTGACTCGACATTTGTTCAGCAACCAACCGTTGTTTAGATATATATGTACAGAAGAGCAAGTAGATGCATTTGAGAAGACTTGTCACCTGATCGCCTTACATGTGGATGATATAGATCCATCCTTCATTGCACGAAGATTCTTTAACAGTCTTGGGTTTGACCCGAGTATCCATTTATATTACAAAATGGTGGACCAATGGATTGGGAAAAAGAATGTGAACGTCCTTTTCTCCGGGTGGAAGATTTCCCCAATACCAATGGCCCTAAGAATGTTACGAGTGTCCAACCCAGCCGACCAGAAACTTTGGAAGCAGGCTATTCAGCATGCCCTAAGCTTGGGTTTAGATCTTCATACAACCTACCATTATAGAGATGACAATATTGTTACTTTATTGGACGACGTTCTGAATATCGCGGACCAACCATTCGAGTCTCACTGGTTGGGTCAAAAGTGGTTGGAAGTTCTTGCGGAGTCCGGGATCGACGTGGTTGAATACCTTAGAGTCGAGTCTGAAATCCATTTCAACTCATTGTCTATAATGGCCAAGCAATACCATTATTGTGGTCGTGCCCGTCAGTTGATAATATCAAAGAAACCGCCAACTGTTTCTTGGGAGTGGTATATCGACCCAGCGGGACAAGCTTTGGATGTTCTCCAAGAGTTCAAGAATTTTGGAATAGGGTCTCAACATATGGAGTGGTGGCTCGACGACAGCAGGGACTGGCCGTTCTTCTACCCAAGATGGAAATATGATGCGCAACGACTTCGGGCTGGATGGTCAGTTTCTGGTAATGACCGATCCCGTTTAAGGACCTTCCAGAACCGTTGCGAACGCCGAGAGCAAAAGAAAGCAAATAAACTTGCCCGAGCGCAGGGGATTTTACGACGAGGCCCCAAAGTCCCAGGAGCTTGGATCGACTAATCAGCCACCATGTCCGACTTAAAACTGGATGAATATCCATAATAGCTAGACATATACCTCCACGGTTTCCGAACGATGGGGCCTAGAAAGCCGAGTCTAGACTTGAGAGACTAATGCACGCTGACTCCAAGAATGGATCAAGGGGCTTGCAGGCTCGCAACCGGAAAGTTCAATGAACATCCAGAGAGGATACTATCGGGTCTGAAGTCTCAACCTCCGCCTCAAATCGCAGACTGATTTCTGCTTATTTTGGGGTCTTCACATCACGATGCCATCATCGGGAACCACACTTCTTGTACCTCGAGCCAGAGATTATTCTTCGAGCTGAACATCTACCGCATTCATTGTCATCGGTTATTTGCCCAGTCATCGGATACAGGGAATAGCCGACATCAACATCCATTCGCTGCTTCTTCATTGATGCTAAAGTCAGGGCAACGTCGCATCAGGCGCTCTAGCTGCCGTCGACCAAGTCATGAGTTACCCTGGTGTTGTGCCAACATCTGGTTGTATGTGCCTGCGAATGGGTTTCACCACTCTCAACATCACAACTTGGATTCCAGTCATCCAAAACGTCCCACGCTGAATTTTCGGTATCAAAAGAGTCTCCCCAGATGCATCCTACAGACTCGCACTCGGACCTCCCGTCTGAACCTTCTCATGCAAACAACTTGCACAAACCTTGCCCTCGCCATTCCTCATCGTCCCCCTGACCTGCGCCATCCTCTTCCCGGCCGCCACAACCTCGCACTCCAACACCGCCTGGGTCCCCTGAGGAATAGGTCTAAAATAACTCACGGCCAGAAACCTCGTCACCCCGAGATTGTCCCAGAATCCTGGCTTTCCAATCGTGAAGAGGGCGGTAGACGTTAAATTGTCGAAAATCGTAGATGAAGCGCCACCGTGCAGGTTGCCGTCTTTGTTGCAGAGAGAGGAGGTGACTGTGAAAGTCCAGGTGACGGTGGGGGTGGTAGGCGGGATGGAGGCGAGGTAAAGCAGTGATAAGGGTTGTACGTCGAAGCCGCAGTACTTAGGGTCGGATGTTACGGAGTGGTAGTAGGCTTTTATGCGCTCTTCTACTGTGAGGGTGAAGTCTGTTGTGCGGTAGGGGTCGTTTGCCATGATGAGGCGAATCAGTTTTCGTGTATCGTTTTCCTTGCTCAGATCATAAGAGGCTGCATTGATGCCCAAGTAGGAAGTGAGAAATGAGTGAGGCATCATCACAAAAAGAACCCGAGTACATGTGAAGATTTTCTTTTCGGTATTCTGATATGTGGGCAGACCAAAAGTTCAGCGGCATTGATTAGCTTCTTTGCTCGGTTCTCGGTCTATTGATTATTCGAGTGTTGTGAAGAGCCGGAAATCATTTCCGGGTGGAAAAGCCTCGAAGATCCGGGAATATGTTTCCCGCAGCCCGGTTATATTCAGATACCATGAGATTGGAATCATGTGATATCGAAGCTCAAATAGCTACCCCAGTGTTATCGCAAGTTTTGCAAGGCCAAACTCAAAAGTTTATCAAGATACTCAGGTGCAACTCAAAAGTCAGAAGTCAGACTCCAGCTCACATCAAAGACCCAATCGCAATCATGGGAGAAGCAAGCAACATGCGCAACCATCCATCTACTCTCGACGCAGCCCTCAAAGACACCTCTCTAATACGTGAACAAGCCTTCATCGGCGGCAAATGGGTCAGCGGATCAAGCACCTACCCAGTCTACGACCCAGCAGCCAACGGTATCATAGCCAACGTCGCTAACCTCGGCGCCTCCGACTTTACTACCGCAATCGGACATGCACAAACCTCCTTCAAAGACTTTAAAAACACTTCAGAAACAGACAGAGCGAAGATGTTGCATGCGTGGGCAGCACTCATCAGGAAACATGCCAAAGACCTGGGCATTCTCCTCACGATGGAGAACGGCAAGACGTTAGCCGAAGCGGAGGGAGAAGTCGAATATGGAGCCTCGTTTATCACTTGGTTTGCAGAGGAAGCAATAAGGTCGTACGGCGATGTGATTCCGTCACAGCACAAAGGCAGCGCGAACCTTGTTCTTAGACAACCGATTGGAGCCTGCGGCATCATCGCACCCTGGAACTTCCCCATTGCAATGATTACCCGGAAGCTGGGACCGGCGATTGCTGCTGGATGCACAGTCGTTGTGAAACCGCCGAGCGAGACGCCGCTTTGTACTTTAGCACTCACGGCGCTGGCTGTCGAAGCAGGAATTCCGCCAAACGTGATCCAGGTTGTGACGACTCGGGATCGAGCTGCTGTGGAAATACTCTACACGCACCCGCTCGTCAAGAAAGTCAGTTTCACGGGTTCGACAGCAGTCGGGAAATTGATTACGGAGAAAGCAGCTGGTACGATGAAGAAAGTTTCCATGGAGCTCGGCGGCAACGCACCATACATCGTCTTCGACGACGCGGATCTCGAGATTGCTGTTGACGGCGTATTGGCATGCAAATTTCGGTGCTCAGGTCAGACGTGCGTTTGTGCGAATCGTTTGTATGTCCAGAAAGGAGTCCATGATGCGTTTGTCGAGAAGTTGCTGAAGAGAATGAGCAAGTTCAAGATTGGAAGCGGATTGGATCCAAGCGTTACCCATGGTCCGTTGGTTAACAGAGCGGGTGTGACGAAGACGAGACAGCATATCGACGATGCGCTCTCCAAAGGCGCCAAACTCGTCGTGGGAGGTAAAGTGAGGGATGATCTTGACGGATATTTCATCGAACCAGCTCTCATAACCGGCGCGAAACAGAACATGCTTGTTGCGAAAGAAGAAACGTTCGGGCCACTGGCACCGGTGTTCATGTTTGAGACCGAGGAGGAGGTGGTGAGAATGGCGAACGATACCGAGTTTGGTCTCGCGGGGTACTTTTTCTCGAATGATTTGCGGAGGGTGTGGAGAGTAGCGAAGGCGTTGGAGGTGGGCATGGTGGGCGTCAATACGGGGAAGATTAGTGCGGCTGAGAGTCCGTTTGGAGGCATCAAGGAAAGTGGGTTGGGGAAGGAGGGGAGTAAGTATGGGTTGGCGGAGTTTCAGGTCATGAAGTCGGTGACGCTTGGGAATTTGTAGTGATAGGTTCACACAGGCTCGGAAGAATCGAATCCTGATTGGTATCCCATATCCAGTTGCCCATCGGTTACTGCATGTTCGAGGAGTAGGAGTTTGAAGGTATTATGAATCAATTTTCTCTTTCTTGCGCATCGCATTCAGTTAGCAAGCTTGCCGCTCTTGCTCAGTCAACTCGCCTGAGCAACCTGAGCAGCTTACCTGAGCAGCTTACCTGAGCGCTTGGCACCCGCTAAGTGGTAAGCCCCCTAACGAGTAAGGCACCCCAGCCATTGCCATTCTCGCTTCTAAGCTAACCAAAACGCCCTCAAAAAAGTTACAGGGTGGATTTACGGCAGCCAGTGGGCTGGGAAACTAGTGGGAGACTAGTGGATCTGTACAATATTAAGGGGCTTTCCAGCCATCGATAATCAAGAATCAAGGCTTCTAACTATCTGAATTTGACAAAAACAACGCGAAAATCAGCTTCACTACCAGAACAAGATACAGGCTTAATCCACCAAATCATTCGCTTTTAATGTATCAGTCCAACTTTCCAATGAGAGGCCAACAACATTGTTTCATCTACAGAGGCCATCCCTACTGTAGCCATTTCAACTTTTCTCGCCTCTGAAGATCAACCAATGTCGATGGGAAACCGCTGATTGGAACTCTTTTATCTGATCCGCGAAATTTCACCGCGAGCACTTGAAATAAGTGGCTGCCGTTCTTTACACGAAAGGTGTAGTTCAATCGAAACTTTTTCCTCTCGTTCTCTTGGACCGTCATTTGACTAGGCACAGCCGTATAGGCAGTTCTGACTAGTGTCCACCGAGGCTTGGGTAGAGTTGTGAGTTGCTCAGTGTCCGTAGAGGAAGTCTCCGCATACCAGAAACTCTCAACCTTTTTCGAGAGAAGATTCTCAAGAGGGACCGTTTCATGACCTAAGCGACACCTGATTGAGCCAGAAAGATTATCATATGAATGGTCTCCTAGAAGACTACTGGGTGCCGAACTAGCTTTTTTGTCCGGCTCAAAGAAGAATAGATTCGCGATCAAGATTTTTGCGAGCTCGTCGATCTTCTCAGCTATTTCTGGAGTTTTCGTCCATTTTTGGACAATTTCTATAAGTTCTGGGATTTTGTGGTGATCATAAAGAGCAATATGGTCACCATCTATAGGTGGATTCAATCGGTGAAGCCTGTACTTGATAGTGGACCCAACGGGACCATTTTCGAATTGATCCCAGGACTTATGAGAGTCAAGTTGCCTTTCAAACATGGCACGGATTGCAGCAAAGCCTCCGAATTTAACGGCAGTCGGGGTCTTGTCGCCTCTTCGTCTTTGCAAGCCCGTGCCGAGGGACAGAAGGAAATCCAATCCAGATCCGTTGTCAGGCCAGAGCTTCCTAGTTTCCTCGTACGCAACATGTGCTGGACAGTTTGCATACACAGCTCCATCCACATAGTCAGTTTTTGTCTCCTCCTTGTAGAAGGGTGGTAGATAGAAAGGTGCGGCTGATGTTGCGAGCGCTGCTTCCCAGATCTTCATGTCCTTGCTCTCAGAATCTTCTCGATCGAAATTTCCCCAATCATCGATTGCCGGGCGATTGTAGCTAGCAATCAGGCAGTCAGTCTGCCCCGAGTCTTTTGCCGCTGTTACTGCAACCCGAGGCGTAAACTGAGGTTGAAGTCCTTTGCGATCTGGCGCAAATAAACTAGATGCTCCAAAGAATTCTTTCAATGCTTTCTCCAATGGTTCTCGTTTGAACACGCTCCCGTAAAGTCGGAGGAACATCAAAGCCTTCGCAGCTGTATGCGATGGGTCTATTTTACTGAAGAGAAAACCAGTACGGGTTTCGGAAAAGGTTTGATGAGCAACCTTCGTAAAGAAGCTTGTCATTTTGTCGATAGTGGAACTCGACATTGCGATTGCCAAAGCAATTATGCCGCCTAAATCGAACAGCTATTAACTCGCGATCTTTAATGGAGCAGTCCGTAACAAAGAAACTCAGGAAGATATTGACTCACCAGTACTTGTGCCTACAATCAAGTCTACCATGTCCCTCACAGGTATTTCGAGACCTATGGCATCGTGAATTGACCGTAACAGTGCAAGTTCAACAATCCCGCGAATACCGCCACCATCAAGAGTCAGAACCCTCACACCAGCACAGCATGCCCTCAACTTCACAGTATGAGGTCTTTCTTGTTCAGGACTTTTGCATAAGGCACAACCTAGCATGACCCACGCGCACTCGAAGTGGGAGGATTGTTTGCCAAGTTCTTGGATGCACCGAGGGCAGTAAGAGTGCCCACAACCAAGGACGTGATCCGGGACAGCCTGTAAACAAGACAGGCAGGTCTTGTTGCTCTTAATTGATGCCCAGAGTTTGTGGTACCTGGTATGAACTGTTTTCCGTTCTTCTAGAATGCGATGCTCCCTTAGTTCAACCTCACCACCATGGGTGTTATCCCCTTCTCGGAAGAATTTATCGTAGTACAACGAGAATCTCTCTCGAATCTTGAGAACCCACAACCTCCTTCTTTCATCAGTCCAAGCTTTCTCATGCAAGAAAGGGCCCTGTGCAGTTTGTCCCCCAGAAGAAGCATGGTGGCCGTGAAGTGTCTCTAGCCTAGACACGCAAGGAGCACCTCCAGGAAATTTATAAGAGCACCTCTCAAACTTGGTCAGATACACAGTTATGCCTTCATCGCAAATTCTGTGCAGTTCACGATCAAATATATCATCCGGACTGGTTACTGTGGGACTTGTTAGTTCTTTACAGAGGGTTTGAAGACTGTCTGAATAAATTTACCTAATTCGAAAAGTCTCTGCGTATATACGACTAGCGAAATAGTAATCACGTCAATAACCATGTCGTTGATGCTGCCGTTATTAGAAGAGTATTCTGAGGTATGCCGAAGAAAATTTGCCAGATGATCTGGCATGGACTTCGGATTTGGGTTATCTCCTCGAGCTGCAAGGTAGAAGTCGAACGGCTCTTCTGAGCTGCTGAAATGCTGAAAGGCTCGGTTCAAAATATGTGACAACGTAGGAACATTGTATTTCATAAAGCTTCGTTCCCTTAACTTATTCCCATCACGAACCGAAAGCTCGATCACGCTGCGAAGCTCTTTGTATTGATCGAATAGTTCGTGAGATTGTCCCATTACTTCCTTAGCCCGAGGTATATAACAGCATGTTATCTTATAGAACAAAACTTCGTAAAGCCTTCGATTGCTAGTTATTCGACGTTCAAATTTCTCTTCTTGTCGATTATAACCCTCCACAAATTCCTGTAAAATAGGGGAGTCGTCCCATAGGTTAGGATGACCTCGGAGATAGATCTCCTCTAATCCGTCTCGCTTGTACAGGGCTGGGTCATGAAAAGATGGCATATTGCGAACAATGATCAGAGTTTTCCGTGATGGATGGTTCACAGACTTTAGGACTGCCGCCGACGCCCATTCCAAAACCCGGTTAAGCTCAAATTGTATTCGTTGATCCTCCTTGGTTACGAAAACGATTACATCGCTGATTGCGTAGAGAAATCTTGCGTAGAACAAATCAACTCCGTCTTTACCAGAACTTCCATAGCATGGCGCTAGGACCGGGATTTGACTTAATAGATTCTTCCGCCTCGATGCAGATCGACCCCGGTGGTTTGCAACTGTTGATAAGAATCTCCCTCGAGAGTCCACTCCAGGTTCAGATTCCATTCGCTCCGCATTGGTCATTGCTTCACCAGCTCTGAACCCTTCGCAATCCACTAACAGAATTGGATACTGGGTGGAGCGTTCAGGATGAGTTGAGGCTCGATGTGAGTCCTTGAACATTGCCTTTCCAACGTCTCGATAGAGGTGCACGCCAGAAGTAGTAGGATCTGTCAGATGACCGATGTTTCCAGATCGTGTAACAGGCCCATATGTGCCTTCCTCTTTTATTAACCTAAGTTCATCAATGGCAGCTTCGTCTGAAAATGATTGGTCGGCTGAACTAGAACTCAGAGAGTATAGTCGCCCCAACACTAGCATCGCGCGGACAAGAGTCGACTTCCCAACCGATGTATCTCCTATGAAAGACACAAAACTTGGATAATGGTGTGTGGTATCCTTATTCCCCGACTGAGAACGGTCACACTCCTGCATAAACCTGTCATATATAAATAGGTCTGGTCGTCCTGCGTCATCTCTTCTGATCTTGAGCCATCGAGCGTTCTCGTCCTGCTCGTGTAATTGTCGTAGCTTTTGTGTGTCGGCTTCGGAATGTGTAACGACTTTCACAAACAGCTCAGGCAGAGGATCGGCCATTCGATGTTTTGCTGCTACTTTCGCTGACTGGGAAGGTATGTGCTTATCCCAGCACGATGTTCGATGTTGTTGGCAATTTTTCCTTGTCGTACAGCCTTCTTCTGTGCAGGTAATGCAGTAGAAAGGATCATCAGAGGAACCTTTTCCACCGCAAAACGTACATTGACGAGCATTGTATAAGGTCACTTTCTTTTCACATTCTTCACAAACGCCATCCCAGAAATGGACCTTCATCTTCTGGTCGTTGCTATCTGCGCATTCTGATAATGGAGAACGAGGCATCTTCCCCGCTGGTGATGGGCGATTTTGCTTGTAAAGAGATTGCGTATCAGGAACAAGGATCGATAGTGGTGGCAAACACAAGTCTTGGAAACAGTGCGAATCCCAATCGGGCGAAACTTCCTAAGGAGAAAGGTTTCCGAGGATTAGAACGCTTATATTGACAATAGGAGTACAAAGGATATCATTCATCATATTTTGGGAGGAGCGAATGAGCAGTGATGATAAGATTGCTTCTTCACACATAATGACCCATGGGCGGGTGTGGCAGCGCCCGACGGTTGTGGAATGCTGAACTGCAGGCTCACCGCTAGGCTGCGCATCGATTTTGAGCGAATAGGCAACTTGAAGTGTCGATAGAATGGCAAACACGTGGTAAATTTCTCTACCGAAAGCAGTAAAAGTTTTGACCTTCCCTTCGCAGGAGACATTTTGGCAGAGACCGCCAATCACCAGATTAGGGGTGTCCAAGTTACGTAAGAGTTGGGATACTCTGACGTGAAAACTGATCGGTTGGCCCAAATCTTTTTGGCCAGGGGCGCTCTTGAGTATCTTAATGCGTTGCCACCCACCCAAAGACAGATATATGAATATTACGTGTGGGTCCCCCTTTTTTCTTTTGACTACCCTTTTCAGGTTTCTTCACATACTCGCCAATCACAATGGAATAAATTCTGTACATGTTTCCATTCTTCCGAAGATGCATCCTTGAGGATTTTTATTATTAAACTGTCTCATTCTCCAACACCTCCTTCCAACTCTCTAATGCATCATTTCTCTTCTTAATTAGGTCACCCACTAGCGATTCCTGGCTTTCTTGGATGTGAGAGTGAGCACCGTTAAGCATTTGCTCCAACTCCTCATTCCATTTCTGAGATATTTTAAACATCGAGGCAATGCTCTTGCCAGCCGCCAATCCCACGGCAATCCAGTCCACACTTGGGCCACCCCTTGGTCTATTAGGGCCATTAGCCACCGTATGACTAGGGTGGCCGGAGTCGTGCGTCTCATGCGTGTGTGTTTCGTATGAGTCCGTCAAGATACCCTCGATTTTTGCAACAAACTCATACACTGAATATGTCCTTATATGAGCTGCGTTGTCTAGATTGTAAGACCAGTTTTCGTAGAAATCCAAATCCATCTCGGTTTTCAGCTTGTCTCGCACACGCTCAACGTTTTTGGGGTGGAGGTGAGGTTTGGATAGATGTACAAGTTTGTCGTAAAAGTACGTGAACATTGCTTCGATCTCCTTCAGTCTCATACCTGGTATATGTTAGAAGATTGCCATCAACGTATCTGGGTATCTCCATGTTTGTACTACCTACCTTCTATCGTATGCAGAAAGTCAACTGATGTCTTTAAATGAACATCCAGGTTTGAAATCCATACTATATTTTGAATCTGGAGACGGAGCTCTCTGTCCATCTGTTCACGGAGGCTGTCGTCAAGACCAAGAACTATGGCAATATTAACTAGGTATGGCGAACCGTGCTGCGATTTGTTAGGGGTTTGACGCTGCCAGCATCTCCTTGCGCTCGCTGGATGTGGACTCGAGATCTCAGTTCCAGTCCGATCAAGGCGATCCCATAGTATCTTCGGAGATTCAGGTATCCACTTGTATTTCCACCACGCGTTGCAAAACTTCGAGAGATCGACAAGCTTTATCTTCCCTGGATCTATTCCCGATTTCAAAGGCAAATCTGCGACAAGATATTTGACCACCCCAGCATCGATATCGATAGTGTCATCAATCTTCAACGGTATCCCTTCGCATTTTCCATGGCACTTTATCTGTTCCTTCACGATAACAGAGTGTCGCCGGATCTGATCGATTCGATATTGCGAGCAGTGCAGTACTTCTAGCATTGCAGTTTCGTCATTCTGTGAAGAGATATGGAAGCAGCAACTCTGTGAATCTGCCATTGTCGTTCGCCGAAATCAAGAAGATCTGCTAGATTTAGAGTCAATAATTGACGTCGATGATGATAGGATTGTGGGATCCCAACCTCCATGGGGAGCCTCGTTGCCCTGAGACAGTGAGACGACCGGAAAATTGTTCAGTTCCTAAATCCTAACCGTGAACTTCCACGTCTTTTGGGCACGGCCGGGAAATATTTTTTTCTCTTTCCGTCCGTAGTAGCGTGTATATGAGAGCATATGGATACGCCTATGATTGAGCAGTCATCACGGCGGGAGCAGGTGGGCGAACTCTGCTTCTCAATAAGGGAATCGAACAAGCCTGCCAACGGCCGACAGAGAAAATGACGGAGCCGAGCCTCGCAGAGATAACGACGCGTGCACGGTAGAGAGACAAGTGGTGGCAGTTCCCTGGCTGTGGTTTCTTCGCAGTCAATCAGCGTACGGGAAAGGAGCGTTGGATGCCTCACGACTGTTTCCCAATTGACGAAATGACAGACACTGCGTCACGTTCAATTGCTAGTGATAAGGAAATGCCTCAAAATAACCGTCTTCCTTATTATCTCAATCAAGACGCGCAAAGATGGCCAAAGGCTGGAACGTAAATGCAAACAAAATTCATGGTAGAGAGAATTTGGGTTCCTTGAGAGCCTCGTCCTCATCGCAGTCTTCCCATCTTCCACACTTGAGAGTCTTATCAGTACAATGGTACATGGTTGGTCTGGGAGACCAGTTAGAAGTCATGCAACTTGCAATCGGGAATCAAGAGGTCAAAGAGATGATGATGGTGTGGTGTCTGGAGCTCACGATTGGCTGTCTCAAGCCTCAGTGTGCCCTTGGCGGTGCTTCCTGCACAGGTTGTCATGTGAAGCGAACGCTTTTGGTGTAAATAAACGAAGGTTTGGCCAAAAAGACTGCTTGTGTAACATTCTAATTTTGCCCCCGAGCCTTGCTTCAAATTTGGTTGGCCCCGATAACATGTCTAGTTTTGTTCAAGCCACCAGCACCTGGGCGCGAGCGTGGAGGCTATGGCCAGTGGGACACGGCAAGCATAGCCTGATTTTCTGTGCTGCCAATGTGCGCTCATTTCTGCACCAGGATGGAGCACCCGACACTTCAACGAGATTTCCTTCCCACAACGACAGAGCTTCTGCCTCTCCTTGTCATGCGTTGACAGATATCTTCAATATCTAAAACTATGGAGACATTTACCCTCGACGTTGTGCCGCCAGTTCCAAGGAACTTGACGGCGCTGAATGTATCAGTTTCTTACAGTGATCTGATAGCGCACCCAGAGTTATTCTTTCAGGTACGGCCCAGAAGCTCTGGAGGGGCGCTGCGAAGGCTCAATCTACTTCTCTAGGGATCTGACTTAGTTTGGATGATGGCATCGGGAGCATTGGTTATGCTAATGATACCAGCGGTATGCCTCTTCAACTCAGGTGCTTCGGATCGCTACTCTGCGTTGATTATGTTCCGCCTTCCTTTCATCACCACCGCGTTTATTGGTGTCCAGGTTAGTTGAAAAGTTGAGCATGCGCAGATCTTACTGAATTGCCCAGTGGTATCTCTGGGGGTATTCTCTAGCCTTTTCACCTGCTGTTTCACCAGCTTCTTCTCCATGGTCCTGGTACGGAGGATCCACTAAGGCGAACGCTCTCCAAGATACTGTAGCTCGACCAGTTGGTGCAGCCGGAGCCAAGATTCCGGAACTGGCATTTGTGTTTCTTGACCGGAATCTCGACACCTCCCAACCCTCTGGCCCACGTGACCCCGCGCCGCCTTTGCTCAGGCGGCTCAGGCCTGGCTCAACTTCGGCTCAAGTCTGCTCAGGTCTGCTCACCCATCTCACCAGAAATCGTTAACTTTTAACGAGGAGCCCGAAAAGGCCCCCTTTCCCAGCCAGGGATCCCAAATATATTCCCACTATGCGCTTATTCCCAGATAGTTATCCTGGTCTGCCTGCTTTCATGCGTAGGACCTTTTTCTGCCTTCAGGTTATTTTACGCCGTCCTCTGCGTTTTGCCTCGGGCTATATATTCTATAAATAACCGGTTTTCTCTTGTCTTTACCTCTCTTCTCACCTATTTTCTCACCTATCTTCTTACCTATCTTCTTACCTATCTTCTTATAATCTTACCTATCTTTTTACTTATTTTCTCATATATCTTCTTATATATCTCCTTACTTATATTCCCTTCCTCTTTTCTCCTTTCTCTAATCCCTCTCCCATTTCTCTAGGAAAACCTTCTTTTCTTATCTCTACTTCAGATATCCATATTTATATATATATAGTTCTATAAGCCATGAGTACTAAATAGGTAAAAGGATATTAGAGAGAACTAAATCCAGATAAGCAGATAGAAGTAGCCCTGAGAGATAGGCTCTCTGAGAATAAGTCTAGGATTAATAGTAATCCCGTTTATAGAAAACTAAATAAAAAGACTAGCTAACTATAATATAATATAATATAGGATTTTTAGAAAGTATATATTATTAATATTATAAAGTCAAGTCCAGAATAGTAAGTACTAATATATCTTAGGTATAAAAGGAAATATTCAGGATTAGACTTATATAATATAGAAAATATAAAATATATTACTAAAGCTATTAGACACTTAATTTCCAGTAGACTAGATAAAGAGATAAGAAGAGTAATTATTAAAACGGTATAAAATAAGATATAAAAACTTATATTAATATAGTAATATAAGACTAACTTTACTATTTCTTTAGAAGTTCATAACTCAGTAGCTTTTATAAGTATGCCTGCGGGCTAGCCTATTCTAAAGTATTAATATATAATATATTTACTAATAAGAGAGAAAGTATATTAAAGATATACTAAGATATATAATTTCTTTATTAATAAAGAAAAAGATACCTATATTTCTAATAATAGAGAACTATATTAATATAAAGAAGTACTTATAATAATATAACTACTATAACTATATTTATGAAAAGTACTATATAAATTTAAGTACTTTATTAAAAATATATTACTATACTTCTATAAGATTATAGGAAATATATAAGATAATATTTAAGGTAAGATACTAAGTCTAAGATAGAAATAAGACCCCGATTTTCGTGCTAACTAATATTAATAGAACCTTATTTATATAGTTATATAAAAAGATAAAGAGCTAGAGATTAAGATAAGTTTTAAAAAAGAATTTACTAAAGAAATATAAGATATCCCGAAAAAGTAAGTTTAAAGTAATTCATTTTAAGGCTCGGGTAAATTACTAATAGCTTATCTATAAACTAAAATATCTATTATATAAGAGATTAAAGCCCGTGCTTTCTCTTTTTACTAATAGCCTCTTATTTCTACTTACTATTATTATCTCGGCCGGCGCATTTAGGGACTATAGTATTATTAAGGATATTCTCGTTATTAGACTATTACTAGGCAGAAAGTACCGGATTATAAATTAGGTAAACGGGATATTAGATAATCCGGTCTTTCCAGAGATATCTATAGATAAACTAACTAAGAAAACTAAAAACGAGATTATATAAGGCTACTAGTATTTAGACTAGGCAAAAAGGGCCGGTTTTATAGGAGGAATAAAGCTTTATACTACTCATTATAAAGCGCTTATTAAGATAAATAGTAAGAAGTACTTTCTTTAAATAAGTTCATAGTATAGTAGGCTAATTAGTAATAGATAGTAGCTATTTACTAGGGCAGGTTATGAAGTTTGCCATATATAGGAACTTAAAGACTCTTATTAGCTACTACTTAGATAATATAAGTAATATAAATAGTATAGTAATCTTCCTTGGCCTAAAGCCATAACGGGATCTTATAAAAGACTTCTGCTCTATATTTATAAAGAGAAATCCGGATCTCTAGTACTTGCTTTTATAAAAGTACCTGGATAAGCTAAGGTAGTACCGGAACTTTACTAATCTTAGTAAGCAGATTAATAACCTCTCTGCTCAGATTATAGCTACTATTACGGAGAAGAAGCACCAAGAGCTTAAGGCTTAATAGTACTATATCTATAATTAGTATTAAAAGCTTATTAATAAAGAGTTAGCGAACTACTATAGGATATAATAGCAAGTATATATTACCTAATATAAGGTAAATAACTAGGGCAAGTAGTACCGCAGTTACTTTAATTATATTATCTATTATATAATTTCTGAGTATAATTATCTCGCTTATACTTTACTAATTACTGCCTTACTATAAAGTTCAGAAGGTATCTCCGCTCTTTAAGACCTTATTATACTCTATATAAATAATTCCCGTATTATATACCAGAAAGCATTATAGCCTATAGGAGGTTATTATCTAGTACTAACCTATAGCCAGGAAATTAAAAAGTAAGAATAGTTTTTCCTTATTAGTACTACTTCTATTAATAGAACGTGTTAGTATTATTATAAAAGAGAGATAGAAATATATATACTAGTACTCTAAAAACTACTATAAGAAGTAATCTGGCTTCGCCGAACTTTGCTTCCGATATAGTAAGTAAATAACTAGCGAGATAAATTAGGAAGCCTATTACCAAAATTATATTAATAATCTTAATATGCTTTTCTAGTATAAACTAGTTACTTTCCGCTATACTATTACCTGCACCAGATATTATAGCGAATATCTAAGGAAAAAATAATTACTAATAATTATATAAATAAGATAGTTTTATAATTAGATAAGCTAGTAAAGATATATCTCTAACTATATTCTAGAGTATATTAAGAGTCTAGATAATAAGAACTCTATTTCATGCCGGTATTTACTATATACTATAGTACTTTATTCGGAATTAGATTTATGAAATTATTTCGGAGATATATATAGTACTTATAAGCCAGATATATAGAAAAAGCACTAATATTAGTAAGAAGAGGGTAATAATAAACGAGCCGAAATATTAGGTATTACTAAGAAAAAGTAGCCTTAACTCTAAGAAAAGCTAGAAAATAAGGACTATAAAGTACCGGGTAGTCAAAAATCTGCCCCTAAAGATTACTTTAAAGATCCTCTTAGCTACTCGTTTATAAATATCTCGGTAGTAGATTTTAATTCATACTTAGTAAATAGTATTAAGATAGTAATAGTATCTAGCGGTTCCTTATTATATTATAGTACCCTAGTTAGTAATATCTAAAACAATTATAATAATTATTATAATATAAATACTTTATTCTTATTTCTATTAGATAATATTCTCGAAGCAGTTTCTTAGGCTAGAAAGAATTACCATTCTCCCTAGATAACTCTATTAGAAGCTACTATTATTAACCTCCTTAGTAATTCTAAATCTTGGAACTTTAATATAATTATAAATACTATCTCTTTTTCTATTAAGTCTCAGGAGAACTGGATTCTATCTAGCCCCGATATTTCTCTATTATATTTATCTAGTATTCTAATAGAGTTAGTTAATCTAAAGCTTTGAGATACTCTTCCTTCTTCTATATTAAGTTTACTAGTAACTGCCGACTCGGTTAAGGATACTTACGGAAGTATACTAATAATTATACTAGGGTATATAGAAAGCTCGGTAATATAGCCGCTTTATAATAGCTAGCCAGTTATAATTAATACTAAAGGAGGAATATAAGAGGCTAAAGTATTACTTACTAAGTAAAAATAAGGCAAAATAACTTAGTATCTTATAAAGTAGAAAGGATTTCCGTATAAGGGTAATATATAAAAGAAATAAAAGAATATAAGCCCGGAGCTTATTAAAGAATTTGAGGCAACCTATTAAGGGAACTATTCGGGCATATAACTACTTAAGAAGCAAGTATTATATAGAAGGATTAAATACCTTATTAAGTAAAAGAGGCGTCCGGAGAGCGAGAATTCTTGGGAGAAAGAAGCTACTATAAGCTATAAATAAATTATGAAGTTTGAGGCAAGCTAAAAAAGGAAACTATTATATTATATAAGTATTATTCTTAGCTAGTAACTTGGCTTATAATCTTATTCCCGTATCTATTATTAAAAATATATTACGGATACTTATTATAGGGCAAGTATATTAAAGGCACTAAATATATAATTAGCCCGGAATAATATAGAGCCGCTTCTATAATCTAGAAAGTTCTAGAAAAGGCACTACTTTTAGGCAAGAATATCTGCCTCCCGAGATCTATAAATTATATTATAACTTTTTTTATAAAATTATAAATATAGAATTCAAATAAATATATCTTAAACTCGAGTAATATCTACTAATCTTTATAGGATTAGGCTTTAGTAATTAGTATTTACTATAATATATTATTATTTATAGGAAACTATAACTAATATAAAGCCTAAATAGTAATAATTACTTTGCCTCTAATAAATTAGGTAAGGAAGCTATATCAGGTTCCTATAATTATTTAGAGGCTATACTATAATCTCTCGTTAGATAGTATATTTTTACTCTTCTATATTTATATATTAATACTCGCTATATAAAGGGAGCTAGAAAGGAATTCTTATAAAAATAAATAGTCTAGAAAGAAACTCATAAAGTAATACTTTATTAATTTAAGTTATATAAATAATTAAGGCAAGTTTAAATATAAATATACCTAACTATTAAAAAAATGGCTTTACCTTAACTAAGTAATTTAGATTACGCCAGATAAAGAATAGAATGCTATAAAAAGCTTTCGGAGTATATTAGTAAGATCTATACTCTTATAAATAACGGAATTTACTTAATACTAATAAGATATAATAGAGAGCAAGCTAGAAATATTAATTAACTTATTAGAAGTTCGTCTTATTATATGTATAGAGAAACCCTATTCTTAGTAATCTCTACTAGTAAGAATATATCTCTTTAAAAAGAACCTAAGTAAGTATTTAATTAAAGTTTATATGAAATTATATTAAGAAGTTAGTATTTCGTTTAAAGCTATAGTAAAAGAAGTATATAAGCTAATTATTACCCGAAGTATAAAGCTAATACCGGTGCCAGAATATTCTTTTTACTAGACTAGTAGTAAATTTTACTAATAGAATTACGGAATTAGAAGCAGAAAATTTAAGGTTAATAGATAAGGTTAATAAATTAAAGAATATTACTATAATAAAGTCAATATTTAAGCGAGATACTAAAGAGGCCGCGAACTAGCTTATAGTAATACTATATATAATAGAATTAGAAAACTAGTACCTAAAGAGGAATATTTAAAAATGAGCTACTATAGTAGAAGATTTTAGAGTAAGTACTATAGATTCCTACTAGATTATAAATAAGGTATCTTTAGTATTAGAAAAGTTAAAATCTTTACTACTTTCTATTTATATATAATTCTTTAAGATTAAGAAACCTGGTAACTTTACTATACTACTGGATTTACTTAAATTACTACTTATATCTACGGAAGTAAAGTAACTATTTACTAGATATAAGCATATCTCATTAGTTATATATATAATCTCATCTAAGAGACAGGGTATAAAGACAGGGGGCAGAGACAAGGGGCAGAGATAAGGGGCAGAGATAAGGGGCAGAGACAAGGGGCAGAGACAAGGGGCAGAGACAAGGGGCAGAAAATAGTGGGGAAAGTTAATGTCCAATAGTCCTTGGTCTGAACCCAGGTACCCCATCCAGCTTCCTTGCCTAATTCTAATTATATCCGGGATCGACGAGGAGCCGCATCGGGTCCCCCTAATCGTCCAATAGAGATAGGGTCCAAGTGACTCCCCTGCCTTTTTCCAATTATAGCCTTGGCGATCGACAGGAATCGACAGGGGGCCCGATCGAGCCCCGCAACCCGTTCGATAAGCGAGAGTCAGAGGCGCTGCTATGATCCCCTTCAACGCTTACTCTAAAACACTTTTAATGAGTTGATCTCAAAACCTTTGAATCACACGACAGCGAGCGGTTGCTTCAACTAGATTTCGAAACCCATCACCTATAAGGAGAAGTCCAGCCCTACCCATTTGACGATAGTCCGTTACCTGCAGTCCCACCCATCGATTCAATTATGGATTCTGTTACGTCTCGAAGTGTGTCTACTACGCCTAAAGTGGGTTCAGCTAGGCGATCCACCAGAATGGTACCACTGGCAACAGGACATGGTATACATTTGATCGCCACCTGCTTGCTGAACGCGCCCACCTCACGAATGAGCGTCTCTGAAATTTACGAATGGCTTGCTGAAAAGTATCCAAGCTACCAATATACAAAACGTAACATTCGCCATGTTCTAAGACATAATTCCGAGAGAAGGAGTCCTAGATTTGTCATTGCTAACAAACATCGCATCGCGGGAGTGCCGATTCGATGGACTATTCGGCCTGGAACAGAGTCTCAACTTCGCCGATTGTTCGGCGGCCCTCCCACTGCCGAGCGTCAATTTCCCCAATTTTATGGTGGTCTTTCTCAACAAATCCACTGCGTCCTTTGCAACCGAAGCTTTGGTCGCCAAGAGAGTTTTGCGAGACATCAACGACAGGCTCATTCTAGCCATGCGACCATATCCCCAGCTATCGGCAAAGCCTCTCCCGCAGACCCGTCCGCTGCAATTACCAGCACCCAGCTTGGTTGCACTAGGGACCACCAACCTTTAGAAGACGAGCTCTTAGTAATAGGAAGCACGTTTGAGTCTACAGACAGGAATGAGGCTGTTCAAAGCCCTGATACAGCAATCAGCAAAGATGACGCTCTTCGACAGAGACTTCGAGACCGTTCCAGGGAGGAGTTCTCTGTCGATAGCGTAGGAATCATAAGTTCTACACCAGAGCGGCGATAGTATCAGCAAGGAGGACAATGGAGCTGACACGAGTGAAGATCGATGGAAGTAGCCTGCACAACCTTCTTCCTCGATCGATAGCCCGGAAGCTCGGATTACCTCTGCATTTCGGCAGTAGTGTCAGAGTAAAAGTTGCCAACGGCACAACTCTGACCGATCAATATTGCCAACTCACCATCAGAGTGGCTAGTATTAATGCCGTAATCGATGCTTACGTGGTTTCCGAACTGTCTTCCCTTTTGCTAGGTTGGGAATGGACACAACGGGTCAATTTGTTGAGTGATCTTGGAAACCGCACGTACTATATCCTTGGACCTCATGGCAATCTGAACGAGCTTCCCGTTCCTGGGCCCACGGCTGAGGCTGAAGACGAGACGGAGTGTGCAATGGAAGCTGCTCTAACGAGAGAAGAGACTCTGCTGGCTGAAGAGACGCCAGCCCCTCCTGGGGGTGATGAAAGGTATGGCGATAAGGAGTGTGAGCTTGGTGACTTGGCAAGCATTGACACGTCTGCCACAAGACAAGAGAACATGAGTGATGCCGAGTTTTTTGTGGATGCTGTCTCTTGTCAAAGCTCAGATGACGAGCAAGGGAGCTAGGAATATGAGTAGGTAGAAGGAGTAGGTGTTCTCTCTCCCAAGGTGTGAGCGCGAAGGTAACGCAGGTACCCGATCAGGCCCCCCGCCTCATTCTAATTACTCGACATCCCGCTTAAATTCTCACCCCGCTTAAATTCTCGATTTTTCCATTATATTAAAATTTTAATTAATAAATAACCACAAATTATTTTCACAAAAACTAAATTATTTTGAAAATACCAATTATTAAATAATCCATTTCTATATAAATTTTTGTATATATTAATTCTATTTTTAATATATTTTAAAATTTATAAATATTAATATATTTAATAAAAAAATTAATAACTTTTAATATAATAATATAATTTAGGCTATTAAATCTTTATATTATTTCTTTATATAATAAAAATAATTTTAAATTATAAATTCATATAAAAATTGCTTTTATATTAAAATATAAATATTTAAAAAATAAAAATTTGAAAAAATAAAAATTTAATTAAAAACTTTTATATATTTAATAATAAAATATTTAAAGAGAGAATTATTAATTAAAAAGCTTTAGCAATATTATAAATAATGTATTAAGCAAAAAACTTGAAATAAATAAGCTTTTAATATATAAAATTAATTTAATATATAAATATTTTTTGAATTTAATATTTTGTTAATAATATTTCTAAATATAAATCGAATTTTAAATTTCAAACTTTATATTCTTTAATTCTTATAATTCAACTTTCATTTAATATTTCTTTCTATAATATTTTATTAATAAAAGTTTTATTTTTTAATATTTATATTTATATATTAAAATAATAAATTAATAAAATTTATTATAAATTATAATAAAATATTTTTTAAGATATTAATATATATTTTATTTCTAAATAAAATAAACTTTATTTTGAAGCTTAAAAATAATTATAATATTATAATATTTAATTTAAAAATAATTAAAAGAAATATATTTATAGTTTTTCAATTTTTAAATATTATTAATTTATAAATATAAGCCTTATATTAAATTTAATATATATGAAAAATCTATTATTACGAAAATTATATTATATATTAAAACATTTAATTTTAATTTATTATTTTATTAAATTATTAAATTATTTATATTTTTTCAAAATTCTTCAAATTTTGAAATTTTGAATATTTGTAGAATTGATCTTTTTACAAACTTTTAAAACTGAAACATGTTTATTATATTAATATAAAAGATTTAGATTTATTAGTTTTTGAATTTATTAAATATTTATTGAATTATTATAAAATTATTATAAAATTATTATATTTTTAATTTTTAAAATTTGATATAATAAATTAATTATTTCAATTATTTTTAATTTTTATATAATATTATTATATTAATATAATTAAATGCAAAAACAATAAAGTATTTATAATTTGTGGTTCTTTAATTACGAATTGTTTTAAATAAAAATATAATCGAGAATTTAAGCGGGGTGAGAATTTAAGCGGGGTGAGAATTTAAGCGGGGTGAGAATTTAAGCGGGGTGAGAATTTAAGCGGGGTAGAATTTAAGCGGGGTGAGAATTTAAGCGGGGTGAGAATTTAAGCGGGGTGAGAATTTAAGCGGGGTGAGAATTTAAGCGGGGTGAGAATTTAAGCGGGATGTGAGGTGTTTGTTGGTAGGCAATAAGACAATAGAATGAATCAGTGTGTTATGAAACCACAGTGTTAAATTCAGTACAGAACTAATCTCTGTCCCTCCTGTGAGGTCCAGGGAAGCCCCCTCTAAATAGGAGGCCCCGATGGCATACATACAATTAGTGATTTATAAGCCTAATGCATATAATGTAAACAGTGGTTGGTTGGGACATCGAAGGGCCGCCGATCTCCCTGATCGACACCCGCGACATCCGAGGTTCGTCACATGCCCTTAAGTCACGTGCGACCCTGCACACATCACACGGGATGTCGAGTATAGCTTGACGGATCGGCAGGGAGCCGCATCAGGGCCTCCAATCGTCCAATAAGGATAGGGTCCTAGCGGCTCCCATACCTCTTTCCAATTATAGCCTGGGGATCGACAGGGGCGGACAGGGAGCCGGATTGAGCCCCGTAATCGCTCCGTTCGAATTCTTAACACCGTGGGCTTGAAAGCATCCTGTATCAGTTGCCTCACACGTGACTTTCCCCACATATCAGTCACTTCTACACCGGGTATAGGCCATTTGTAGGGCTTATAAATATCTCCTTCACTGCACCGATTCATAGACTTTAGCCTACTCAATATCACTGATTTGGACCCTCAATTTTGAACACTTTGATCTATGCCATTCAACCCTGGCAAGCAACTGTCATCCTGTCACTTCCACAGCTCGTCGTATGCGGAAACCAGTCAGCTGGATGTACACGATTTGCGAGATTATCTTACGTCGTGCTCGTAACAATTCGCTCACTACTAAAATCATGGGCGACATACTATTCGTCATAAAATCGCGGACATTCCGCCTTGTTCTTTTGCCATGTCTCATTATCAACTAAGACCAAACAAGTTAAGTACGTGAAAAGAGACGGCCCTGAGAGTCAGCGTGACCACTAAAGTTTTGCAGACGTCCGCCTTCTCTACATCTCTCATTAACCAAAGCCCAATCAATAACGGTGTGGTGGGGGTGGCGTTGGCAGTGCTTTTTCTGCCAAGTCATGGAACATTCCCTACTCAAAGAAATCCCTGTCTGTACGGCTGTCGAGGCGCATCAAAACGCATTTAGAACGCCAAGCCTACATTCGTTGGCTTCCACTGGCTTCCCAATCCTCCTGCTTTTCTCAGTTAGCTCATAATTGTTTATTTGGGGCGTCCGATGTCAGGTGGGGTGCCGGGCACCGCGTCTGTCCCAAGTACCTAATTGAAATATGGCTCTGTCCCACGCTTTCATATTTCCTGGTTTTCGCATGTTCGCCAGCTTCAAACCTTCTCAACTGGCTAGTATCACGTATATTATTTGCGGCGCCATTCTAGCGAGTCTCCCCTACCCGTGATCCAGTCCTATCATCCATGATGAATTCTCTTCAAATCAACGGGCAAAAAATTGAGAGTGCTTTGGCGAAGTTCGTGCTGTTTGGTCCACAGGTCTCGCTTTGCAACTTTGTCGCGAGTCCTTCTGGGGCCTCTTCGGGCGCTTACGCAGAAACTACCCTTGCTCAAATCTGTTATGGAATATTTCAGCCTCTCAATGCCAGAACTCACGCGGTTCTATCGAGTTCTATCGGAGGGGCAGTTGCTGCAAAAATCATTGCGCCATTACGAGAGTTACGGGTAACATACGCTGGTGTCGCGTCCATACTTCGTCCTAACAATACTGGCATATGGCTTTTGGATGTTTGGCCTGCCACTAGTGACAACGTTAAGGTCAATTTTGTCTTACTCGCCACCTTTGCCAGATGCACAGCACCCTGGAGCAGTGATCTCGATCAGTTTTTTCTGGAGCAAACCAAACAGATATATCCATCAGACAGGCTAGATATTGCTCAGGCTCATGCAAAGGCGGTCAAAACCGCCTGCCTCGAATTTGCAAAGATGATGGAGACTTCTCTTGGGAAAAAGGAGAGAGATGCCCTCAAGATACTCGAAATCGAATTTGGTCAGTATGACATGGGCCAGGCATTCCAATCATCCTCGCCCATGAAGCTCTTCGACCTGTTTGCGAGCGACTTCTACGATATAATAGCTAGGCTCAAGAACAATGGGAAAGTGGAAATCATAGGACCAATGGCAATTCTACCTTTGATGTTCCTGGATCTCGCAAAGGACATCACAGGCTACCAATGGCGGTACAAACGCGAGATACAAATATCTCTTCACGATAGGCCGCAAGGTGGGCTGCTACTAGTCCACCCGTGCTCCCCAGGATCTCTGCCACGAATATCCGGTCCCAACAGTATGCCAAGCTTAATGCACAAACATACTATGCCCCCTGGAAAGATCAGCTCCTTGGTTACAGTATCCATCCGCAGATGGGTGTCGATGATTGCGGAGGCACAGATCTCCATTGATCCATCGTCATGGGACAGAGTGGACCGTGTCCGTTGTACTATCCTGCATGCTCTTGTTAGGAGGGCTGGGGACCTGGATGCCATAATGCCAGTTTCCACAAGAACAACGACGGATCTCCAAGTGAGGGGCGCGGAGTCCTGGTGCGGTTGTTTCCTCTGTGGAATCCAAACGAGGGAGGAAATTAGTCGGAGCCCGACCACAACCAATGGCATCCCCTCATGTTCTAATGGATCGGGTGAAACGTTGGCTGATGTGCGTATCGCCAGACACATGTGTTATACTGTGCCTCCATTTCAGAAGCACTCTGCAACCCCGAAGTCTGAAGTAGACAGCAGGCAGGAAAGAAATGAAGCGGAAGTCATTGAGCAGCTAAGAGATGGGATGGTGAACCTTATGGCTTTTCAGCATTCCCAATTAAAGAAAATTGGGGTCCACATCAGGTCTCGCGACTTACGTCCGGAACAATCCCTCGGCCCAACACAGCCTTCGCCAAACCCTACCTACCCGCCACAGCCCGTCCTTTTTGACATCGAAACAGGGACTGAGGTTATGATTGAAGGGTGGGCTGCCGTTGCCTCACCAGTTCACCTCCTAGTCGATGGCCGTGTAACAATTGCATCTTCAGAATTCGCCCCTATCGAAAACGTATTACGCCGCAGGTCTGGAAATCATGGATATGGGGGTCGCGATATTGAAAGGTTAGGCCATGCCATTCAACTTCTCGCAAGTCTCAGAAGACAGGATGTTATACCGACACTGCTGGAAGGCAGCTCTTCGCAGGGCGAGCCCGACCCTGACCTATCGGACCTTTCGGGCGAAACTATCTGCCATGCAATCGAAGCCCAACAACCTCACGCTCTGGCAGTTGAAGCGAATGGCCTGACTTACATCCCTAAGAAGATCAGTGGGACTGATGTCGAGCTACGAGCTGGGAAGAGGCTTCACCCCACCACATTGCCCGTCATGATGACTCCACTGTGTTATGCTGTTGCCGTTGCCACTGTACTTGAAGCGTGTCTTGGGTCGGAAGAACTGGACAGGATCGAAATTCGAGTGGAGAACGCCCCTTTTGCTATTCCGGCCTCCGGAACAACAGGAAATATTCTTTGGCATTTTACTAAAAACGGTGGCTTTAGCGCATCGCTCAATACCTTGGTTGGTTCTGCAATTCTGGCTGCTGAAGAAGGTGTCGCCTTCAAACGTAGAGCTGACTGGGAGGAGGGAGAGCTCATCGGGATTCAGACTCGGTTATACACTTGGTTACCACCAGCCCTACACGCAGATCCGTGTGTCCCAGTTTCCACTGTGCTTAAACCGGTTCCCTTTCGTTGGACCTTGGAAAACGCCAAGGAAGACGCGACTATCTTTATCCGCGCTCCTGCGGAGTCTGTTCTTGAGATGCATCCACCAGTCGATGAATCGCTCTACAAAACCTTCTCGGGTCTCAAAAATATCCGAACTGCGAGAACATTGGGCGACCGAATTGCCGGACAATCCTTGGCTATGAAGTTTCAGGGAGATTTTCTAGACACATTCAAGTCGACCTGGTCGCACGGCGAAATCGGCCAAAATCATATCATAAAGGAAGATGTATCCGGAAGGCAACTGACGATTAACGTCGTGTACTGTGTTATCGAAGTACCGCAGTCCTCGGAGATTTGCCTGACTAACTTGGGTTGCGATCTTGGACTGCAACACGCTACCCTGCAGGTCATTGTTCCTTGCTGGGGAAAATGCAAAAGTACCGTGGGTCTCGACTGGGGGGCCGAAGGGCTTGACCCGTTATACGAGTTGCAATCTCTGACTCACATGCGCCAGTGCTTTGGCTCTAAATTAAATTTCATTCTCACCTCTCACCAAAACCCCGAGGCCCGTATGGCATTGTGGCAATTGTCTCCAACAGCGATATTCTTGGGTCCGGATAGTTGTCTGAGATGTTTCGTTACTAGAGATGAACCGGATACGCTAGAGAGTGGCCAGGGTTATACTACAGCGAATATTATTCAATAGATAGTAATATCAAGGGGCAACTGAATTTAACCGTAATATTAGTAATACGGCCAGTGATGACGGTATTTGAATCACCCAGGGCCCTTCAAATTCAATCTTATACTGAAATTAGTGGTACAATTCAACCACTAGGCTTAGAACAGTAGCCCAGGAATTGGCTCCCAAGAGAAAAATTGACCTCGCGATCTCGTGCAAAGGATCAAGAGGAATCTTTGATGGGGACCATGATTGTTGGATGCGTATACCAGTTGTGACAAGTAGGTTGTTCTCTCCCCCAAGGTGTGAGCGCGAAGGGTAACGCAGGTACCCGATCCGGCCCCCGCCTCATTCTAATTATAGCTTGACGGATCGGCAGGGAGCCGCATCAGGGCCTCCAATCGTCCAATAGGGATAGGGTCCTAGCGGCTCCCCTGCCTCTTTCCAATTATAGCCTGGGGATCGACAGGGGCGGACAGGGAGCCGGATTGAGCCCCGTAATCGTTCAATAGCGTCAGAGCCAACAGTTTGGCCTTGGTAATGACGCTTGATGGACGAGCTTGTGTGTTTGGGCGATTAGGTCACGTGATCAAGACGGCAGGGAATGGAATTTTGTTGCACGTCGCAAAGAGAAGGGAACTTTCGTGCCGGACCGCAACGGCAGGCAGCTATTGGATATGATGGGAATCACGTGCGCATGGGTCTTAAGAAAAAAAGTCTTGAGAGAAATTTCTTAAGAGATCATGAGTCATGTGAAAAATTGCTTAAGAGAGCAGGGCTCTTAAGAAATTTCTCGTAGGAGCTAGGCTCTCCCAAGAGCTATAATATCTCAAGAATCTTATCTCAAGACCCGTAATATCTTAAGAAATTTCTCTCAAGACTTTTCTCTTCAGATTTTACGGCTCTTATAAGAATACGGCTTCTAAAATAATTATCTTGGGAGAGTATTACTCTTAGGAGACTAGGAGTCTTGAGAGAATTCTTTAAGGATATCTATAATCTTAAGAGTATTATCTTTATATCTATAAGGTCCTATAAGCCATAATATCTCAAGATACTTATCTTTAGTAATATTCTCGTGGAAATTAGATTAAATACTTCTAGAAATCCGATTTCTACCCTATCCCAGAAGAAGTAAGTAAAGCAAAAAAAATAAGTAAGGCCCACAAATACTAACAAATAGTAACCTTATAAGTATAGCTTACTTGCATTTTATATATACGTCCGTTTCTAAATTAATAGAGGCAGTATAATACTAAATTCGGACTTATTCTCTTCTATTAGACTAGCGCAGGTAACTCTATAGACAAATTCAAGCCCAAGTAGCTACTATAATACCGGTATTAGCTAATAAGTATTAGAGATATTCCTATAGGAAAAAATAAGACAAAAACGCTATATTACTTTAATCTAAAATCCTGAACTAATCTAACTTATCCTATATATGTTTTTCTATAAAAAGATCCTATAATTACGCTAATTTATATTCTAATTCCCTAAACTTACTTTTCTAGCTATACTAGCTAGTATTCTAACTCCTATAGGCTTACCTTATTATCTAGATACCTATATATTTCATTTTATAATTAATTATATAGCTAGTTAGTTCTTGAAACTAAAACTAGTTAGTAAATTAATTAAAAAAATAAAAATAAAAATAAAAACTTTTATTAGAAATAAAAACTTATCTATTACTAGTATTTCTCCCCGCTTTTCTATTTCCTCTTATATTCTTTTAATATATTTCCCTTCTACCTTTTCTTAAAGAATTATTATTAGATTAGCTATACTACTATATATTATAGTATATTAACTAAAAGGCACCCGGTCTGCCTTTCCTAATTAAATATAAATCGAGATACTAAGAATCTAATCCAAGTTAGAAGTTATATAAAAATATAAGTAAGGAAATAACTAATATAACCTTTATTTAAAGTATTATTAGCTAGGGTATTATTAAGTAAAAACTCTATTATAATTCCAATATCTATTTATAATTAGCCTAAATTTATAATCCGACCTAATTCTAACTTATCTAGGGTCTCTAATTACTAAACTAAATAAATATAGCGAGTATATATCTTATAGGTATTATACTTATATATTAGCTATCTTAGATAAAATAACTATATAGCTATACTAAAGCCGCTTACTATTATAAGAATAGTCTTATACTCGCCTACTAGTATACTAGTATTATATAGCCCATTAAATAGAGCTAAGTAAGGGAGGTAATTAAACTTACTATATTTCAGAAGTTTTTAAATAAAGCCTTAGTAAGGCTCTATAAATAGATCCAAAATACTTTATTCTTTCTCGGACTAGAATATTATAACAAATAAATAGCTTTAACTTTTAATAATTAAGATAAAATTAAGCGGATCTTAACTATATTATTTATATAGGTAATAGAAGTTTAAGGAAAACTATAACTAATGGCTTTATTTTACTAGATAATAAATTTATATTAGAGAAGAAATATTAAAAGATATATTTCTATAAAAATATAAATATATATACGGGGAAGAAGTAACTATAATACTAAGTATTACTAAATTAAATAAATAGCGAGTACTACTAATACTTAATATATGCGGATAAAGACTTTATATAAGAGTATATAGAAAAGAGGTAAAGAAAGTATAAGAAAATATAGTAATAATTTTCCCTATATAAAGTTAGATATAGCTAATATATAATAGAAAAGATTAAAACTTATAATTAATTCCTATAAATTCTTTAATATATATAGAGAGAAAAAGATTTAACTAATTATAACTATAATTATATAAAAGGCTAGAAAGATAAATAATATTACCCTAGCTAGGTAATGAAATTATTAGAACTTACTTAAGGAAATACTAAGAAAATCTGCGAGAATATTAAAAAAGAGGCCAGAAAGAAGTAGAATTAAGTTAATTAACGAGAGATTTATAGCCTATAGCCTAGCCTTTAATATAAATAATACCTTATATATAAGACAGAAAATAATTACCCTAAAGTAGACGAATTATAAAAGAATATTAGCTTGACTCTATAGACCTAAATATTAGTAATAATAAAGAAGTAGTAAATAAATAAAATATTTATTTATCTAAAGTAAAAAAGCTTTTAGGAACTGCCTTATATAGTAGTATATCTTAAAAAATATAAGAGAAAGAAAGATACTACCTATAGTAATACTAAATACTAGAGTAATCTTTATTAGAAAGCAAGTATAAGATTTATATAAGAAATAAGTAAAAGAAAAAGAAAGAAGAATATAAAGAGATTAAAATAACTAAAAAGAAATATATAGTCTAAGGGCTAGCTATAATAGTAGTCCAAATTAGATAAGAGCCAGAAATGAATTCTAAAACTAAAAATAAAAGGAAAACAAAATAGTACCCCTAAAATCAAAAATAGAGAAGCCTAAAATAGTCCTATAGGGCCGGGAAAAGACACTATAAAATCCAGCTTTATTATTTTTATTACTTAATAAACTATAGTAAATCTAGTTAAAAATAGTAAATAATTATATTAATCTAATAACTATTATAAATAAATAGCTTACTAAGGCTCTAAGTATACTTATAATATTATATACTCCTATAAAATCACCTAACTTAGTATATACTTATAGTCTCTATATATCCAGAGGCTAGCAAGAGATACTAGGCCCCTAAGCTTTTCTTTTTACTAAGAAAGTTATATTAGTAAGTACTAGAAAATATTAGAATATAATATAGAAATATAAGCCTTTAACTTACTTTTATTAACTCGCCTACCGAGCTAGTAAATATTGTCTCCGAGAGGAAGCCAATAGTATTAGAGCTATTAGGCTAATAATATAGATTATTTATACTAATAGTTCTATTATCCTTAGTATAGCCCTATATTAATTCTATTATAATTAAGCCCAAGGCTCTAATATTATAAGATTTAGTGCTTTCTAGAGAGCGCATATAGTAGTATTCTTAGTCCGCTATAATTTTTGGGTTAATAAATATATTCTAAGACAGAAATTATTACTAACTAATTTTAATATCCTTATCTAAATTAATAAGAATATTTAAATAAGTTAATAAGCTATACTCTAATTCTTTTATTATAAGGTAAGTAAGGCCCTTAAGTACCTATTATAATTAGTGCCTGTTCTATATTTATTACTTTATTAATACTTACTTATCTAAGTATTAAAGCCAAGCAAAGTTTATTAATATAAGAATTACTAGTAATATATTATAGAGAAATAGATATATACTCGAAAATAATATATAATAATTATTTAAACTTAAAAGTATTAAAGACTAAAATAAAGTTAGGGTATTAAATCCGTTATAATATATAAAGCTTATCCTTAATATATGGCCCTAAAAAGCCTCTTATTATAATAATATTAAACGGAGGGCTTTTATACTCTATAATATTAACGCAATTACTAATACCGAGCTATAGCTAATAGATCCTCTTATAGCTTCTCTATAAAGACTCCTCTTTAGTTATTATATATTTATATACTTTAACTCTAGAATTAATAGCTTTTACTAGCCGGGATTAATAGTATTACTTTCTAAGAATAATGCTTTTCCTCTAGCTTACTACTTTATAGTATTTTACCTAGTAGCTATATAATTACTATTATTATCTAGCTATTTTATATTACTTCCAGAATACAAATATAGCCTATATTCCCTTAATATATTTAATAAGAACTATATATAGTATTTATCTAGATCAGAAGTTATTCTAAATATATATAATATAGTAAGAAGAGTTCTAAAGATCTTATTAATTAGAGAGAATAGGTCTAAAAATAGCTTTAACTTATATCTCTTATAAGAAGGTTCAAGAACTAAGACAGGCTACTAATAGAAGCCAGAATAGGCTCCTATATTACTATTTATAGTATTATAAGTTAACTTTAATAAGGAATTACTTTCTTATTAGAGACGGAACTATTAAAAAATAATAAGTAATAAGTAATTCCTATTCTTTCCTAAAAAAAATAAGATCTTATATATTAATTATCTTAAGATATAGTACATATAATTCCTGGAATAAAAGTAATAATAAGAGGTAAAGAGAAGCATTAAGTATAGAGATATAACTAGTATTAAGCTTAATATACTTTATTTTTCGTATAAAGAGTTAAAAGAGTTAGATAAGAATAATATTAAGAAACTAAGAAATTTGTTTTACGGGAAAGGTAATTACTATTAACTAGACTTTTAAAATTATATTCCTGCCATTATTAGCTAGCTATAGTTAGAGGCTACTATAGAAGCTTCTAGAACCTCTACTAAGCGGCTTCTGGAAAATATATATAATACTTATCTAGAGCTAGATTTTCCGCCCGGTTATTAGTTAAAGTACTTTTACGGACGCTACTAAATACTAGTAATAGCCCAAGTTCTTTCTCTAGAAAATAGGTATTAGATAGTAAACCTATATCTTAAAGATATAACCTCTCTTTTCTAAATCTAGAGAAGCTACTAACTTTTCTTTTCTATTTTAGATCTTAACTAGAAACTAAAAATAACTCTAATTAAAAAGTATTTAGCTAAAAAGTAGCCTAATAATAGCGAGATCTATAATAAAATCCGCAAATATTAAGAATATAAAAAAGCAAGAAATCCATACTTCAAGAAATAATAGTGGGCTTATTTAGCTATTATATTAAATTATAAGAAAGAAAACCTCGAAAAGATCTTCTATTATATAGATTATAGGGCTATATTTAATATTTAATTAGATATTTCAGGACTAGCAGGGGAAATAAGGTTAAGTATAATATATATAATATTTACTATAAGATACTATAAGATAAGCTTTATATTTATAAGTAATTCAAAAGTACTAACTATACTAAATAGCCAAATCTCTATTATCTTAATAATATTATTAGGGACTTCTAAACTAAGAAGATTTTCCGTAATAATAAAGAGGTAATATAGAAAATAGATTAAGTAATAGTAAAAGCCTTAGAGCTCATTATATCAAGTACTTATAGGGCGGATTTCCAGGCTTTATATAATAAAATATAAAGTAGCTAGATTCTCGGTACTTTTAGTAAATAAAATTATAAAGATATATAAAGCAGGGTGCTTTCCGCCACTATTAATTACTTAGTTCCTTCTTTCTTTAGCTTCTTTAAAGACCTTAACTACCTCAAAAATATTACTAATAATATAAAATAATTATTTCTACTATTACCTTATAATATAGTCTCCTCTATTATAAAAGACGCGTTCTCTAATACAAACTATAAAGCTAGTTAGTATATAGTTCAAGAATTAGAGTTCTTCTATATATTCTGGCCTAAAAGCCTAGTAAACCGGATAAATCTTAGATAATAATAGATATAAATATATATAATATATAAATACCCCTAAATACCTGCAAAGCTAAAAAAAAAGAACTTATTAATAAAGCCAGCTAGTAAGAAGGCAGATAAGATTATCCTATATAAGTCTATTACTCTAGCCTCTTACTTAGGATATAAGTCTAAGTAAATATATAGCCTAGCCCAGTAATTACCTAATAGGGAAATCACTTATAGTACCCTATTAAAGGCTCGGAAACCTGCCCGCTATAAGTATAGTAAAGCAGCATTTAAGGACTATATAAAGTAAATAGTAAATCTATTCTCTAAAGCCTAGCTAGTAATAGTAAAGCAGGCGAGAGCTATAGTAAAGATTAATTACTCTAATATATTACTAAAATAATGCGGGATCCTATATATATAAGATTATAAACGGGATAAATTATCTCTTTTTATAAACAAGTTATATAATACTACCGAGAAATAATATAACGAGATATTATCTTTTTTTATTTATAGATCTATATACTTTGCATTTTTTGGCAAGCTAAGCCGTTCTAACCCCCCCTCTCCTGAGGTAATATTACTACTAGATTCCCCAATTTTAGCTTATCCAGGAGATAATTAGGTAAGGGAGAAATAAGAACGGCTCGAGCAAGAAGGATAATAGAGACTCGCAAGGGAACGAGAATGGCTAGTACGAGAATAAGAACGGCTTGCACGAGAAGAATAGGAGCGGCTTATACGGGAGGAGCAAGAGAGACTCGCAAGAGAACAAGAGCAATTAGCGAGAGAAGAGCAGGAGAGACTGGCACGGGAGAAACAAGAAAGACTTGCCCGAGAGGAGCAGGAGCGGCGTGCGAGAGAACAAGAGCGGCTCGCACGAGAGGAGCAGGAGAGACTAGCTAGAGAGGAACAAGAAAGTCTGGCCCGAGAGGAACAAGAGCGGCTCGCACGAGAAGAGCAGGAAAGACTTGCTCGAGAGGAGCAGGAGCGGCTTGCCAGAGAACAGGAAAGACTTATACGGGAAGAACAAGAGCGGCTCGCACGAGAAGTGCAGGAGAGACTGGCTAGAGAGGAACAAGAGCAATTAGCGAGAAAAGAACAAGAGCGCCTTGTAAGAGAACAGGAAAGACTTGCTCGAGAGGAACATGAACGGCTGGCAAGGGAGGAACAAGAAAGACTTGCGCGAGAAGAGCAAGAAAGACTCGCACGAGAGGAGCAGGAGCGTCTTGCAAGGGATGAGCAAGAGAGACTGGTGCGAGAGGAGCAGGAGCGATTGGCAAGAGAAGAACAGGAGAGACTTGCGAAAGAGGAGCAGGAGCGGCAGGAGCAGGCTGCTAGGGAGGAACAAGACAAACTCGCACGGGAGGAGCAGGAGCGGCTTGCCAGAGAACAAGAACGGCTCGCACGAGAGGAACAAGAAAGACTTGCTCGAGAGGAACAGGAGCGTCTCGCAAGGGAGGAACAAGAGCAATTAGCAAGAGAGGAACAGGAGAGACTTGCGAAAGAGGAGCAGGAGCGGCAGGAGCAGGCTGCTAGGGAGGAACAAGACAAACTCGCACGGGAGGAGCAAGAACGCTTAGCAAAAGAAAAACAAGAGCGTCTTGAGAGGGAAGAACAGGAGAGACTTGCGAAAGAGGATCAGAAGCGGTTAGCAAGAGAGGAACAAGACAGACTTGCAACGGAAGAACAAGATCGTGTCGCATAAGAACAAGAACGACTTATTAGGATAAAGCAAGAACGGTTAGTAAGAGAAGAACAAGAGCGAGTCATACGAGAAGAGCAGGAAAGACTAGCGGAAAACCTTACTAAGTAATGGGAAGACAGGCCCAAGCAAAAGAAGCCCAATAAGAACTAGCCAGATAAGGGACCTAAGGTACTAAGAAGTCAAAACGGCATATAAAAAGGTCTCCGTATATTAGCTTTAGCCAAAAGAAGAGAATAGCCACTTACGTAACTTGACTTAAAGAAAGTTACTAATAGTAAGTCTTTAGAAGCTAACTATTATTTTGTACCGCTATTACAGGCATTTAACTTTTTACTAGAAGCCGCAGGAGATTAAGTTAAAGTTAATAATACTAGCTATCCTCTATAGCCTAGCTCGGATTCTTTAGTAATAAATAACTTAATAGCCTTAGGCAAGCTACTATAACTTGCTTCTAACTCCAGAGAATAAAACCAAGCTATTAAGAGGCCTATATAAAAGAAGCAGGGAAAACTTATAATAAAAGAAAAGAAGTAACTAGTAAGGGAAGAATAAGAGAAACCTATAGGAGAAAAGTAAGAGGAACCTATAATTAAGGAAAAGGAAAGGCTTATAAAGAATATTACTAAGTAATAAGAAAAGAGACTTAGATAAAAAATATTAAAGGAAAAAATATAAGACTAGAGCAGACCTAAGGTAGTAAGAAAGAGGGCCCGAAAAGATATAGATATAATAAAAAGAAACTAGCTACTTACTTAGTTTATACTTAAAACTTTTAGAAATATCGAGTCTCAAGAACTTATATAAGAAAATTCATTACCCTAGATTACTATAGAAAATAAATATTAAACTATAGCAGACTAAGAAGTTATCCGAAATCCTACCTATAGTATATAGCCTAATACGGATTTTTTAGTAACTAATAATAGTAACTTAATATTTATTTCAGGTAAAATACCAGATTATATTACTAATTCTATAGAATAAATTTAGGCTATTAAGCTATAAGTAAGGGCTTGAGTTCTCTTTTACTTATAGCTAAGCTTATATAGCTATAGACTATAAGATTATTAAGTAACTAGAAACTAGATCTTCTAAGGATTTATATAAAATATAAGATCCGTAATTATAGTATTTAGAAGATTTCATATATTTTTCTAGTTAATTCTTCCGACTTATTAGAGGCCAGGCAAGTAATAATAAAGTATATAAGAAAACGAATTCATATATTTAATATAAACTTCTGAATACTAATATTCTAAATATATTTTGAAAATATTATTATAAATAATATAAATATAATACTTTTAATTCTAGAATAGGATATTAATATAAATAATCTTTTAACTTCTATATCTAAGAAGCGCCCTAATTTATAAATGAATTTAGAAGCGGACTTTTCTATTCCAGAGTCTAATCTAGAGAATAGTTTAGGAAGTAAAGAGACTATTTATAAGAGAGTTACTAGATATAATTTAAGGTGAGTTCTAACTTAAATAAAGATAGTTTAAATTATCTAATCTAGTTATATAATAGTATTCTCTACTAATATCTTTAATATTAGAAAAGTTAAAATCTTTATTACTTTCTATTTATTATAATTTTTCAAGATTATGCCATATATTAATAAAAGTAAAGTAACTATTTACTTATAGTAAGGATAAATAAGTATATTCCTTAATAGTTCTAAAGTTAGCCTTAACTAGAAAAGTAGTCTAATACTAATACTAAGTTTACTCTATTTATAAGGAAAAAGGTACTAAAATTAAAGTACTAGAAATATACTTATTTATTCCTATTACTAAGTACTATAGTAGCTATAAGTATATCTTATTAGTTATACTATAATCTCACCTAAGATATAGGTATAGAAATAAGGAATAAAGACTAGGGGCAGAGATATAAGGCAGAAAATTTCTTATCTAAACTTAGGTATCCTATCTAGCTTTCTTACTAAATTCTAATTATATTCGGGATTAATAAGAGAACTATATTAGGCCCCCTAATTATCTAATAGAAATAGAGTTCAAGTAACTTCCTTGCCTCTTTCTAATTATAGCCTTTAGAATTAATAGAAATAATAGGAAGCAGAATTAGCCCGTAATTATCTAATAAATTATTTATTCAAGATATTATTTAAGCCTTATACTAATTATTTACTAATATTTGAAATAAAAGAAATCTCTTAAATATAAATAAGAATTTATAGAGGTACTATAAGGTATGCAAGTAATAAGAAAGCTTCTATATATGAATTTTCCTAAAAGAAAATAATAGGAGATAAATAGAAGAAATATTAATTTTTTCTTATAATATATATTATAGCTTATATTATATATATTAATATCTTTAAATAAAAATAATATACTCTCTAGCTAGCCAGGAAACTAATATAAAATAAACTTGAAAACCTGAAAAGTAATAAATAGTCTAGAAAATATATTAAAAAATTAATAATAGCTATTTAGCTTATTCTATAAGCTTATTTACTATAATCTCTAGCTTTCTAAGCCCCGTATCTTTAGTATTATTTCCCCTTCAAATTAGTTCTATTTACTAGATCTATAAGGTAATCTTTCTTTTTTTTAGTTATAGCCTATCTAACCTAGCTTTATTATTAATATAGTAATTATAACGAATTTAAGTACTTATTTATCTGCCTTCTATACTTAATAGTAATTTGGACTATATAGGAAGTCTAGAGAATAAGATCTTAGTAATAAAATATATTATTATTAAAATATATATATCTTAATTAGAAATCGGACTTTATAATATACTTTAGGGATATTAGTATAGAGGAGATATATTATTAGATTTAATATATAGGCTATTTATAGAAATCGAGCTTAATAAGTTACTAGCTATCTTATATAATACTATATTAATAGTAAGTAGTAAAGAAGATAAAGGAAATAACTTATATAGAAATAATAAAGAATTTATCTCGGGTTTCTTTTATAAAGGCTAAGCTATAATAGGGTAGTTTATTAGTCTTGTAATAACTAAGCTAAGTTATTCTATAATATCCCAAAATATATTTGCCTAAAAATATTTAGTATTATATATATAAAGTAGTTATATATCCGTAATTAGCTTAGTAAAATACCTATAATACTACTTCTTTCTATAAGAGAAATAAGTAATCGGATTACCTTTCTTACCAGGCATTTTATAAAACCCATATACTACTAGCTATTTAGGAGACTAATATTAGTAAGGCTAGTATCTAAAGAAGTCTAACCTAGACAAAATTATAGAAAAGGTAACTAATATTTTAATAGTCTTTAATATATTAATTATTAATATATAGATATAGAAATAAGATAACCTAGTATTAAATAACTTTAGTAAAGAAGTTAATACTATAATAAGACTTAGTAAGAGTAATAGTGACTTCTATAGTAAATAGGTGCCATTTTTAGTATATAGAGCCCATTTGAGCCCCTCTAGTAAATAAAAGGTTTATATAGTTAAGTAATAAAGTTCTATATTAGTAAGAATAAACTAGTATTATAAAGGGGCTAATCTCGCGAAGTCTATTCTTAAAATAAAGAAATTAAAATACGGCCCCCTATTATCTTAGTTTAGAGACCGACTCGGGCTCCTTATTATATAATTAAACTATAGGCTCAAGATTTGGGGAATTATAGTATAAATATAGCTCCCAGATTTATATATACTACTTGGTTTATATATACTATATTATATAATTATACTCATTTACTAGTATTAGAGCCACGTTAGTTTATATCTAAAATTAGGTTAAAATATATAGGCCGGATTTCGTTTAGGAACAGGCTTATAAACGGAAGGGGGTTTTTCTAGTAATATATGAAATATTCTAGAAAGATTATTATAGCCTGAGGAATATATAGCAATTTTATAGCCTCTAAAGTTTTTATTTATTTAAAGGTATAGAAGTATATACTTGTATTAATATAAAGTATATTATATATACTATAGACATCTAAAGAGAAATAATGAGAAACTAAAGCACTTATATATATAACTCAAATCCTAACCCCGGATTCTTAAAAATACTTTATATCCTATAGCCTCGGCTAGAAATAACTATTTATAGCTTCCTTTGGCCCCGCGCCCTTAAAATCGCATTCGAAATTCTTATATACGCTAATAGCTACCTTAAGATAAGATATAGTAACCTGGTATCTCTCTTAAATAGCTAGAGTATAAGCTATTAATACTAGGTTTTTAATCTAAAATAATACTATTAATTAGTTTATTTCTCGAATATATAAAGAATAGACCTATCTCGCAACTATTATACTTGTTTCATACCCAATTATTAAAGGCGTCCCGGCTATAAATTAGTTCTTCCTGAGGTATAGCTATCTTTCCTAGAAAGTATTACCAGATATTAGTTTACTACTCTAGATTTAACTTATTATACTTTAGTTTAAAGTAAATCCTACTAGTAATAGCATTATTAATCTGCCCTACCCGGTTAGTAGTAAGGAATATTATCCCTTAGTAGTATTCCAGGGTCCGCAGAAATATACAGACAAGGGTATTTTAATAGATATCTTAGGCTAAGCGCTACTCGAGAAGTATATCCGCCTTATCTAGTAAAAGAACTGCCTTTTATTAAATAGCATACTTAAAGATATAAGGCAGTCGCTATTTAACGGCCTCTGCTATTATACTAAGCTCACTAGCAGAGACTTATATGAGTGGCTTCTAAAAATATTCGGCGAGTAACTCAGCTATTAAAGTCTTCCCCATACCTAGTAGCCCGCTAATATAACATATTAGTAGAAGTACGCGCAAACGGAGACTAGATATCTTATTATAAGAGTATATTAAACCCTTGCCTTTTTCCTTTTATAATATTATTAAAGGTATTAGTTAATGCCCTCTTAATATAGGCCTCGAAAAGAGCTCGTATAGCCTTCTTCTTCTTTACGGGAATATAAAGATTATCTAACGCAGCTTATTACTAGTTAATCTCTTTAATATTAGTAATAGCTAACTCTACTATA